AACCAAAATTATGTTTGAAACAAAAGAACATAAAATAGCAGATATTTCGATCCGGATTTTGTTCCGCTTATTGCATCATTATAAATGTGCACAAAGCCACACATTTTACGTGAATAGCCACATCGACCTTTTACCGTCATACAGCGGCGTTATCATAAAAGACTAAATGAGGAAGAAGATAATGCCCGGATTCCGCTGAGCTGATTGATAAGGCTTAGGACGGGGCCGAACCGACGATGCGATGCGAATATTTACGGGTCGCAGCAGCCAGAAAAAGCGGGCGCCCGGGACACACACGCAAAACGGTTTAAGATTTCCGCAAATTTGCAAACATCAAAAAACAATTTTCCGACGTGATTACCCCACGCTCTGCCAGCGTATGTATCGATCGATCTCACTGCGATGCCTGCAGGCCTGCAATGATACAGCGAGCGCTGTCGTTTTCCTGTTATATTTATTTATTTTTTGTTCAACGTTCGAAAATGCCTAAAAATGCGTTGTGCGTTCCCTCCTCCATTCCAACATTTCTCCCGCTTCGTCGCATATCTGTATTAACGTTTTTTTTTCTTTCGATGTGAATTTTTTATAGCGCCTTAAAACATATGTGATATGTATGTATACGCAGACGAGAACGCCGAGATAATTTCATGCATAATGAACAAGGCATTTCGGTTTAAGGAACTTTTTTTTGACGCTCGCATATTTGTTGACTTGTTTTTCAAGCGGGGTAAATGTCGTTCGGCGGAGACGCAAAAGAAAACAGAAAATATTAATGTGTTAACGCTTGTCGTGTGCTAACAAATGATGTATTTTAACGCATGCGGTGTGCGCAACTAGATTACACTTTCAACGCATCATTTGTACTAGTGGCCCCGTGGAAGCAGCGTGATTCAAATGATTTAAATCGTAGATAACCGAAATTAATTTTAACGCGACACCCACCCAAATTACCAACTGAAAACGTATCGAGTAGACACGAAAGTAACCCGCTTTGTTTTTCACGAGTCATTTCTCATCGCGACAATCGGAGCAATCAACGATGCGTCAAAGCGACAACAGAACGGTATTCGTGTTTAAGAGAATCAGTCGTAAATTAGGTTTTGAAAGAAAGGAGAATAAAACCTAAAAAACAGAGTGGTGACCGCACAACGTTTTATATTTTACGACTTCCACCTACCTTTGTCGAAGCACTTTTAGCGCATTGTGAAGTAATAAAGTTTCAAACAATTAGATGATTTATGCAAGCAGATAAATGTAACGGAATTATATTATGGCACACACACACGCACATAGGTACAAACTGGTTGCTTTGGTGTTCAAAGAGACGAGTACCTGCGCATTGAAAAACCTACTTACAACGGGACGGCACTTTTTTTAAATGCGCGGGCGCTCGTTTATGAAACGAAAATACAAAAAAGTCAGATTTTACAATAGTGGCAGCGGCGCGCCGTTCAGCGCGAACAAAGGATGTGCGCTGTAAATTTGATAACAATAACAATAGTGTTGAAAGTGTCGGTTTTCCATCGCGCGCTATCATTCCATCACCATCAGAGCCCAGAAAATAAAATAAAACGAGTTCACTGATGTATTATACGTACCTAAAATGTGACACGCGGAAGTACGGAGATGACGCTGCGCCGATAAAATGCAATTCCATTATTTATATTACAAATATATGCATACTGACCTAGCAGATGTCTACCAAACTGACACCTAAAGGAAACAATTAACTTAAGCGTAACTATACCTATTAAGCTGAATTGGTAGGTATAAATGTGACGAATTATTTGAGAGATGAAATTGGCGTACCTACCGTGCGCACGCTCCACCGAAAAACGAAACTAGACTTAAACCGCAAAGGCATAAACTACACTCGCGTTTTCCGTCACGGACAATGGCGCCCGTTAATGTGTTGTTCCCGAAGAGAGGTTTATTATAATTAAATGCAATCTACGCATAACATCAACATTGTTAAATTGTTCCCAGTTTCGTTTGCTGCTTGAAATGCTTTTTTTTTTCTGTTTCGTATATTCGAATTTAATAAAAGTGTTGGGTTTTGTTTTATTGCCGCGGCGGTGTAAAATAAAATAGATTTAACCACGTACTTTTTCCGCATTAAAGTGCATATACCAACGACTTGGCAAAACATTTATTTAATGAGACAGTTTGGATTATTTATAACGCCTGATGTTCTACGCGATAAGCTTCTACTATTATTCTTTAGGTATTGTTACGTGATTAAATTTTCACCCTCCTCATGCGATTGATTTATTAAAATAGAGTTGTTCTGAGACACACACACACCGTAGTTAAAATTGTCACGAAATCAATATCGCCACAAACAACACGCATAATTGATGGAATGAAAAATAACGCTTCACATACATCATTAAAGCTTAAAGCAGCATTTTAAAAAGATTTTTTTGATCTTAGCATGAATAACAAACAAACGAAGCTGTCGGCCCTAATACGTATTTAGAATAAAGCAAGCGTGTCTATATTTAAACCTTTTTGAAAAGTGGTAAGTGAATGCATACACACATTTGCCTCGGCGCTGAATGATTCTTCATCTAATAGTTTGCTCCTGAGTTTGACAACACATGACAACACGTTGCGGTGCGATTCGTCGGAAACTATTGGCTCATTACGAGTGCATTTGGGGTGTGTGTATATGTTTTTACAGTAAACGATCATTAAAATAGAGGACTCGCTGACGGCATTCAGGCTGCCAACAAACACGAGAGACAAGCTGTTCTGAGGATATCTACGCACAAAGAAATAATTGATAGATTTAGCAAAACAAAGAAATTCGGATTTAGCGGCAATTATAATTTAATAAAGCGAGTATTTTAACAACCGGCCAATTAAAATAATTAATGCGGTATTTGTTCTTGGTAAATTTCGAAAAAGACGCATATTTTTCGCATTTTATGACCCTACCAATGCTAAATTGTTGCATTGTAAATTTTAACGTCGATGTGGGTACCTTCATATCATCTCGAACGCGCTAATAATACGAATATGTCATCATCGAGTTGTGTGCAGCACGTTTTAAGCCAGCATTGTTTGAATTCAAATGCAAGACTTTGAATGTCGCCCGCGACATTCAAGGTTGGACAATCATCTGATAAGTTTGAGTAATTGGTGCTTACAAACAAAAATTGCATGGCTTCACCTGAACCACAATTGTGTGCCAATCTCTTTCATTCGAATAATCGTCATCCAATAATTGACTTCTGATCCAATTTGGATCGAATTGCTAAAGGCCAAACGAAATAACAATAATTATTATTGTTGAACTGATAAAAAAGTTGAAATTATTGCTGCAGTGACTTATGTTAAACTAATTGCAAATCTTGCAAGTTAATTGTCTTTATGGTAGGAATATATTATGTTGTCATCTTAAAGGTGAAATAATAGAAGTAATTTTTATTGATGTTATCTTTTAATAACATGTTGACAACTTTCAAGAATACTTGGGTTGTCGTGATAATATTGTGCAATATTTTTTAACTTATAAATGTATTTTCCCTGAGAGAGTTTTAGTCTATTTGCACTGGTTTAATTGATGTCATCTTCTTCTTGAAAGTTGTCAACATGTTATTAAAAGATAACATCAATAAAAGTTACTTCTATTATTTCACCTTTAAGATGACATCATTGCCGATTCATCAATTAAATCAGTGCAAATTGACTAAAACTCTCTCAGTGATAATACATTTATAAGTTGACAACTTTCCTAATGATTCCAAATTGAAACATAACTAGTTGTAAAGTATTAGAAATGCATGATTGATTTGTTTTAGTACTAATAAAATGTATCAGTGACTCGTTATATTTATTTTTTAGTAAGTAATTCGCTTATATAACCAATATGCGTTTCGGATGGCATACGACGGCATGACTCATGTGAATTTTGCACAACGCGTAAGTTCCAACTCTATAGGTATTGCGAGAACCATAAATAACCACGCAGTCAGTTAGAAACTGAAAACCCTATTGCGTTATTGCACCTTGAAGACTGTTGTAGTACCTGCAAATCAACAAATTTTTACATGCGATGCGCAATTGTTTTGTTCATTAGCAGTATTGAACATAATTATCCTTGCAGCATTGATTGAATTTTGTGGATGGATAAAATTGAAAAGATCTGCTTCACGTAGCAGGCATTACAGCTCACTGGCTTTTAAAGTATCATTAAGGAACCAGGTCATCCATTGAACGTAGGAGAAAATTTTATTAAAGTTTCAAAATATAAATCGAATTTTTATGATACTCATCTTCAATATACATGCCTACAGCTAATTTATATAGCATTAATATGTGTTTGGTGAATTATTTAATTTCTGCGCATACATACCGCCTGTCGCATATAGTCGTCATATTTGTATTGTATCCAGCTTCATTACAGCTTTTTACCTCATTGAAAAGCAGCGTTCAAAAACAGAACATGTAAATTACACACGGTATATTGCGATTATTCAGACGCTCGGATACTGTCTGTGACTGAGGCGTGCAGCGTTTCCGGTTCGTTTTGGGTCGCCGCCCTCGCTGCTGTGACAAAAAACAGCGCACCACACGAACGCATTTTTTTATCATATTGTCCGTTGTGGTCGGCGGTGAAAATTCGTTTCATTGCGAAACCATTGTAATTGTTTCGCACTCTTTAGCCCATGAGAGTCAGTCCACCAAACCGCACCATCACCAAACAATAATGATGTTAATGCGTATTTGTGAGTGTTATTGTTGCGTTATTTTTGTAACAAATGTATTATATACGTACATTGAAATGTGTTACCGTCTCGCATCTTTCAATAGTCCATTAAGTGCTATTTGGTCACAAACAGCTGGTCATTATTGATTTGTTATTGCTCAATTGCTCAATTCGATTCTCCTCACTCTAAAATCCTCTTTGACGACATCCAACACTATCTTGCGGCTTCAAGTTGTGCAACAAGGTTGAAGCGAGTCCGAAAATAGAAAAAAACTTAATGCTGGCTGATTAATGGTTATTAGGGAATTTTATGACTTTTTGATTAAAACGAAAATTAATCACGTAGCGCACCAAACAACATCGAAACTACGATCGAAACCATTGAAATTGATGCAACAGACCAAACATTATGCGGTCACTTTGTAATTCGGGATATTATTAACAAAAATCCACAAAAAATAACTCGATCTGGACTGAATGCTGACAGAATTAAGTAAATACAAAATACAATGTACGTATATTACTATTTTGTAATTTTTTAAACCAAATATGCTTCATTTAGTGCATACAGAGCCATCTAACAATTAAATCTAGTACCTATCAAAACATTCTATGTTAAATTCGTATGTAACTCACAGATGTCACTTACAATTTAAATCATTCATGTATTATCATAATTGTATGTTTTCATGGGTCGCGATAAGTAAAAAGTACATTTTTATTGTTTGTACAAAATATTGAATTACCACGTATTTTTTCTTTTGTCATGGATTATATTTAATCTTCAGACAAAATAAATTTAATAGAATGCAAACAAAATAAACAATATTCATATTCTTGCAAACCAATGAAAGTTGAACCTAAGACATTGCGCATTGTGTTATCGTGCGATCGCTGAGACAACGTTGCAAATATTATCAGACACCCGACCTCAAGTTAAGTCCAGTCTTCTAGTTCCAGTTTATTCATTTTTACGACGGAAGAAACACACCGCACCGATCGCACATTCAACCCGAAGTGATAGCAATGTGTTCATGTGCTCAATTTTTGTTGAATAGCTTATTATTTAGGTGATAAAAGTGTCACAGGCGTAATTTAAAACCACGCAAGTGTTAACCAAAATGTCTACCTGTGATAATATATTTATTATTTGTGCAATGATAACGCTAATATTTGTAAACAACAATGTTTGCTGTGCGTCTTTAGATTTACCACCAAACGATCAGTTAATGATCCAAATTTTGGAGACGACGTGCAACTTGAAATGTTTGAATAACGTAAGGTACTTTGTCTGTACTCTAGTATGCAAATTATAAAAATAATCTGTGAATTTTCAGAATACCACGTCAACTGATTGTGTATGTGATTCGGAATTGGAAGAATCTTTTTCGTTCATAAATGTGACACTGGATTTTGTTTGCAGAGAAGCAAATAAAGTGGTGTTAAAAGTTTGCAACGAAAAAGTCGAGGAAAATGTATATTTTTTAGAAGCACAGAAATCAAATGAGATTTCATGGCATTATGTAGCACGAGTTAATACAAATTCCTCTTTTTTGATCGCTGATAATCTACAAGAGAACCAAAAATATAAATTTCGTGTGTGGGTAATATCAACGAACGGAACAGTTTATAATCCGATTGAGACAAAATACATTACGACGAAGGGGTTAAAAGATCGCCCATTGCCAATAGCATCCCTAGATTTGCTTCGCTTTGAATATGACACCGACTCGAGTGACTATAAGGCCATTCTTACATGGTCTCCATCTGCAGGTATACACTTACAATAATTATTTAATAATAACATCTGGCCTAAATATAATTAAACATGATTTTGTAGACAAATCTTGTCAGCATGAGTTTGTCTGGTTCGGCGGTGACGATATATCGGATTATATCCAAGTGGAACTGGAAGTTGTTAGTTTAATCACAATATTTCATTTAAAATTATTAATAGAATATTTTTAGCCCAACAACTTTACGATAATAATAGATAAATTGTTATTTAATAGCAACTATTCCGTTGCAATAATGACGAAGAGCACGGATTGGTCCATGGAGAGTGAAAAAATCTGGTGTTATTTTAGAACACCCCGTTGTTTGGATGTTTTGAAATCTTTACAATTTTGCTCTCCCGATATGCCAACTGGTGTAGATACAAAGGAGGAATTAGTTTCTGTCGAAAAGGACAAACAAATATATGACATTAGCGTATCCTGGAATCGACCATTTTTAATTCCTGACGCCTATTCTATTCATTTGAATACTTTCCAGGATATTCAAAACAAAGATGCCAATTTAATTAATGTTACGGGGGTGAGTCAAATTTAATTTAGTGATGATATTTATTCTGTAAATGGCTTTGTAGAATGCAACAAACGTAATCTTCAAGAATGTGCAATTAAATTTACATTATCAAATTACAATCTTTGCATATTCGAATGCTGGAAGAAGTGACCCTGCTGAATTTTACAAGGAAGTCCATACAATAAACGTTCTTGCACCTACTTCACACATTAGTAACAATGTGTTTCTCATTATTATACTGCCATTTACGTTGATACTTTGTGTAGTGTCATTACTCTTATTTGGATATAACAAACGGGAGCAGGTCATAAAGCGTCAGCGATACTTTGAAGTAATACTTGTAGTATGTTAAATGAATTTTATTTCATTTTATGTTTATAGGAGTTAGAATTGAAATCAAATTATCTGGACACGCCCCTCCAGGATGATGATGATAGCGAAAAAATTGACGAATGGGAAATTCACCCATCTTGTTTGACTCTGCACAGTATTTTGGGCCAAGGTGCATTTGGTGTCGTACGTAAGGGTACGTTACAAGGAGGAGGTAACAAAATTGCAGTTGCTGTGAAAATGCTGCAGGGTAAATATTAAAAAATAATAGTAAATAATAGAAACAGTAAAAGTTGAATGTTGTTGAAAATTAAATTATACCTATATTTTATAGAGGATCACAAAGATACAGATATTCGTGATTTTAAACAGGAAATCGAAATAATGAAGTCTGTTGGTAGTCATCAGCATATTGTTTCGTTGATTGGTTGTTGTTCAAAGGTTCAATCCGATGATTTGCGCTTAATTGTTGAATATTGCGCTAGGGGTGATTTGCTAACTTATCTGCGTACGGCTTGGAACGAAATTACACATCAGTAAAGTCTTATTATCTGTAACACAACCTAAACTAACATTGATTCATTTCAGATGCACTAGTGTTCAGTATGAAAATGTAAAAACCACCGATACGATTAACGTTGAGAATAAATTGTATTTACTTGGTGTAACTGAAACATGGAACATGCAAATCAAAGACTTAATATCCATCGGACTACAAGTTGCAATGGGAATGGTAATTAGTGTAAATACTAATTTGATTCAATTAAAGCCACTTCTGATTTTCTAGGAATATTTGGCTAGCTTACATGTTTTGCATCGGGATTTAGCCGCACGTAATGTTTTGGTATGTGAAAACCGAACAATCAAAGTATCTGACTTTGGACTAAGCAGGGACGTGTATCGTGACAACGTTTATTACAAAACAAGTTCCGGCAAACTTCCTATTCGCTGGCTGGCGCTGGAATCCCTGACGCATCAAGTGTACACCACGCACAGCGACGTGTGGTCGTATGGTATTCTCCTCTGGGAGATTATCACTTTAGGAGGAAACCCTTATCCTGGAGTTCAAACTCATGAACTTCTAGACTTACTTTTGAAGGGCTACAGAATGAGCTGCCCATCAAATTGTTCTCCAGAAATGTATGTGTTTAATTATCTTGACAAAATTTTGTACGTTTTATAACAATGCATATCCTGTTTGCAGATATGCAATTTTAAGGAGTTGTTGGAATAGTAATTACAAAGAACGACCCAATTTTACAGAAATTCGACAAATGTTAGAAAATATTTTGGAGCGTAAGTCAGAATATTTGAACTTGAATTTGACCAGCAGTTTTGGTTCTTTGGACGAACTTAAAGTTGCGGATGTGGAGAGCAAAGTGGTTTCCTCAGAACGATATGTTAAAGCATTTGCTTCTTAACGGTCCAATATTGTATTTAAAAAACTCTGTCCATGTTATTTTTTTAAATATTTTATAAATGATAAGTAGATGAATGGTTACTTTAAATATCATATTACGTTTTTCTTGTATTTCACATAAATAGCTAATGTAAAATCTTTCATTTTTATTACATTATTAACTAGAGTAGGACCAAATATTGACAGAGTGACCGTTAAAACTCAATGAGGTCTACAGTCTAAAAAGTTTACAAGCGTGTTATTCAGTTCACATTTATAAATGTGTCACTTGATCTAAAACTGCAAGCAAATGTAAAATCTCTTATTTTAACGGCACTCCACCATACTTAATTTAAAAGAGAACAAGAATCACAAGAATTGAATTAATTAATTTTGAATGTGGAATCACTCAAAATTTCGTTCAAACTTTAATACTTACCCAAAGAGTATTTAATTAAGAACAAATGTCCCACTTGGGCAACAGAATGCGTTGGGGTTTTGTACATATATAATATAGGCAACTGCTGGCACTCAATCTCCCTCCACTCTAGTAAACTCCGACCAGCTCGCAGCTCTTATTTCGCTTGGCTGACATAAAATGCACGAAGTGCCGATGGAGATTTGTTCGCGTGTTTGACACATTTTTGAACCGATTCTGATTACAAATGAAAATACAATCGGGAATTATCATCCGCAGTAAGTAACCGACCTCTACCCGTTCGACTAACCGCAGCGGCTAACAAAAACATTGCCACCTTTTGCACTAACATCCAGATGACACATACATTAATAAGCTTCTAAATGTCAAAAGTAAGTTGTAATATTGTTTAGGATTAATCATCGGCATTGTTTATTTGGGCCTGGTGTATGTAAATGATTGTAGGAATCTAGCATAATGGCATCCATCAAGGATAATCAGGATGTGGCATGCTTCTATGTCACAAAGCACTCCTGGAAAGGAAAGTAAGTGTGTTTACATAGTTACAACAATAAGCTTTATGTTAATTATTGCTGATGCAAACTATGTAACATGATATGTAACTGATAAATCATTTGGTAGATATAAACGGATATTTTCCATTGGCACCCTGGGAATATCTACTTACCATCCCAACACCCTGGAGGTCACCAATAAATGGGTGTATGCAGATATTAAGTCCATCACAGCCACCAATGTCAACAATGAGTTTAAAATAAATGGGAAGAGGGATCGCAAGATTGAGACCATGACATTTTCAACAGAACACAGAGCAATCTTAATGACTGAAGCACTCAGATATAGGCATCAATTTAGTGATAAACCAAAGGAAATACTTGTATGTGTTTAGTTCTTGATTATATCTTAATGTAAATATTAATGTCACCATTTGTTGTAGAGATATCATGCATACAAACACCATTGGTCAGATGTGAGATTGCCTGTCATTCTGGAGGTGACTCCTTACTCACTGGATCAACTGGATACAGCTACTAATACTGTACTTGCAAGTTATTGTTACAAAGACTTTGAGGGTGTCTGCACTGTAGCTGATTATCCTGGTGGTTTTATTGTGGTGTGTGGAGGGTTTGGGAGGCTCCATCTGTTTGCTTCCGTTGATGCTGATCAGATAAAGCAGAAAATATCTGAGTATGCTATGGAATACTTGGGTATTAACATCAAAGTGCCGCAAACGCTGATTACTTTGGAGGATTTTCAAATGCAACGTTTTGGTACCTTTAGGTAGAGGATTTTGGTGTTAAATTTTTGCAGCTAAAAGCTAATAATCTATTACTTACAGTGGTGATGAACACCAGACCTCTGTATCCGAATTTCAAGTATATAAAATTCACAAACCTCGACACGCCGAACCACTTCGAAGGACGTTGTGTTTGTCGGAGACTTGTATTCTGGAACGTGATCCGCAAACGTACAACATTTGTACTCTCAGACCGTTGAGTGTTATCTTTGCGTTGGTGCGGAGTAACGAGAATCCACAATTATTTCAAATAGAATATATAAATGGGCAAATCAGGACTTATACAGCCACCGATAGGTAAACTAAGTCTTATAAGAGTTCGCCAGTTTAATTCTCTTTTCTAGAGATTCATTATTGGCATCATTGTTGGATGGTGTGAGAGCCTCGGGCAATCGCGACGTTCACATTTCAATGACGCCTACTGAACGCGGTTTCCGTTTTGGGCCATTACACCTACCCGTAGACGAAGAATCTGAAATTATTCACGTGAAATACCTGCAAAATCCACCGGCAAAACACCCGTTCTCTGAATGTGTCCGGCGCTTCAACGCGAATGCACCCTACAGCGGATTACTTCACAGTATCCAAGAAGGAATTTTTACTGAGAATAAAGATAAAATCATCACCAATGCTATGCAGTCGTTAGTGCAGAAAGACGCCGAACAAAATGCACTTTCTAACGTTGAATTGGAGGGTCAGTTTCAGGCACTTCGTCGTTTGGTTGCCAGTAAGGTCGGATACGCCGCTTTCACATCGTTGCCAGGGTGACTTTGCTTTTTTCTTGTATTTCTACCTAATATTACTTGTAATATTTAATTTTATTGTATTAGTTTTCGAGAGGCTGTTGGTGCTAAAGTGATATCTGCGTTGAGGCGGAATGATTACGGTGTTACCTATGCGGCGATAGATGTGATATGTGCGTTTATGCATCCAACGCATGATGGATATGATCTTAGAATGGAGCAAATGAACAAATCATCATTGCTGCAATCGAAAAACTTCTTGGAGAACTTGCTGAATATGTGGACAACTCATATTGTAAGTTTGGAACATTTAAGAAAAATATATTTTAAATGTCAAATGAATAACTTTTAGAAACACAATACCGGCGCACTTGTGGTATCAGCAATGTTGGATTTTCTAACATTTGCATTGTGCGTACCCTACAGTGAGACCACAGATGGGAAACATTTTGATATATTATTGGAAATGGTTGCTGAACGCGGACGCATCCTATTTCATTTATTTCAACATCCATCTATGGCAATTGTGAAGGGGGCAGGTTTAATTATGCGTGCGTTGATTGAGGAAGGCGAAGCTGAGGTTGCAACGAAGATGCAGGGTTTAGCGCTTGCTGAAGGTGCTCTACCGGGACATTTATTGGCAAGTTTATACACGATCGGTTCCGATAGTAGATTACTAACTCATCGTCAACTATCCCGACATCTGGTTGGTTTGTGGATAACGGGCAATTCTACAGCTATGGGATTATTGCGAAGGGTAATGCCTTCTGGTTTGATAGGATTCTTAGATTCCACCGAATCTGTGCCAGAGAATATCTCTGAGGTTGAGATGTTAAATCATAGAGACAATTTGAAAATGGCTCAAGATCATTCCAACAAAAATAAAAGAGGTGCTACTTTAGCGGCCGTGGAGCGGCAGTTACGAAATGTTGAAAAGAAGGTAGAACACTATACCAATTTAGCAAAACAACATTGGGGCGTGCAAATGGGCATTGGTATCGACCGACGCGATGCATTAAAAGATCGCCCGATTGTCTTGCGAAGGCGGCGCGAGCGTGTTAAAGCGGAAGCTAATTGGAAACTTTTTTATTGGAAGTTCAATCAGGATCATGCGCTCCCAAACCTTATTTGGAATCACAAAACTAGAGAGGAGTTGCGTATAGCACTAGAGAAAGAAATTCAGTTGTTTAATTCAGATCGCGAGCTTGCTGGCACGTCACTCGTCGCTTGGAATCATCAAGAATTCGAACTAACTTACCAGTGCTTAGCGGAAGAGGTGAAAATAGGTGACTACTATCTAAGACTGTTGTTGGAAATGGACGATTCTGATGATTCGCCAATTCGAAAATCGTACGAGTTCTTTAACGACCTCTATCATCGATTTTTGCTTACAACGAAATCGGAAATGAAATGCATGTGTTTACAGGCAATGTCAATAGTATACGGCCGTTATTATGAGGATATTGGTCCGTTTAGTGATACCAAATACATTACCGGGATGCTGGATCGTTGTTTTGATAAGGCTGAACGTGATAAACTAGTATTGTTTGTGAACAAACTGATTTTGCATCGGAGGAATGTGAGAGATGTATTAGAAGCGGGTGGTATTAGGATTTTAGTTGATATGTTAACTCTAGCGCATTTGCACACTTCTCGGGCGATGATTCCAGCGCAATCAAATGTAATAGAAGCTGGTCCGAACCAAAACATAGAAACCGAAAAAGAATGGTACTATAACAGCGACGAATCGGGGAAACCTGTACCTGTCGGTCCATTTAATTTCAAAAAGATGAAAGAATTATATGAAGAAGGTAAAATTACCAAGAAAACCAAATGCTGGGCGGTAGGCATGGAAGGTTGGAAGACGGCAATGCAGTTACCACAGTTGAAGTGGTGTTTAATGGCAAGTGGAAATCCGTACAACAATGAAACTGATTTGGCTTGTTCTATTTTAAATGTCCTAATCAAAATGTGTGATTATTACCCGAGTCGCGACCAGGATGGAGCTATCATCAGGCCAGTGCCAAGAGTGAAGCGGATGCTCTCGGATAGGACATGCCTTTCACACATTGTTCAATTATTGCTAACTTTTGATCCGCTGTTGGTGGAGAAAGTCGCAACTTTACTTACAGAGGTAATGCAGGACAACCCTGAAATGAAGACACTATATTCGACAGGAGTATTCTACTTCATTCTTATGTATACCGGCAGTAATGTGTTACCTATTGCCCGATTTTTACAACTCACACACATGAAGCAAGCATTTAAAGCAGATGAGTCGGCAACGACCGACATTATGCAAAGAAGTATACTTGGCCATCTACTACCAGAGGCCATGGTGTACTATTTGGAGAATCATGGTGCCGATAAATTTGCGCAGATATACCTCGGCGAGTTTGACACGCCGGAAGCCATCTGGAATGCGGAAATGCGACGCCTCCTCATTCAAAAGATCTCCGCGCACATTGCCGATTTCTCACCAAAGCTCCGCAGCCATACGATGGCGCGTTACACGTATATTCAGATTCCAGCAGTACGGTATCCGCAGTTGGAGCGAGAACTATTTTGCAACATATTTTATTTGAGGCATCTCTGTGATACGAACAAATTCCCCAATTGGCCAATTTCAGAGCCTGTAAAGCTACTTAAGGACGTGTTAGACGCGTGGCGCTCGGAGGTGGAGAAAAAACCGCCGGCGATGACGGTGGAAGAGGCTTATAATTCTCTGGGCCTTGACGGTACACCGGAGGAGGCGACAATACGTAAGGCGTATTATAAATTGGCAACCAAGTTTCATCCGGACAAGAATCCGGATGGCCGTGAACGATTCGAACAAGTCAATCAGGCGTACGAGTTCCTTTGCAGCCGAAGCAGCTGGCGAGATGGTCCCAATCCGCATAATATTGTTCTTGTATTGCAAGCACAAAGTATTTTGTTCCATAGATATTCAGATGGTAAATATAAATATTATTAAGATTGCTTTTTGTAGAGATTATAAAATTATATTTGGATTTTAGTTTTACAACCATATAAATACGCTGGATATCCGCAATTAATCAAAACTATTAAGATTGAAACCGCCGATGATCAATTGTTCTCCAAGACTGCGCCGCTTTTGACAGCGGCATGTGAATTAGCGTACCACACCGTTCATTGTTCAGCATTAAATGCAGAAGAACTGCGAAGGGAAGGCGGACTTGAAGTAAATAGTTCATATAACTATGTAATAAAAGTATTTAATTTCAACTTCATAGGTTCTGCTTGAAGCTTATTCGCGCTGCGTGAACGTGATAAACAATTCATCAAAACCGGAAGAGACCTGCGTAGAAGTTTCAAAGCACATCACGCGCTGCTTCAGCGTAGCGGCACAATTCACAGGCTGCCGTGAAAAATTGATTGAAATGCCCGAATTAATCCGCGATCTTTGCAGAATATTATATTTCAAGGTAATTTTACTAAGTTTACTATTTTTCAATAACAAGTGCTTATTTTTGTGGTATATTTTAGAAACTGACGCGGCTCTGTTACATTGCGACCGAGTGCGTAAGTGCCCTAGCGCGCGATGCTATTTTACAGATGCAATTGTTGAAGTCGGGGGCCTTGTGGCACTTATTGACGTTTATGTTTAACTATGATTATACTCTAGAGGAGGGCGGTGTTGAGAAAAATGAGAGTGAAAACCAACAAGAGGTCAGCAATCGTCTGGCGAAGGAAGCTGTGCGGGCGTGTGCAAAACTTGGCGGTTACTTGAAAGGCGAGGATGAATCACCGGAAAATGCGGTTACCAAAAGTATTCTTGAAACATTACTTACACCTTATCTTGCGAACCAGATGGGTAATGACAACCCGGAAGAGATGTTAAAAACCTTAAACAGTAATTGTGAAACACCGTATTTGGTTTGGGATAATGGCACTAGAATGGAACTAACCGAGTTCTTAGAGAATCAGTGTCAAGCCAGGGAAGAAGCAGTAATTGAAATTGATTCAAATGTATTTGTCTTTTCGGCACATAAGGACGAATTGATAATTGGTGGCATTTTTGTGCGGATTTACAACCTTCAGCCGACTTTCCACATTATTAATCCAAAGTGTTTTGCGGTTGATTTACTGACGTTTTTGTCGGAGCAATATAATCACATCAGGGAACTGGTCAATATAGCCCTTTCTGTAACTATTGAAACGCGACTTACCAACTCCATTATGGCGCTTACGGCTCTGGGATATTTGATACAGAACAATTCTGGAGTGGAAATTCAATGTATCGGCCATTTTAGATTGTTGTTTAACTTTTTAAATGTTGCGCACAGCAGTGTACAAAAAGCCGCTTTGAATGTGATATCTATCATAACCAGAAATAATGAGTGCGTTAATGATATTGCCGCTAGCGAAGTGCTTGGCTATCTCTTACTAGTATTGTATACTATTCAGGACTCACAGCCTCAGATACTTGATATACTTTACGCCCTTATGTCAACAACAAAGCTGGTTAAGGAGGCACTTAGTAAAGGCGCAGTAATATATTTGCTGGACCTTTATTGTAATGCGCCGATATTTCAAATCCGAGAGACGTGCGCCAGTCTGATAGCGAAAATGAGCGCGGATAAATTAGTCGGGCCGAAGGTGCGCCTCACAATTGGCACATTCCTGCCGCCGATCTTTGCGGACGCCATGCGCGACAGTCCGGAAACGTCTGTGAGTATGTTTGAGAGCGAGCATGAGCATCCAGAATTGATTTGGAACCAGGAGGCAAAAGACCGAGTTTGCGCGACGGTTGCAAGACTTCGTAGAGAGTAACTTGTAGATATAAATAACAACTATAACAGTTTCTATAACAATATGTTTTAGGCATCAAAGTGCTCAAGCGCAAAATCCATATTTACTATGGAAGATGCCGGACAATAATGGTTTAACTAGTGTGGCGCATCCGAACGAGTATGTTGTGGGTGGTGTTTACCTACGAATATTTGTTTCAAATCCCACGTGGACTTTGCGGAAGCCTAAGGAGTTTCTCTCGGAATTAATGGAGACCTGTCTGACTCTCATGGCGAAAGAAAAACCGAACGTGGATTTTCTCGAAATGGCTACAAATGCGCTGTGCGCGTTGTTGCAAGCCCAACCCGCTTTGTTGGATATGGTACCGTCAATGGGTCACATTCCGCGGCTGTGCAGACAAATGGGATGCAATATTAGACAAGTTTCTGTTCCTAAAGCTTCAATCCAAATACTGCATGCCTTATCAAATAGTACAGTAAGTAAATTATTTGGTGATGTAGGTGTTGCTATAATTGAAACAATACTTTGCAGATTTGTATAACAGCTATTGCACAGACGGAATGCATGCATGCTCTGAAGCAGGCGATGCAAGTACGTAAGGATATGGTTCCGGTGGCGTGCGAAACTCTGAATAGATTGTTCTCAGCGAATCAAGATCAGCTTGTCAAGCAAGCACTGGACGTTGATTTTGTCCAATTTTTGTTAGAATTGCTCGATGGCCGCCTGGAAATTGCAGAAAACCCAGCAATGACCAAAGCGCAAATTGTTAAAGCGCTCAAGGCAATGACGCGAAGTTTACTACACGGTGATAAAGTTACTATCATACTGGACAAGAGTTCAGTGTGGTGTGACTACAAAGGTCAAAAGCACGATTTGTTTATTTCTAGTGCACCAACCATAGGATATCTCACAGGTACGCAACTCATAGAGTTTTAAACAGGCGGTAACGTTTCTGTTGTTCTAGCTGGTACTCCAACATCGGCCGGATATTTAACTCAAGGGCCAAGTAATAATAAACTGGTATCGGGACCACCGCCGGTTGATAAGGACGATACTTGTTTCACGCCGGATCACATTTGACAAACTTGTAAGATAGCAAGCTTTAATGATAAGAATGTATCTCTGAACACTTGCATTCCATGCGCGAATGGAAACCATGAAGATTCTTACAAATAAGTTTTAATGGATTATTTAAGAAAAAAATCAGTGAAAACAAAAATTGTCTTGTATTCAATACAAATTGTTTATGTAAAATAATGTAAAGTATTTGTATTTTATTATTCATTAAGTATAAGAAGAAGAAATTAATTTTTTTCTGTGTTGATTTATTCAACAGCGCGCTTCAAAGTGCCAGTAGCGCCACGGAGACATATTGACCGATAGTTCCTCCCCTCATCATTTACACCAGCCCCCTTCTGGTTAAGAGTACGGCACGTTCTTAATACTACCCTGCAGACTTGCACGTAACAATAAAGCCGACCCTGGACACCTAAAATACTACCGTAACATCCTGTATATAACCTTGAAAAAAAAACACTACATATGCATGCCACACTTTTTGATATACTTTGTATTTTTTGAGGTACTCAAAAGTAACCTCAGATGGCGCAATAATGCACGTTTTAGCTAAGAATATTCCTGCGAGTGAAGGTCGGCGTGCCCAGTTGTTGTGTAGCCGGCACGCAACACTTACTTCGTGCGATTAGTAATAATATTTAAATGAACATTCGTAATTCGTGTTGTAAATTCGTTATATCGCGTTATATTTGCTGAAATTTTGTGTTAATAGACGGGTTTTAGTCGCTAAATATTTATCGCGTGTGTAATCTTCGGAATTCAATGTTTTGGGTGTTTATTACAGTTTCGCGTGTATCTGGGATCGGTTGCCGTCGGACGCCAGTCAGCCATATTGTGTGATTGTAAATAATATTTTGGAGTTGTGCGAACCATTTTTGTCTTCAGCAGAACACGACGGGCGACTGTTCTACCTGGTAAATTTTATTATTTAAATAATTATGGCAAATAAAACACGTTTTAAGTTTGGGTTCCTCCGGAATTCGGATTCATTTCAACATTGTCCGAAACTGTATAACTAATGTTTTGTTTCTTGTTTATTTTAGTATCTACTCGCATACTGATTTACGGTGTTCGATACACTGGTGAGTGAAAGTTTTCATCGTTCATAGTATCTATTTTTCGAGTTTATGGTTTTCCTGCAATTAGTGAATGAATATCTTAAACTTCTTTTTGCGGAAATTTCGGCCAAGCATTCCGCAAAAAATTGAAAATGGAAATTCAAACTTTTTTATTACGGATGTTCAGAGCGACACAATTTGATTAAATGGAACTCACATTTTCCACAGAAAAATTAAATTTGAAAATTTGAAGTTTTTATTTTGAATGTTCATGTAAGAAGTGCTCCTGAACATTTTATTTTAATTCAATTTTACTTTTGGACTCCTAGTTTTCCCGCAATTTGATTAAATGTGAACTCACATTTTCCACAGAAAAATTAAATTTGAAAATTTGAAGTTTTTATTTTGAATGTTCATGAAAGAAGTGGTCTTGAACATTTTATTTAAATCAAATTTTACTCTTGGACTCATAGTTTTCCGGCAATTTGATCAAATGTGAGGTCACATTTTTCACAGAAAATTTAATTTTGTAAAAAAGTTTTTATTTCGGATGTTGCTATAGAAAGTCCTCCTGTGTATTTTATTTTAGTAAAATTTTACTCTTGAACTTATAGATTTCCCGCAATTTGATTAAATGTGATCTTACATTAATTAAATTTGATAATTTTAAGTTTCATTTTTGGATGTTGCTATAAACCGTTCTCTTGATCATTCCATTTTAGTAAAATTTTTCTGTTTACCCGTAATTTGGTCAAATGGTATAATACTTTTCAGCAGAAAACTTTCAGTTGAAATTTCTAAATTTTGTTGCAACAAAACGTTTTTACGAGCCTTTTATTTTAGTATACTCGTAAATGGTCTTTAGAATTCAGTTGGAATTGTTCATTGCTAAAATATAAACCTAAATAGTATAGCAATAAATATAAATAAATATTTGATGTAAAATCGGTCAATCTTTTAGTATAAGAAATAATAGTTTCATGATTTGAATTTTATTGTTCATTAATTTTATTAATCTTAATTCCGGGACAACTATCCTTGCATTCGTAAATGGCACTAGGATGTACTAAAAATCATAAAATCTAGTTAGACGACTTATTTTTATATTTGTTGACAAATATGGCCACGAGAATAATTTTGTATATAGTGCTGTTATCAGAGATTCGATATAAACAACTTTTTATTGCATGGGTCCCGCGCGCCGTCTTCTCACGCCGCATTAACTTGCTGCACGCAGCATTATTATATTCTAGTTTAGTTTAGATCGCAGGTATCGTGTCTATTGCAAATCGCGTAGGTAGTCTTACCATGAATTGTTGCGACCTTGTTTGCTTTGCTGAAGCACATCTTGCAATATTTACTTTCGGCTTATAGAGAATTTCTCGTAGATTAATATTTTGCAATCCGTTCCTTTCTACTGCTTTTAATTTGCGAGATATTCGAAATTGGAAGAATTTAGTGAAAAAGAAAAATTGCACTTTTTAGCACTTTTAGTCACGTTTTTTTGCCCTTTTACCCCACGAAAATCTTTCATCGTGAGAAATTAGAATTACACCAATCGAATTTTACTTTTTTATTAGCTTTAATAATTTTAATTGCGGGACTACTATCTGTAGCATTCAGAGATGGCACTTGCCTGAACTAAATATCATAAAATAGAATTGTATTCTTTGTTTCTATATTTACGAGTATCAGCAAACGCTGGCATTCGATACGAGAATTGTGTTTGTTTTGAACATCTTTTACACTTTCTTATCGAATGCTCGTGTGTCGTCGCAGCTTTGCGCATTTATTGTTTTTACCTGCGAGGTTCATGCTGCAGGCACATTGTCTTATTGGGAACTGTCGCATCGTTGCTTGCGCTATCGATGGATTGCAGCTAGTTTCATGCCGGTCGCTGGCGTATCTAGACGTATTTCGCGCGACTCGTATCGTTTTATCGGACTCTTATTTTCTAAATTTGCATTGTATTCGGTCATCAATTTACTATTTAGTTGTAACATGCATCTGCAGTGTTTAGTTAATGATTAATTTGTGCGTTTAATATCTACAATTTTTATATGTTTGCGCTTGATGTTTACATTCCAATTGCATATTGTTGCCATAATGTTTCCAGTCATTAAGAGGTTTCTTCGTACTTGAGTAAGTAAATTACCACTGCATTGGTAAGTTTTTATTAAGTTATATTATTCGGTCAAATGTTTTATTACCTGCGTGTTGCAATAGCTCGCGAATTAAGGGTGCCTTGTTTATTTTAATTGAGGGTAATATCATAAACGAAGGACACGACAAAGATTGTCATTTTTTCGCGTTTTTCAAAATACACGGTGGAAAACCAGCCATATCTCGGGAAACCCTTTGTCATATTTTAGTTTTTAGTTTATTCTATGATAGGGCAAGAGTGCATTTTAAAATGCACCTCTGAAGCTCAGCGAATTTCGGTCTTAATTGCCTCAAAATGGCCGCCGAAGTTTGATCTTTTCTTACATATTTCAAAACACGCGGTGGAAAACAGGCCATATCTCAAAAATCCTTTGTCATATTTCTAAACACGCGGTGGAAAACAGGCCATATCTCAAAAGTCCTTTGTCATATTTCAATTTTTTCTTTAGTTTATGATAGGACAAGAGTGCATTTTTAAAATGCACCCTTGAAGCTCTACGAAATTCGATCGTATCTGCCTCAAAGTGGCCGCTAAAGTTACGCCTTTTTTTTTGCAAGTTTCAAAGCACGCGGTGGAAAACAGGCCATATCTCAGGAACCTTTTTTTCATATTTCAATTATTTCTTTATTTTATGATAGGACCAGAGCGTATTTTTATAATTCACCCCTGAACCCTTGTCAAATTCGGTCGCAATTGCCTCAAAATAGCCGCCAAAGTTTGCCCTTTTCTTGCAATTTTCAAAACACGCGGTGGAAAACAGGCCATATCTCGGGAACCCTTCGTGAAATGTTAGCTTTTTATTTAATTTATGATAGGCCAAGAGTGTATTTTTAAAATGCACCCCAGATCTCCCGCGGAATTTGATCGTAACTGCCTCAAAATGGCCGCCAAAGTTACGTTCTTCTTGCAATTTTCAAAACACGCGGTGGAAAATAGGCCATATCTCGGGACCCCTTTGTCATATTTTAGTTTTTTTTATTTTATGATAGGACAAGAGTGCATTTTTTAAATGCACCCCTGAAGCTCAGCGAATTTCGGTCCTATCTGCATCAAAATGGCCGCCAAAGTTTGCCCTTTTCTTGCATTTTTCAAAACACGCGGTGGAAAACAGGCCACATCTCCGGAACCCTTTGTTATATTTTAGTTTTTTCTTTATTTTATGATAGGGAATGAGTGCATTTTTAAAATGCACCCCTGAACACCCGCGACATTCGGACGTAACAGTCTCAAAATGGCCGCTAAAGTTGGGCGAGTTTTCTTGCAATTTTCAAAACACGCGGTGGAAAACAGGCCATATCTCAGGAACCCTTTGTCATATTTTAGCTTTTTCTTTATTTTATGATAGGGAATGAGTGCATTTTTAAAATGCACCCCTGAACACTTGCAATTTTCAAAACACGCGGTGGAAAACAGGCCATATCTCGGGAACCCTTTGTCATATTTTGGTTTTTTTCTTTATTTTATGATAGGAAAAGAGTGCATTTTTAAAATGCACACCTGAACACTCTCAAAATTCAGGTGTAACAGTCTCAAAATGGCTGCTAAAGTTAGGCGTTTTCTTGCAATTTTCAAAACAGGCCATATCTTCGGAACCCTTTGTCATATTTTAGCTTTTTCTTTATTTTATGATAGGGAATGAGTGCATTTTTAAAATGCACCCCTGAACACCCTCGAAATTCAGGCGTAACAGTCTCAAAATGGCTGCTAAAGTTAGGCGTTTACTTGCAATTTTCAAAACACGCGGTGGAAAACAGGCCATATCTTCGGAACCCTTTGTCATATTTTAGCTTTTTCTTTATTTTATGATAGGGAATGAGTGCATTTTTAAAATGCACCCCTGAACACCCTCGAAATTCAGGCGTAACAGTCTCAAAATGGCTGCTAATGTTAGGCGTTTTCTTGCAATTTTTAAAACACGCGGTGGAAAACAGGCCATATCTAGGGAATCCTTCGTCATATTTTAGTTATTTTTTGATTTTATGATACGACAAAAGTGCATTTTTAAAATGCACCCCTGAACACCCGCGACATTCGGACGTAACAGTCTCAAAATGGCGGCTAAAGTTGGGCGTGTATTCTTGCTATTTTCAAAACACGCGGTGGAAAACAGGCCATATCTCGGGAACCCTTTGTCATATTTTAGTTTTTTCTTTATTTTATGATAGGAAAAGAGTGCATTTTTAAAATACACACCTGAACACTCTCAAAATTCAGGCGTAATAGTCTCAAAATGGCTGCTAAAATTAGGCGTTTTCTTGCAATTTTCAAAACACGCTGTGGAAAACAGGCCATATCGCGGGAACCCTTTGTCATATTTTAGTTATTTTTTGATTTTATGATATTATGATACGGCAAGAGTGCGTTTTTAATATGCACCCTTGAATTCCCGCGAAATTCGATCGTAACTGTTTCAAAATGGCCGCCAAAGTTACGCATATATATATGTCGGATACACCTCCTCCTCAACTACATTAACAACATTCCAATTTAAATTACGCGCCATTTATTACAAAACAAAGTATGTCTTAGCTTAAACAATACGAATTGAATCGGCGTAACGGGATGAGTTCTGGGTGCGCGCTCAACGGTGCTCTCAGAGTGAGTGTCTTCATACATGATTCTCCTTTCCCTCGAAACCTTCGAATCCCTTCTGCGCTTGTCGCTCTTACTCGAGACACACACCCAGACCACATCGATGCAAGACTGCACCTCCATTAGCTGATTCATCTTCTTATGTCTAGATGGCGTCCTTGTTCGTATTCGAATCCGACACGGCCATCCTGCGCACACACGTCCTCGTGTGGCTTATTCTGTAAAACAAAGTAAATCTCAGAATCTTGTTCGAAAATTTTAATCACTCGGTCATCTCTGACCACATCTCTGTCATATCTCTCTCATATGCAGCAATATTACATTTCACAAAATCACAAAAATAACATGTTACAAAACCACTACAATGGTTTTCAACCCTGCACAATCACTACAATGATTTGCAACATCAAGCACAATCACTAGAATGATTGACTTCTAACAATTTCACAACCACTACAATGGTTGGAAATTCTACTCAACCACTACAATGGTTGGCAGTTCACAACTAATCACACCAATGATTAGGTCACATGTTACACAACCACACCAATGGTTGGCAACCTACTCAACCACTACAATGGTTGGCAGTTCACAACTAATCACACCAATGATTAGGTCCCATGTTACACAACCACACCAATGGTTGGCAACCTACTCAACCACTACAATGGTTGGCAGTTCACAACTAATCACACCAATGATTAGGTCTCATGTCACACAACCACACCAATGGTTGGCAACCTACTCAACCACTACAATGGTTGGCAGTTCACAACTAATCACACCAATGATTAGGTCCCATGTTACACAACCACACCAATGGTTGGCAACCTACTCAACCACTACAATGGTTGGCAGTTCACAACTAATCACACCAATGATTAGGTCCCATGTTACACAACCACACCAATGGTTGGCAACCCTGCATGATCACTACAATGACCAGCAGTTCACAACTAAACAAAAAGAAAAACAATTTAGTCATAAATGGTACACATTATAATTATCCATCAAACTACAAACCGTCTCATGCTCAAGAAAAACTTACATACCGTTACAAGTACTACAGCTATTACACTCCCCGTGCAACCCTTCCAATACTCCTACGTAGTATTGCCTAACAATTCCTCTGCCGCGACTTGTGCGTCCGGCATCTTTCTTAGTCGATCGTGAGCGTACTTGTACGTTCTCTTCGAACTTAACGACTTTAATTTGTATCTATCATTTTCTAATACCTCTATTATTTCATAAGGCCCTTTATACTTGGCTTCTAGCTTAGTTTGATTACGCTCCTCATTTTGTATGAGCACAAATTCTCCTAATGAGAAACGCTTTATTTTTGCTTTTGTCTTGTCAAATCTTGCCTTCTCGTACTTTGCCGATTTTTGAATTCGATCAATTGCCACTTGTCGAATTAAATTAAGATCTACGTCATGTTCCGCGTTATCTACCATCATTGCCAACGGTCTCGCTACTTTTCCTATTAAGAGTTCTAAGGGGGACGTCTTTGTAGTTTTATTAATTGTGCAATTAATTGCTAATTGAATATTTCCTAACTCATTCTGCCATGACTTATCTGGTGTAATTTCGATTGCCGTTAACATTGCTTTTAAAACGCTCATCACTCTTTCCACTTGGCCGTTTGCGCGCGATGCTCCCGTCGCAATAAGATGTAGGTTAATATTTTTTGAATTACAATAAGTTTTAAAATCATTACTGGTAAAACATCTACCTTGGTCGGCTATTACTCTTGTTGGGGCACCAAACAAACCGACAGCCTTATTTAATGCGTCGATACAGCTGTGACTATTGATATTTTTTGAGTGATGTAGAAAAACAAATTTTGTGAAAGAGTCTATTAATACGAAAACATATTCTTTGGTATCATTCTTTCCACTTAGCTTGCCTGTTGCGTCAATATGTATCGTATTCCATGGGGTAGTAGTCTTTGGAATAGGGTGTAATTCTGCCTGAATTTTGCCTGAATGTGGTTTACTGAGTTTACAAGTGATGCAGTTATCTACAAAACGCTTGACAAGTCGTGACATTCCTTGAAACCAATAGTGTTCGTAAATCTTTTCGAGCGTCTTATCCGATCCTAAATGCCTTATTGACTCATGGATATTATTTATGACCGACCATTTCATCGAGTGAGGAATTATTGGTAGGCATAGAGACTTTCCGTTTCTTTGGATATGTCGGTGAAGAATGCCCGATCTTAACTCGTATGTCGCCGCTATGTTTTCGTCTAATGTGTTATTCGCTAAGTCTAATTTTAATTTCGAAATCTCTTCATCTTTCAACTGTTCTGCAAGTAGCCAATTGTCTTGTAGTTCTGCTAAGTTAACAATTTTCAGTTCTTTTCTATTTTCCATGCGCGGTGGGTTTTTATTTTCGCCTAGGTGGTTACGTGATAGAAAATCTACATGTGCCATTCGCTTTCCCTCCCTATACTCTATGTTAAATTCAAACGCTTGCAAATACGCCCACCATCGATGTACTCGTGGTGTTAAATCACATTTCTTTTGTGCAGCTTTTATGGAATTACAATCCGTAAAAATTGTAAATTTGCGTCCGCTTAGATATTGACGAAAATGTTTAATGGCGTTCACTATCGCAAGTGTCTCTAATTCATACGAATGGTACTTAAATTCTGTCGGTGTTGTTCGCTTGCTATAATACGCAACTACATGTTTCTTCTGTTCCTTTATCTGCATTAAAATTCCTCCATAACCGTCTAGACTTGCGTCTAAAAGTTCTTTGACTTTCCCACGCATTGATTCTCTTTCTTCGAATGAGAGACGATAAGGGCGTCTTTGTACTGTTTTTGTTGAGTCTATAAGTCTGATCTCAAGTGTGCCCGTGTTTACGCGCGTTAATGGCATTTTGGTCACAAAGTATTCAGAGAAACTACTTATCACGCTTTCGAGTTTTGCTTTTTGACAAGCTGAAATATGTGTGTCTAGATTCTCTAATTTAATAGTTGTGTTGTCTGGAACACACGAGTGGATGTTTTTCAAAAGCTCTTTTTTAAGTTGAAATGAACTTTTAGTTATTATCGCAGTAAAATTTTGATTCAAAATCTCACGACCCAGCAATACGGCATGAATCAAATATAAATCAGGCAAGACGTGGAACAAGATCTCATCAAAGTGACTTTGAATTTCAACTGGACATAATATTTGCTCAAACGAATTTACTTTACTCGTACCAATTCCAATCATCGTAACTGAATTATAAAATTTCTTCCCGCAGAAATTTCGTGCAATACTCTCTTTTACTAATTCTCTCCATTCTCTCCAGAATCCAAATGAAAGGGTTACGACTCACCGTTATGCTTAAAAGTACCTCCAGGTAAATCTACTGCACAGACGTTGACCGTCTTGACAGAACCCTCATTCTTCCTGCAGCGGTTGGCGAAGTGTCCGGTCTCACCGCATTTGAAGCATCTTCCGCTGTTTGACGCTCCCGATGTGGACGGCTGAGGGGTGAATTTCAGGTCTTGTCTTCGCTTCTCGGGGCAGTCAGCTTGTCGATGTCCAAATTTATTGCAGTTGAAACACTTCGTCATCTTGGGTTGGAATGATGAAGTTCTTCGCATCTTCTCCGGGCGTTGCGAAGCATTGTCTACTGCGGCTGGTCGTTTAAAAGAGAGTGCTTGTAACTCCTTTTGTAATTGCTGTCTCGTCTGAATTTCGTTGGTGAATGACATACGCTGTACTCGATTATCGAATTGAGCAATATGCGATAATATTGTCGCAATAGCGATTTGCTCGATGGACGCATCTTTCCAGTTAGTCATTAGCGAATTGAAAAGTCGCCCCGCGTAAGAACTCAAATTTTCATCACCTCGTGGCCTTCCATTCTGTAGATTTATTAGAGACGCAGTCATCGTCTCTGACTGAATAAATCGTGCGGCAAACTGTGATTTAAAATCTTCCCACGAAATATCCGGGTAGGATATCTGCGACAACCACGATGATGCTGCACCCTTCATTGCTCTGCTTAACGTCATAATTAGTTTGGCACCCGTCAAATTCTTGTCACCAATACATAACTCTGCCATGGAACACCAAGCACGCGCGTCAGCATCACGATCATCCGGATTAAATTCCGACAAATTAAATTGTTCGGTCACCTGGGGTTTTATCAACGCTTCAATAAGAATACGCATATTGTTATTTTGCACTTGTAATAACTGATTCCACTTTTCTTTATCATTGTCACTTTCTCTATCGCACTTTTCACTAGATCGCAAATTAGATCGCAAATTGGATCCAGATCCCACTTCTGATGTCGGATAAACCTCCTCGTCAACTACATTAACAACATTCCAATTTAAATTACGCGCCATTTATTACAAAACAAAGTATGTCTTAGCTTAAACAATACGAATTGAATCGGCGTAACGGGATGAGTTCTGGGTGCGCGCTCAACGGTGCTCTCAGAGTGAGTGTCTTCATACATGATTCGCCTTTCCCTCGAAACCTTCGAATCCCTTCTGCGCTTGTCGCTCTTACTCGAGACGCACACCCAGACCACATCGATGCAAGACTGCACCTCCATTAGCTGATTCATCTTCTTATGTCTAGATGGCGTCCTTGTTCGTATTCGAATCCGACATATATATACAAAGTAAATATATTCTTTTTCTTAGGCCGAGAAATATTGAAAGTAAAAGTAGATTCCGTGTATATGTGCTATATCAATATTGTGAATTTTAGTTTTGTCTTCTCAACTACGTGTTTATTAGTACGTTTGTACGAGTATATAAACAACTTTGTCCGACTGACGCGTGTTATCGCTGTGTACCTGCCTTGCTACAAGTCGTGCACGCGGCAGTCGTTTCACCGCGTGGTCCGCGAATGCGTCTCACTACCCGCTACGCGTTTTCAGACTTCAATTATTCAATTAACCGCCGTGTATTCTTTTCGTCAATAGCAAAATATTCGTAACAAACATATGTGGCTGTTTTGTTTGATTAGTTGGGGCGGTTAGAGTCTCCTTAAGTGAGAAATAAGTGTCCGTAAATCCCTGCGCTAATTTTCAGTTGTTAGAATATATTACAGGATAAAAATCTCCTCATCAATGTACAGGTAGGTGGATAATTTAAATTTATTGCGGAAAGTAAAGGGGTTTAATTTAAATTGATTATTCTATTGGAAGGATATTAATTTTGTAGATTACAAACACGTGCTGGCATTTTTATCAGATTTCTTTTTCGTCGCGTTTCCGAAAATAACATGCCTGATTTAATTAGTACAAGCACGGTTTTTAAATTACCTGAGGATTATTAAAATGACAATATTCATGTGGTCGACCACGTTTACTTTGCCGTCGGCCGTCGGTTCGGTCATGTTTTTGGTGATCACGTAAACATTTTTAATCGAATTGCATCATTAAATTAATAATTGCTGGTTGAAATAAAATCTTGAACGGTAAATAGTTTTTCGTTTCGCTGTCTCAGTATATCTTAATATTTACAAATAAATAATGATTTTTATCGTCTTTAACCACTGTGATGTTACTCGATGTCGCTTGCCGTCTGTTGATTTAGATGTTTTCCGCCGGATATACCTTATACAGTTGATGCTACCATCAATTAATTAATATACATATATATATTCTCAATATATTAAAATGTAAGTGTTTTATTTTTGTAGCACCTTTTTGCTCAATTTTCCCGATGATTTTCGAGTAAAATCTATGATTTTATATTAAAATATTGTTTAAAAATATTTATTTATTAAAATTCTACGTGATTTTTACTGGATTTTACAATTTTATATAATGAGTTTGACATGTTTCGCCCTGAGGGCATCTTCATAAATTTATGAACTTTAGAACTTTAATAAATAAATATTTTTAAACTATACAATGGATTACGTATTCATAAATGAAAGTAATAAAATATTGTTGTTAACTTGTAAAATTCCTCTTTCCTTATTGTGAATATTGACTTCCTTCGTAGTTTCTAAAATTTTCTTTTTAACACCCTGTATATTAGTTTTTCTAATAGCCCGTAGGAAACCACCTTTAGTTGTGAGTTTTCAGTGTTCTCTGTTTTGATTGATGGGATTTTCTTTCTAGAACACCCTGTATGTGTGTTTTTCCCTGTGTCCGGGAAAAATTTGCTTTATCTGCTGTTTTTAGTATTTTCCGCTTTGCACTTTGAATTTTCTTTCTGAAACACCCTGTATATTAGTTTTCCTGATCGTTGAGTGAGTGGCGTTTCTAGTGTTGAGAGTTTTTTGTTTGCACTTTAAATTTACCTTTTGTAACACCTTGTATATTTGTTTCCATTTTCAATCACCTAGAAAATTGGCTATTTACTAATTTCATTATTCCGGTAGAACTTTATGAAGTAGTACTTGCTGGCATGTGCGCGGCTATGCAGGTCGTAACTCCTATTTCAATATGGAGACATGTATTCCGTTGACTTGTAAAATCTAAACTTGTATTCTATTGTTAATAAATAAATAGTAAGATATATTGACTTCTTTGATTTGTGTACCTCTTCTATCATTTCAGGAACAGGTCTCTAAGAGAGTTCACTCCCTCAGGGGATGATCCCCACTATAAATATTGTTAAGGTATCCTGTGTAATTTGTGTGCTCCTTCTTTCATTTCAGCTACAGGTCAGAACTTGTAAGAATATTTTTAAGTGTCACCTCTCTTGAGACGACTTAAAACTTAGAAATATTTTTACAAGACCTTATAAGGATTGTCCTTATAAGGAGTTCCCTCTCTCTGGGGGTGATCCCCCACCATAAAAATTGTTGATATGCCTGATAATTTCGGGGATGAAGCGCAGAGACATCGTAGCTGTAGGTTGGGCCGGGAGCATCGGGACGCATCGAAGCAGTGGGCCGTAGACCGTAGACTGTCTTATAACGACACGTGCCAAAAAATTTAAAAATCTGATCCTCTCCTGTTCTCTTTCTTCCATCTCCTTCTCTTCTCTACTTCCTTCTGTCTTCTACTCTTCTCTGCTATTCCTTCTTCTACTTCTCCCATTCCTATGTTCTCAGTTTCACCACTTACTACTTTCGTAATTCTCTTATTGCTTTCACTTGTATTGCAATTTCTCTTATATTTTACTTGAGTTTACATGTGCAACCCAAATTACACCCGTTATTTTTATATTTGAGAAAAATGCCTTCTACCTCTGAGATTCGATCCGTGTCTACTAGCATGCTAGCAGGTGCACGTACCTACTCGACCACCGAGTAATTTTATCATTGTCATTTGATTCTTATATTTATGATTCTACTTTATTCAACTTTTTAAAAACAACAACACAACACAAATAACAGCAATATATTGAACACGCTCGACGCGCTTAAGATTTATATAGAATATGATTCAAGACATCAATCCTGCAAATGGCAAAGGGGAAACCAGAACGAAACATGAAGAAGTAGATATATAATATTACATTATGTTTTATTAACAACATTAAAAACTACATACATTTTTTAAAATCGAAAATCATAGACAGCTCTTAAATCTCCTGAAAGTAAAACTTGCCTTGTAATACGCGCATCTCTAACATTTCTGCGAGAGAAGCGGTAGACTCTTTGGCACAAGTGCTCCTAAACTTCTTCAACAGGCATCAACATTGTTTATTTATATTAATTAAACATAAATCCAAGTTATTATTAAGTTTGTGTGGACACGCAGGTTATTTACACATGGCTTAACACGAGTGCAATGTAATTCCACAAGCGAAAAACAATCACCAACGGCCGACGGAACATCACACGCGCATAGGTGAACCACCGATAACTCCGCGATTGATGAACATTCATCGCATGCTATCTTAATAGCAAAAACAACATTCACATTCGATTTAAGTAAATTTCGTCAATTGTTAATTGAACATTCCGCAATTTACCTAATTATGATTGGAAGAACAAAAAGTAGTCGCAATGAAAACGCGCGATTCACTCGACAACCAAAATGGAACTGCGTATGCCTTGAGTTGCACAGCCGACAGCAACTACACGAGGTCACTATCGCTGTTGAGATACGCACGCTGAAAACAATAAAAAAAACTTGTTATGCGTGTATTCTAGCAAACCTAAGAATACTTTACAATACTGCAACAAAATATGTATTATTTTATAGAGAATTGGCGTAGATTAAGACTCTGCGATTTAGTTTACGAGTTATTCACAATTGAAGTAAATCGTTAAAAATTAAAAAAATTGCAATGTTTAGCAGTTTCAGTCGCGTTTTTAGACCTTTTATCCTTTTTTACGACCAAGAATTAAATTCTGCATCTTTAGGGACCCCTCTGATATTAAGGGGCAGCCCCATTCAGCTGTTTACCCCAAAAACAAGCAAAAATTGGTCCTTGGAAACATGAAAACGCAATTTTTGTTGCTAATTAATTAACAAATCACTAAGGTTATTATTGAAAATGATAAAGAAAATCATTACTTACAATCGGAATCAATAATGGTGCTCTTACGAAGTCGGGCTCAGGTGTAAAACCCCTAAAACAGGCAAAAATTAGATCTTCAAGTCACAAAAATGCATTTTCGAGAGCTAATTATTAAGCAAATTACTAATGTTATTCATGAAAATGATAAAGAAATTCAATACTTACAATCTGATTCAACAATGGTGCTCTAACGAAGTCGGGCTCAGGTGTAAAACCCCTAAAACAGGCAAAAATTAGATCTTCGAGTCACAAAAATGCATTTTTGGGACCTAATTAATAAGCAAATTACTAATGTTATTCATGAAAATGATAAAGAAATTCAATTCTTACAATCTGATTCAACAATGGTGCTCTAACGAAGTCGGGCTCAGGTGTAAAACCCTAAAACAGGCAAAAATTAGATCTTCAAAACACATAAATGCATTTTTTGTTGCTAATTACTAAGCAAATTACTAAAGTTATTCATGAAAATGACAGAGAAATTCAATACTTACAATCTGATGAAAGAATGGTTCTCCTACGATGTCCGGTCCAGGCGTAAAATCCCTAAAACAGGCAATAATTTGATCTTCGAAGCACAAAAATGCATTTTTGGTAGCTAATTAATAAGCAAATTACTAAACTTATTTGTGAAAATAATAAAGAAATTCAATACCTACAATCTGATGAAAGAATGGTTCTCCTGCGATGTCATGTTCAGGTGTAAAACCCCTAAAACAAGCCAAAATTAGTCTTTCAAAACACAAAAATTACATTTTTGCTCCTAATTAATAATCTAATCCCTAAAGTTATTAATAAAAATAATAAAGAAATTCAATACTTACAACCTTATGAAAGAATAGTTCTCTTACAATGTCAGGTTGATGGATCGGATATACTGCGAATTTGGAAAGTAGATATCCGGACAAACAATACGAGTCTCAAAAAATATTGCACAACCCAGATACCGGCACGAAACTGGCTGCAAACTGTGCATGCAACAACGCGACAGTATATGACAAGGAAGCAATAGATGCGCAAAGCCGGCGGCGCGTCAATGGGACGCGACCTTGTGCGCGAATTGCAATAGACACAATAGCTGCGATATATACTAAACTCGAATGTGCTGCATGCGGCTCTACGACACACGGAAAAATATAAAATATGAAAAAATATGAAAGTTTTTTGTTTTAACTTACGTTTTCTTTTTTATTTGCAATTTGCGACTAAAAGTGCTAAAAAGTGACATTTATCAATTTTTGCCCATTTTATTCAATCGCGAATATCTCGTAAACTAAAAGAGATAAATAAGATCTGATCGCAGCGTCTTAATCTACGGACTATTTTCTATCAGATAGGATAGTTAAAAGGGAAATATGAGAGACACAATTTTAAGTCTTAAGAAAAAAATTGCCAAGGGGGGGTGCTTGATACTTTTTTTCGACGATTTTTGATAATTAATATCTCTTAAACTAAACGAGATAGCAACCCACGAATTGTTGATTATGAAAGATTGGAAAATTGTCTATCAGATAACAATATAAAATAATTATATTTTCACAGTAACAGGTCGAAAAACGCGACTAAAAGTGCTAAAAGTGACATTTATCAATTTTGCCCATTTTATTCAATCGCGAATATCTCGTAAACTAAAAGAGATAAATAAGATCTGATCGCAGCGTCTTAATCTACGGACTATTTTCTATCAGATAGGATAGTTAAAAGGGAAATATGAGAGACAAAATTTTATGTCTTAAGAAAAAAATTGCCAAGGGGGGGTGCTTGATACTTTTTTTCGACGATTTTTGATAATTAATATCTCTTAAACTAAACGAGATAGCAACCCACGAATTGTTGATTATGAAAGATTGGAAAATTGTCTATCAGATACAAATATAAAATAATTATATTTTGTACAGTAAAAGGTCGAAAAACGCGACTAAAAGTGCTAAAAAGTGACATTTATCAATTTTTGCCCATTTTATTCAATCGCGAATATCTCGCAAACTAAAAGAGATAAATAAGATCTGATCGCAGCATCTTAATCTACGGACTATTTTCTATCAGATAGGATGGTTAAAAGGGAAATATGAGAGACAAAATTTTAAGTCTTAAGAAAAAAATTGCCAAGGGGGGGTGCTTGATACTTTTTTTCGACGATTTTTGATAATTAATATCTCTTAAACTAAACGAGATAACAACCCACGAATTGTTGATTATGAAAGATTGGAAAATTGTCTATCAGATACAAATATAAAATAATTATATTTTCTACAGTAAAAGGTTGAAAAACGCGACTAAAAGTGCTAAAAAGTGACATTTATCAATTTTTGCCCATTTTATTCAATCGCGAATATCTCGTAAACTAAAAGAGATAAATAAGATCTGATCGCAGCGTCTTAATCTACGGACTATTTTCTATCAGATAGGATAGTTAAAAGGGAAATATGAGAGACAAAATTTTAAGTCTTAAGAAAAAAATTGCCAAGGGGGGGTGCTTGATACTTTTTTTCGACGATTTTTGATAATTAATATCTCTTAAACTAAACGAGATAACAACCCACGAATTGTTGATTATGAAAGATTGGAAAATTGTCTATCAGATACAAATATAAAATAATTATATTTCCAACAGTAAAAGGTCGAAAAACGCGACTAAAAGTGCTAAAAAGTGACATTTATCAATTTTTGCCCATTTTATTCAATCGCGAATATCTCGCAAACTAAAAGAGATAAATAAGATCTGATCGCAGCATCTTAATCTACGGACTATTTTCTATCAGATAGGATGGTTAAAAGGGAAATATGAGAGACAAAATTTTAAGTCTTAAGAAAAAAATTGCCAAGGGGGGGTGCTTGATACTTTTTTTCGACGATTTTTGATAATTAATATCTCTTAAACTAAACGAGATAACAACCCACGAATTGTTGATTATGAAAGATTGGAAAATTGTCTATCAGATACAAATATAAAATAATTATATTTCCAACAGTAAAAGGTCGAAAAACGCGACTAAAAGTGCTAAAAAGTGACATTTATCAATTTTTGCCCATTTTATTCAATCGCGAATATCTCGTAAACTAAAAGAGATAAATAAGATCTGATCGCAGCGTCTTAATCTACGGACTATTTTCTATCAGATAGGATAGTTAAAAGGGAAATATGAGAGACAAAATTTTAAGTCTTAAGAAAAAAATTGCCAAGGGGGGGTGCTTGATACTTTTTTTCGACGATTTTTGATAATTAATATCTCTTAAACTAAACGAGATAGCAACCCACGAATTGTTGATTATGAAAGATTGGAAAATTGTCTATCAGATAAAAATATAAAATAATTATATTTCCAACAGTAAAAGGTCGAAAAACGCGACTAAAAGTGCTAAAAAGTGACATTTATCAATTTTTGCCCATTTTATTCAATCGCGAATATCTCGTAAACTAAAAGAGATAAATAAGATCTGATCGCAGCGTCTTAATCTACGGACTATTTTCTATCAGATAGGATAGTTAAAAGGGAAATATGAGAGACAAAATTTTAAGTCTTAAGAAAAAAATTGCCAAGGGGGGGTGCTTGATACTTTTTTTCGACGATTTTTGATAATTAATATCTCTTAAACTAAACGAGATAGCAACCCACGAATTGTTGATTATGAAAGATTGGAAAATTGTCTATCAGATAACAATATAAAATAATTATATTTCCAACAGTAACAGGTCGAAAAACGCGACTAAAAGTGCTAAAAGTGACATTTATCAATTTTGCCCATTTTATTCAATCGCGAATATCTCGTAAACTAAAAGAGATAAATAAGATCTGATCGCAGCGTCTTAATCTACGGACTATTTTCTATCAGATAGGATAGTTAAAAGGGAAATATGAGAGACAAAATTTTAAGTCTTAAGAAAAAAATTGCCAAGGGGGGGTGCTTGATACTTTTTTTCGACGATTTTTGATAATTAATATCTCTTAAACTAAACGAGATAGCAACCCACGAATTGTTGATTATGAAAGATTGGAAAATTGTCTATCAGATAACAATATAAAATAATTATATTTCCACAGTAAAAGGTCGAAAACGCGACTAAAAGTGCTAAAAGTGACATTTATCAATTTTTGCCCATTTTATTCAATCGCGAATATCTCGTAAACTAAAAGAGATAAATAAGATCTGATCGCAGCGTCTTAATCTACGGACTATTTTCTATCAGATAGGATAGTTAAAAGGGAAATATGAGAGACAAAATTTTAAGTCTTAAGAAAAAAATTGCCAAGGGGGGGTGCTTGATACTTTTTTCGACGATTTTGATAATTAATATCTCTTAAACTAAACGAGATAGCAACCCACGAATTGTTGATTATGAAAGATTGGAAAATTGTCTATCAGATAACAATATAAAATAATTATATTTCCAACAGTAACAGGTCGAAAAACGCGACTAAAAGTGCTAAAAGTGACATTTATCAATTTTTGCCCATTTTATTCAATCGCGAATATCTCGTAAACTAAAAGAGATAAATAAGATCTGATCGCAGCGTCTTAATCTACGGACTATTTTCTATCAGATAGGATAGTTAAAAGGGAAATATGAGAAACAAAATTTTAAGTCTTAAGAAAAAAATTGCCAAGGGGGGGTGCTTGATACTTTTTTTCGACGATTTTTGATAATTAATATCTCTTAAACTAAACGAGATAGCAACCCACGAATTGTTGATTATGAAAGATTGGAAAATTGTCTATCAGATAACAATATAAAATAATTATATTTTCTACAGTAAAAGGTCGAAAACGCGACTAAAAGTGCTAAAAGTGACATTTATCAATTTTGCCCATTTTATTCAATCGCGAATATCTCGTAAACTAAAAGAGATAAATAAGATCTGATCGCAGCGTCTTAATCTACGGACTATTTTCTATCAGATAGGATAGTTAAAAGGGAAATATGAGAGACAAAATTTTAAGTCTTAAGGAAGAAATTGCCAAGGGGGTGCTTGATACTTTTTTCGACGATTTTTGATAATTAATATCTCTTAAACTAAAACGAGATAACAACCCACGAATTGTTGATTATGAAAGATTGGAAAATTGTCTATCAGATACAAATATAAAATAATTATATTTCCTACAGTAAAAGGTGGCCTGTTTTCCACCGCGTGTTTTAAAATTGCGCGACTACGACCAAAAGTGCTAAAAAGTGACATTTATCAATTTTTCCACCGCGTGCCTTAAAAATTGCAAGAAAAAGCGTAACTTTGGCGGCCTTGTTGAGGCAGTTAAGATCGAATTTCGCGGGAAATCAAGAGTGCATTTTCCACCGCGTGGTTTTAAAATTGCAAGAAAAGGCGTAAATTTGACAACCATTTTGAAGCAGTTACAATCAAATTTCACGGGTTTCAAAGGTGCATTGTAGTAATGCACTCTTGTCCTATCATAAAAGAAAGAAAAAAATTAAACTATGACAAAGGGTTTTTGAGATATGGCCTGTTTTCCACCGCGTGTTTTAAAATATATAAGAAAAGGGCAAACTTCGGCGGCCATTTTGAGGCAGTTACAGCCGAATTTCACTGAGCTTCAAGGGTGCATTAAAAATGCACTCTTGCCCTATCATAAAATAAAGAAAAACTAAAATATGGCAAAGGGTTCCCAAGGTATGACCTGTTTTCCACCGCGTGTTTAGAAAATTGCAAGAAAAGGCGTAACCTTATCGGCCATTTTAAGGCAGTTACAATCAAATTTCGCGGGAGGAGTTCAGGGGTGCATGGTAAAAATGCACTCTTGTCCTATTATAAAATAAAGAAAAAACTAAAATATGACAAAGAGTTTCCAAGATATGGCTTGTTTTCCAGCGTGTTTTGAAAAATGCAAGAAATTGGCAAATTTTGGCGGCTATTTTGATGCACTTACAACCAAATTTGGCGAGGGTTCAGAGGTGCATTACAAAAATGCGCTCTTGACCTATCATAAAATAAAGAAATAATTAAAATATGACTAAGGGTTCCCGAGATATGGCCTGTTTTCCACTGTGTGTTTTGCAAAACGCGACAAAAGAGCAAACTTTGTCGTTTCTTTCGTTTTCTATATTACCCGCAATTAAAATAAACAAGATCCCCTAAATTCGCGAGCTTTTGCAACACGCAGGTCATAAAACATTTGACCGAATAATATAACTTAATAAAAACTTACCAATGCTGAAGTACTCAAGTACGAAGAAATCTCCTGATGACGGGAAACATCATGGCAAGAATATGCATTTGTAATGTAAACATCAAACGCAAACATATAAAAATTATGGATATTCAACGCCCAAATTAATCATTAACGAAACACTGCAGATGCATGTTATATCTAAATAGTCAATCGATGACCGAATGCAATGCAAATTGAGAAAATAAGAGTCTGATAAAACGATACGAGTCGCGCGAAATACGTCTAGATACGCCAGCAACCGGCACGAAACTGGCTGTAATCCATCGATAGTGTAAGCAACGATGCAACAGTTCTCAATAAGACAATTTGCCTGCAGCATGAACCCCGCAGGTTAAAGCAATATCGCGATCCCAACTAAACTGGTGACGTGACAACGTGCGGCGTGAGGGGATGGCAACGACGACACACGGGCATTCGATAGGAAAATGTAAATTGCGTTCAAAACAAACCCAAGTCTCACGTTTGTCGATAAATATAAAAAAAGTCGTATAACACGATTTTATAATTTTTAGTGCATCCTAGTGCTATCTATGAATGCAATAGATAGTTGTCCCGAAATTTAGATTAATAAAATTAATAAACAATAAAATTCAAATCATGAAATTATTATTTCCTATACTAAAAGATTAACCGATTTTACATCAAATATTTAAGTCATATTTAATTTTAACATATATTGCTACACTATTTAGGTTCATATTTTAGCAATGAACAATTCCAAATGAATTCTAAAGACAATTTATACTAAAATAAAATGGTTCGTAAAAACGTTTTGTTGCAACAAAATATATAAATTTCAAGTGAAAGTTTTCTGCTGAAAAGATATCATTTGACAAAATTACGAGTCCAACAGTAAAATTTTAGTAAAATGGAATGATCAAGAGAACGGTTTGTAGCAACATCCAAAATAAAAACTTAAAATTTTCAATTTTAATTTTACCGTGGAAAATGTGAGTTCACATTTAATCAAATTGCGGGTAAACTATGACTCCAAGAGTACAATTTGATTTAAATAAAATGTTCAAGAGTACTTCTTACAGGAACATTCAAAATAAAAACTTTAAATTTCAAGAATTAAATTTTCAGCGGGAAATGTGACTTCACATTTGATCAAATTGCCGGAAAACTATGAGTCCAAAAGTAAAATTTTATCAAAATAAAGTGCTCTGGGAGATCTTCTATAACAACTTCCAAAATAAAAACTTTAAATTTATAAATTTAATTTTTCTATTAAAAATGTAAGTTCACATTTAGTCAAATCACAGGAAAACTAGAGGTCCTCGAGTAAAATATTACTAAAATGAAATACACAAAAGGACTTTCTATAGCAATATCCAAAATAAAAACTTTAAATTTTCAAATTTAATTTTTTCCCGGAAAATGCAAGTTCACATTTAGTCAAATTACGGAAAAGTTATGAGTCCTAGAGTAAAATTTTACTATAAGTGTTCAGAGCGTCGTTTTTTCAATTAAACGTCGCTCTGAACATCCGTAATAAAAAAGTTTGAATTTCCATTTTCAATTTTTTTGCGGAATGCTTGGCCGAAATTTCCGCAAAAAGAAGTTTAAGATAATCATTCACTAATTGCAGGAAAACCATAAACTCGAAAAATAGATACTATGAACGATGAAAACTTTCACTCACCAGTGTATCGAACACCGTAAATCAGTATGCGAGTAGATACTAAAATAAACAAGAAACAAAACATTAGTTATACAATTTCGGACAATGTTGAAATGAATCCGAATTCCGGAGGAACCCAAACTTAAAACGTATCTTATTTGCCATAATTATTTAAATAATAATATTTACCAGGTAAAACAATCGCCCGTCGTGTTCTGCTGAAGACAAAAATGGTTCGCACAACTCCAAAATATTATTTACAATCACAGAACATGGCCGACTGGCGTCCGACGGCAACCGATCCCAGATACACGAAAAATTGTAATAAACACACAAAACATTGAATTCCGAAGTACATACGCGATAAATATTTAGCGACTAAAACCCGTCTATTAACACTAAATTTCAGCAAATATAACGCGATATAACGAATTTACAACACGAATTACGAATGTTCATTTAAATATTATTACTAATCGCACGAAGTAAGGGTTACGTGCCGGGTACACAACAACTGGGCACGCCGACCTTCACTCGCAGGAATATTTTTAGCTAAAACGTGCATTATTGCGCCACCTGAGGTTACTTTTGAGTATCTCAAGAAAATACAAAGTGTATCAAAAAGTGTGGCATGCATATGAGGCAGTGAGTGATTGGCTATGAGTCAGTGTATGGCCACGCACTTAAATGGCAGTGCCGTGTGTCACACGTACAACTGCAACTGCGCATGCACCATCCTATCTAAACGAATAGCAATTTTTACACATAACTCAAAGCTTCAAATGTAGATACTGCTAGAATGTATTAATTCAAAATAAATGAACTGAATTTTGCAATTTTAATGCAAATATTCATCAATTTAGCAATAAAAAAATTGTACACTGCAATGAATGTATATATTCGTCATAAAATCACATATTTTCTTTAAAATTGCATCAAATCTCTTCAAAAACTACAAAAAAGCATAAAAACATTCAAATTTTACTTCTTTAGTAACTTACTCTTGAAATTAAATACCTATATTATTTTAGTTAATAAAAATCATCTAAATATTCATATTCATTAATTCATATTATTTTCCGTCAGAAGCTACCTCTATCAAAGGGGTCAAATCTACCGCTAAAAAACATTAATTGTGCAAATTTTCGTGGGTTGCAGGTCGAATTTCAGCAACAAACAAGTACAACCTGACGGAGAATTTAATTCTACATCTCTAGATACCCCGCAAAAGTTTGTGCGCCGCCTCGTTCGCGCGAAATGATTAAAAATATGTATGTATTACGAACAAGAGTGTATAAAAAAAGCAAGTAATGATACCTTACCAGTATTTTATGCATTGCAACACTTAAACAAGGGCTGACGATAATAATAATCTGTGAAACTGCGGAACGCGAAAGCGATTGCTAAAACAAAGAAGAGAAAAAGAATTAGAACCAGCCCCCTTCAACTCCGTGTTACAGAAAACGACTCAATGTTGTCGCTATTTACAGATAAGTATAGTTGCAACGGTTGCAATATAGTTGCGTTATAGTTGCAATATAGTTTAGCCATATGATAACAACACAAACGGTAAACAGCTGTCATGCAACTAAACTACCAGCGCCACCCAGAGGTAATAAAATTACGCGACACACACGCCAACTCTTGCGAGTCTTTCTCCCATTTAAGTGACAGGGGGCCGGTTTTATGTCAGTTTGCACGTGTTTCTGATTTGTTTTGAACACAAATATATTAAAACTATCTCAGCGATGGAAGTTAATGAAGACAATTATTTTGATAGCTATGCGGATTTACAGGTGAAGTAAATTTAAAATTTTAGCCCCTCTTTTTATAAATTTATATAAATATTAGATTCATAAGCTGATGCTGGAGGACACAGTGCGTAACAAGGCATATAAACAAGCGATTATTGATAATTCTGCCTTCATAAAGGGAAAGACTGTATTGGATGTTGGGGCTGGCACTGGTATTCTGTCAGTATTCTGTGCTCAGGCAGGAGCTGCTAAAGTGTATGCTGTAGAAGCAAGTGATACCTATAAACTTGCAGAACAAGTGGTTAGTGAAAATGGTTTCAGTAATATTATTGAGGTATTTTGTTTACTATTAAATTAATTTTGAGCAATATATTAAATAGTTATATGCACAGGTCATTCATTGCAAAGTTGAAGACTTAGTTCTTCCAGGTGATATGAAAGTGGATATTTTGGTATCTGAATGGATGGGTTTCTACTTGTTGCATGAAGGCATGCTGGACTCTGTGATTATAGCAAGAGATAAGTTTATGAAAGAGGATGGTTTGATGCTTCCGGAATCTGCAACTATTTATGCATCTCCTTGCAGGTAAAATACCTAGTACAAATGTGGAGTAAGTTGGTACATATTTTCATCATTTTAAAATATTCCAGTGTGCCCACAATGTATTCTCAATGGGATAATGTTGAAGGCATTTCAATGGCATCGTTTGCACAAAATTTACGACTTAGCGCCGCGCATAAACCACAAACAACCACTTTAAACATTAATGATGTGATAGCAGTGCCAGAAACAGTGTTCTGGTTTGACTTAAGAAGTATCACATTATCAGAATTGGATTCAATCTCATTGAAACATGTTTTGTTGCTAACAAAAGTGGGCTGTGCCAGGGTGTCGCCCTTTGGTTCACATGCACGTTTCCATCTTCGGGTACATCCGAACCTGTGATTTTGTCCACAGATCCCGACGATCCTCCCACCCATTGGAAGCAAACAATTATTGTTTTGCCCAATGAGATGGAAGTCGAAAAAGAGGAACCAATCGCTTTAAATATTAACTTAACGCGGGCCGAGAATTCCCGACGATACAATATAGAACTTTCAATGTTGGATCCAGATGAAGTTGAGCATCCTCCTTATTGCCCTTGTCACATGACAAAATGTATTTTGTTCCGCGCTGTTGTGGATGGATATCAAGCTCGCAATGACAATAATTAGCTTCACTTAAATGTAAGTTCTTTTTAATTAACATTTGCATCCTCCCAATACAAAAATAAAATGTTCGAATATTGCATACAATTTTGTTACATATCACAAGATATACTGAAATGCATTCAAAATGCGAAAATTAAGTCCCGTAATAGTGTATAAATAAAATCGGCTAAATAAATACGTTGATAGGAATAAAATATTGTTCAACCCTGCTTTAAAACGCAACCATCTACAGATGTAGGACAAGTTTCAAAGAAGGGTTAAATATGTAAATAGCTAAAATAGTAGACTCTTCCTACGATTGTTCGAATCCTTTAGGATTGTTTACTTGCCAATTCCACGTGTCGGCGCACATATCATGTATGCTCTTGTGCGCCACCCAATCGAGCTCAATATTAGCAAGCGATGGATCTGCATAGCTTGCTGCAACGTCGCCGTCACGACGTTCTACAATTTCGTACTTAATCTTACGCCCGGATGCCTTTTCGAAGGCCTTTACCATCTCCAGCACGGAACAACCTTTGCCCGTGCCCAGATTGTACGCCTTCCAACCGACGAACGATGGATCCTTGAATTTATGCAGGGCTTTCAAGTGCCCACTCGCTAAATCAGTGATGTGAATGTAATCTCGCACGCCAGTGCCATCGGGGGTTTCATAATCGTCACCAAAGATTTTTAAACAGTCTCGTCGACCTACTGCTACCTGTGATATGTACGGCATTAAATTGTTGGGGATGCCTGACGGATTTTCACCGATTAACCCCGATTCGTGAGCACCGACTGGATTGAAATATCGAAGCAGAATTACTTGCCATTCCTTGTTAAAGACAATAATAATTAAAATGATTATATGAATTTAGTACAAGTGTTTTTACCTTATCTGATGTGCAAACATCCTTCAAGATCTCCTCTACAAAATATTTAGTTTTGCCATACGGATTTGTGCAACCTTGACCTGTTATGTGCTCCTCAGTGATTGGCAGATATTGTGGAGTACCATATACAGTGGCAGATGATGAAAACACCAACTTTTTGACACTAAAATCACTCATCACCTGGAAAAGTGTGCTTGAACCAGCAATATTATTCTGATAATACATCAGTGGGATTTGAACAGATTCACCCACAGCTTTTAAGGCAGCAAAGTGAATAACAAAGTCAATTTTATGCTGAAAGAAAAAAATTAACATTAAATCCATTAACATTAAATGTGTGAAGGAATAACATACTGTTTTGAACACTTTTTCCAGTGCTAATTTATCTCGGATATCAACATTGTAGAACACAATTTGTTTTCCAGTGATTTTCTCAACCCTTTTCAAAGACTCAGGCTTCTGGTTCTTCTCAGCATAGCAGTTAACCAAGTTGTCAATTGCCACCACACTGTAGTTGCTATTCAGGAGTTCAATGATGGTATGTGAACCCACATAGCCTGCACCCCCAGTTACTAGTACCAATCCTTTGCCTGCCATTTCCTTCTCAGTGAACCACCACCTAGTTTCGGAAACAAAAAAGTTTCGAAAGTGATTATTGCGATCACGGCACTGGGCCACGTACCTTACTTAGTGAGATACCCTATTGGAATGATAACATAGTAGATGGAAGCGAGCGTATATATGCCATTTGTTATCGAAATCATTCTTATCACGCGTGTTTATTTGTCACTAGAAAATCGTGCCTACGCTACTGTGCACAGATGAAGTGCATGACGTGTTTTATGTTCGTCACTTGGCCGAACGGCGAAGTGCTCACGTCAACAGATTTTTTCAAAGCGCGTTGTTGATGTTAGGTGAGGATGTCGAAGGAACGGTTAATCGGGTTATGCCGAATTGCATGGTTACGGAGTATGCAACCAAACATGTTGCAGTATTTCGCAAGACTTAAGAAATACATTAACCACCGCGCAATTATTTTGAATAAGTAAATAAGCTAAATCCAAAATTTGCACAGCCAACGCAAATTGTTCAACTCACCGCTATCAGTTATCATTCCATCTTCTCGGTTACGTATCACCTCACAGAATCTGTGTTAAATGAATGGCAATGTCAGTGTCCTAGTTATATGTTATCGATTATTTTGCGTTGGTCGGTCGGTTACATTACTTCCAATTTAGTTCCGCTCGATATGAACATAAACAATACGGATATGACTTCGTTTTGCCGTCACCAAAATAGCTACGTTATCATGCTATATATTTTTTACAATCGTTTCATAACTACCTCGTAAACAAATTGTTAACATTTTTCGCAAGCGCACGCGCGACCACAAACGAGTAGGTGTAATAGAATTTCAAATAATAAAAACATTGTATAAATATAAATTATAGTTTAGTGAAGACTTCATTATTTTCAATTTCCAAAAATAACAACTTAAAGATATCGTTATAAAAGTCCGGATAGTATTCGCAAGCCCGTTTGCAATCCGGCATCCAATTGATCTCCAACAATTTGGGTATTATTTGTTCATCATCGTACGCCAACATAATGTCGGCTGCATACAATGCGCGACTTTGCGGATTTTCTGATATACCGCATGGCGGTGGTTCTGTGGTCGCACATTCAAATACCTCCTTCAACATCGAGGTGATCGACTTCTCCACTGAATCCCAAGAAGTTTCAAACTGTTCTCTCCATTCATCTTTAAATTCTGCACATAACATCCGTTTTAGTACCGCTTGTTCGTTATAATTCATTACAGTAAAGTGCTTCTCGTAAATGTGCAAATCATCTAAAGAAAACGCTTCATTTGCAAAGCGCAAGAAAAAGTTGTTGTATACATACACTTGCAATGGTTTAACGCTCTTCAATAAGATGACATATCGAATGTCAAACTTTACTTTGCCAATTCCTGATCGGGCAAACACAACTGGTTTTTCAATGTATTTCTGAGCAATTTTTGGACCAGAAGTTTGCAACCTTAGAATGCAATTCAGATTTTTCGTTATGTGCGTGTCTAGGCCGCGGGCTAAATTGAAAGGCTTGATGATCCAATGGTTGTCCATATTTTTAGCTTCCCTATTCTGGAAATAGCTCACAAATTGAGTAACCTCAGTGTTTAAATTGTAGGTCACTGGAAGCCACTTAGGTTGCATCTGCAGTGTCTTCATGTCTACAAAATCATCAGTGTTCTTCATTCTGCATACAATGCACAGCAGATCCTTAATTGTTAAGATATACTCAAAAGGAAACTGATTGACAAACTTCCAAGGCGAGCTATTGGACAACTGTTCAAATGCCTTGAAATGACTTGTGTACCATAAAATATCTGCATCTTCTTCATTATCAACAAGCTTGAAATTTGCATCAGTTAGATATTCATGGATGAATTTATATTCTGAGAAAACTTTAAATGTTTTCTTGAATCCGTTTGCCTTGGGCACATTAAGATTTTCAAGCACTGGCAATGATTCTTTAATATGACCACTCAGGAAGTAGTCTGGAGTGACTGATAAATGTTTGAAAGTCAAATGTGTAAGATCTGTATAAATCCATGGTATAAGTAAGGCATTTCTTTCATCAGAATGATCTTTTTCAACAAAATTCCTAGTAATTACATCAGTGAACTCACAATCTTTGATTGGAAATATCAATGAATATGTGATATTTTGTGAAAGAAAGATAAATGGCACCATTCTAAAGTTTGGTGTGTCAGAGTGCTGCATTGCTGAGCCTACTTCATCCATAATGTACCATACTGGTACTCTGTCCTCTACATTTTCTGCATTTGCAACAAAATATGTGTTTGCATATCTCCAACTTTCTTCAAAAACTGCATTAACCAGATGTTCCTTAGACTGACTTGAAGGAATACCCATTATACTGCACATTCTTTGTAATAATCCTTCATGTTCTTGAAGTTGTGATTTGGCTTGGTCAACTCGATAGGTCCATGCATGATCTACTAAATATATTTGTGATGGATCGTTCGCTGAAATACCTTGAGATAGTTTGATTTGTAATTGAAAAATCACGTCGTATGGATCTCGTTCATCGTCCCCATAATCAATCTGAGTGAGTTGAAAAGTATCTCCAGAATCGAAGTTTTCTAAGGTTAACTTTTCAAATAAAGTTTTCCAAAAAATTTGAGGTACGCCCGATGATAATAATTGTGGTTGATGTAATTGAATGAAGAGATTGAAGTCACTATTTACATCCATTGTCACTGTCCTTCACGTACTCACTTAGAGTATTTTCCTAACGTTGCGCACGTGGGCTTAGGTATATACCTAAAGTAAGGTTAGTACCTTACGCAGTGATCTAAAGCATAAATAAGTAAATAGACAGTTGAAGACGTTAATTAGGCAAAACATGTCGAAATAATAATAAAATTGTAACACAACGCGGACTATAAATAATGGAAATTAATATATTATGTGATTACCTGAATAAAATAAAAACAAAATAAATTTAAATTTATTGATTTGTTATTTAAAACCACTATGCGCATGCGATGTGGAATTGTAGATTTTCAAACTCATTCGTTCGAATTGCATCCACGAGCGCATTGTATGCTAAAGAGAACGCTTATAAATTAAATTAATATCTTCCCATATTTATTTATTTCCGCTGAATGGTTATTTATAAACATGATCCTTTTGTTTGTTTATGTGGCGATCGCTATGTGCCGCTGAGAAACGACTGTCGACGAATCGTACCGGCAAAACGACGTATACCCCATCTCACAGCTCAGTGTGCGTAGCAGTTCCAGCTATGGCAGAGGAAACAATCTTTGAGTTCCTCCATTCAGAGGTTATTAATTACGTTTTGGAGCAAAATATTGTTAAAAATAAAGATGCAAAGGTACACGTTCCTTATGTTACAATAATTTTTGTTGAAGTAACAATTTTTGTTTAGGATGAGGATTTATCTAGCTTAGAATATATTGGATTCTCAACTGGCTACAAAATAATTGAAAGGTTACACTTAAATTGCAGTTACCTACCAATGCTATGTTTATAATTTGTCAAATTTGTGTAGATTAACTAAGGAAATGCCAAGATTTAAGGATGAATTGGATACTATGAAGTTCATTTGCACAGATTTTTGGACTGCAATTTACAAGAAACAAATTGACAATTTAAGAACAAATCACCAAGGTGTGTATGTCCTACATGACAATGCATTCCGCTTCCTAACAAGAATATCACAAGGGAAGCAATATTTGGAGTTGGCACCCCGTTATGTGGCGTATACGTGCGGAATACTGCGAGGAGGTTTGGCTAATTTAGGAGTGAACTGTTTTGTGACAGCTGAAGTACAAAGTATGCCCTCTTGTAAATTTCATATTCAGATACAAAGAACATAAATCAGTAACAATTATTTAAAATTCATTTGTAAATATTAATTATTTGCCGTTTTTGTCATTCTGTTGGCTCACAAAGTGTAGGAAATCAACGTTTGTTACAATGCCACGCACTTGTTCTTTCTTTCCATTCCCTGCAATCAGAGTGAGTTAGTAATGCAAGTATAGTAATTTATGACTAAACAAATACCGTTAGTAATCAGAACAAATTGTTCAATTTCCAGAATACGGGACAACAGTCCCAGGTTGCAGTCCTGATCTACCTTGTAGTATTTCAACTCAACAGCTTTAGAAATCGAGTCGCTCATCTCAACAAACTTGTTCATTAATTTTTGCGTTAAAATGCGGCCTGTTATCATTCCCATGAGGCTGCCATTGGTGTCAAGCACCGGCAATTGTGCGACACATTTTTCCTTCAAAACCTGTAGTGCTTCAGCGCAAGTAACCGTGCATTTCAACGCCGTCGGAGGTGCAAGATTCATTTGAGAGACTTTCATGTCCCACCACCTATGAATAAAACAGCCTCATTTCAGTTTACAGTCTGAGCGTAATTTTGATTAACTTACCAATGGTTCATCGTATTCGTGCAAGGTTTAAAATGTCTAGCTTCCATCCACTGATCCGAAACGAATTTCGTCATATAGTTCCTGATGCCGTCTGGCAATATTACCACACATTTTTGGCCTTCCTTTAAATTGGCGGCTGCCTTCAGCGCGCAAGCAAGGGCCAGCCCACTGCTCCCGCCGCACAGCAATCCTTCGTCCCTGATCAACCGTTTTGCCAACGGTAACGATTCCTTGTCATTCGCCTTTATCCACACGTCAACCACGTCGCGATCTAAAACGGTCGGCACAAAATCGTAGCCGATACCTTCTACTTCATAGAACGTAACGTCCGTTTTATTCAATTCTTCAGGAAGTGCCAAAACAGAACCCTCTGGATCAGCAGCAACCACCATGCAGGTGGGGCAGGCCTCTTTCAGGCGACGGCCGATACCGCATACCGTCCCACCGGTTCCAGCTCCAATCACGACCATATCAACTTTACCATTAAACGGTTCCAGAATCTCTTCGGCGGTGGTGTCGTAGTGGGCTAGTGGGTTGCCAGCATTTCGGTACTGGTCGAGAACCACGGAGTTCGGAATTTCTTTCTGCAGTTTTTGCGAAACAGCAATCAATCCTTCGGGAGAATCAAAGGATGCGGCCGTCGGTGTGCGGATAATCTCAGCGCCAAGCGCACGTAGAGTATCCACTTTTTCGTTGGACATTTTCTCGGGCATCACGATAATACAGCGATAACCTTTCACTGCGGAGGCGAGCGCCAGGCCAATGCCGGTATTTCCCGACGTTGGCTCAATGATGGTGCAGCCAGGCTTAAGAATACCTTGACGCTCCGCATCTTCCACCATTCTGTAACCAATTCTGTCTTTCACGGAGCCGCCTGGGTTGAAGAACTCGCATTTTACATCTATTTAGAAATAAATGTATAATTAGTGAGATGTAAGCAGAACAGAGAAATTGATAAACATACACATATCACATTTAATTCCCATTGATTGAGGTATCTTGTTGAGTTTGACCATGGGAGTGTTTCCAACAGTATGTAAAATATTAGGAAGAACTGCATTTGTATGCTTTCTAAAAAACAAAACAAACATGTCATTGTGCTAACTAAATAGAAATAAGTATATAACATGCAAATAGTTTAACTAACTATTATGTCATGCAACAGATAAGAAATTGTGTAATATTGTTATTGAAATATTTAATTAGATGCTTTATTTTGCTAAACCTTGAACCTATTTCATCTGATTAAATTAATTAAATCTGATTAAATCAACAATATTTACAATAAATTGCGATCAAATCAAAATTATAAGGTTATGTTAATGTGCGTAACGGCTTGTTTAAAAACTTTATCAAAAGAATAGCGTAGACATGTACACTATGTACCTACATTAATTATAAATTTAATTTTCATGGTAAATCGTACTTACATCCTAATTTTCGAGTGGGGTGAAGTTTTGGAATCAGCTCCCTTGTGCCACGTGCACTTGGATGCTTGATCCGGCCGCACGAAGTCTTTCATATCAAATTCGCCCTTCGTTTTCTTGATAACACAAACCTTCTCAGGTTTAGCGCACACATCAGCGGATTTTCTTTTGCACTCGACATTAGACATGTTTGAAGCACACACGGTTTCCAAATACAAATCAAATGTGTTAACTAGCACGAGTCAGCGTCGGTGTTTGTAGGTTTGTGTAGTAGTTACCGACGACGTGTGGTTTTAGCCGGTGTTACCAGTCCAGCTGCTTCCAACAGAATGAGATTTTGCATATTCTCGATACTGCTAAATATACATGAGGTAGTTATCACAAAATGGTTCAAATTGAGCAATTTATTATGAAATCGTTGTCACACCACTGATTACACTATGTACATCAACACTGAGATGCCGAGGTCAAATTCAAATAAAAATAATTACGCCTGCGCGCTATAGAAGAGTAAGTTAATGTCAAGATTAACATCTTTTTTTTATTAATGCAATTACAACAAACGATTTAGTACTCTAGTACTTCTAGCGATAAAAACCACAATTTCAATTATGAACTACCAAAATGGTTACCGTTTAGGCAACTTAGTATAAAAATTTGAAAAAAGTGATGTGTTTAGCTTATAAAATGCATAACGGCCTGAATGCCCATGTACCAGCAGATGCCGTAGGGCACGAAGAACGCAATAGCTCTTGCAGGTTGAGGCAGCGGGACAACTGCATACACCAACGTATGCAAGAACCGACCGGCTGCCGCAGCGCGGAACAACATAGTGGCGAAACCAGCCGATGGATTCGTCATCACGTACAGCCAACTAAGGACCACGAAAGGAGGAATGTTCTCAATGTCATTAAGATGCGCTCTGTAAATACGATAAGTTATCTAACAAGTTATAAATACACATTATTTTAAATTATTGCTTATACCTCCTGATACGTTCAACATTTTCATCCACGCGAGGTTTAACCTTGAGGGTGGCGCCATCCTCCGGATTTGCGAATGCCTACACAAAATTTACATATTTTTGTTTTCGTAAACAAATAAACAACCGTAGCATAATTTTGCAAAAGTTTATATGCCAGGCTGACTGTTAGAATGATTAACAGACGATTATTAATGATTGAATAATGTAATACCTTATGTTTCATGCGAGTCGCTCCGGTGTAGATGGACATTCCCAACATTTTGAGCATCAACAAACCAGAATAGAACGCCCATGATCGGAGGAGCGGATCGTCGAACGTTAATGCCGGCATTTTATACGATTTGAGTGTTTAGAGTCAGGCACAATTACAACTATCCAATTCAGGCGCTCAGTGAAGAATGACGATGACTGGCGACACAGCAACGTCGTTCGACACTCGATCGGACGAATAGCGGGACGCTCGATCCCACTAGTGCCACTCGTTTCTATCAATCAGTAGGACTCGTTTATGTAATAGCCGTAATAGCAGTCTTTAAGTTGTATTCACATATCTGCATCGTCATCGTGAATCTACTTATAACGTAAACTTGTTTACAAATCAAAAATACGTCGTTTCGATAAAATTACTTTCAAATTTATTTCATGTCTGATCTCGACCCAATTGAATATATGTATTTACAATTGCTAGTATTGCTAATTAATAAGTAATAAAGTAAATTATTTACATTGCAATGTAAATTCGAAATTATAATATACCTATACTACTTTGTTGAATTACTACAGTCAACTTTTGCATGTTCCGTTTTCATCAACTCATTCAATTCTTCCTGAATTACATAAAAAAATATATTAAAATGTGTATATTAAAGAAGTTTAAACAATTTAGTAATTTGACAACTTACACTCCATCCCAATTTCTCAGCTAGAATCTGACATTGGTCATCACAATCTCCAAGCATTAAAACGTCTCTGGTGTTGTGTTCATCATGAAACTCCAATGAGTCGCCTACTTCTTCCTTATTGATCAGCAATCGCGGCGTATATCGACTCACTCTACAAATACTTTTATTGTTAAGACGCATTTTTAAAATACTTTTTCATATTGTTACCGATCTACAAGTGAGGCAAACGGCTGAACACACAACGAGGAACCCATAATGATTAATAAATCGCAATTCTTAAAATCAGTTTTCATGCACTTGTAAAACCTCAATGGCAAATCTTCGCCAAAGAATACAATGTCTGGCTTAACAACACCTGGACAATCTTCACAAATAGGAATTTCATCTTGAAAAATCCTTATTTTCATCCACTCCTGTGTATACTCCTTCCTACAACCCAAACAATGCCCACTATGGAATGTTCCATGAGCTTCAACAAGCTTGTCACTACTTAAACCAGAAATTCGTTCCAATGTGTCAATGTTTTGTGTATAATGTCGCAACAAAAGTTGCTTCTCTTCTAGTAGCTTGATAAAGTAATGGCTTTTTGTTGGTTTAAAACTACCAGGGTATAGTTCTTTGGCCAATGAAAAAAACGGTTTTGCATTGTGATGGAAATAATCCAGAAAGAATATAGCCTCTGGATGAGGAAGATTGTATTTTTGCAGGTTGGCATAAAGACCAGAGCCAGGTGATCGAAAGTCTGGGATTCCAGCTGCTGTTGATATCCCAGCACCCACCATAGTGATAATATTCTTACACCGGCCGCTTTTTATATAATCACATACTGCCTGAATGGTGGGTTCTACCAAAATCTGTTTCTTTTGATGCACTGAAGGCTTATTGCTAATCTTAAGTTTTTCTTGAATGAATGAAGTAATTACATCAATTCCAGTTGCAATGGATGCACCAGGACCTGATGTCGCACTAGACCTATCTGAAGGTGAGCTGGAGGCACCTTCTTCTTCCTCAACTTTAGGAACTTGAACAATATTAAAATTAAGATAAATGTATCTGTAAATATGAATATTTGAATGATTACCTGACTTAGTTGATTCCGACATTGCTTGCTTTTGTGATTTGCAACTTGTATCAAGCAAGAATATATTAGAATGAATACATCATTCACTATTTGATTTCAGGTTTCCACGGGGGCCAATTGTGGGTTTACGATTATTTACATTTTCTTTCCAGACACATTATCAGCGTTGGTCGTCTACAACCAACAATGCAAAATTTACATGTAGCTTCACATTTCAATGTGTTGGGTAGCGCCACCTGTGTTCAAGATTCAACATAGGAAACAAGGTACAATCCAAATGGTATAATCTGTGGTACACTCTGTTGAAATAATTACACATATTTAAAACCACATCTATACATTTTATAATAAATAATATGTTTAAGGAATTATACAAATATATCCTCCAAGGCGCTGGTTTGTTGAACGCTGCTTTTCCTTCCATTAGTCCGCATCAGCAATGGAATCGGGGTGTTATTTGTTTGTACAGTATTCGTAATGGAATATTTCTTTGCTTTGTTTTTAAACAACCCGAGTCTGAAGCAAAAGGAAACAAAACTTTAAACATTATCATAAAACAAGTGATCTTCAATTACCTGGCCATAAAAATAAAAAAATCTTTGCGGTACTGAGCGGTCATGATAGCGTACAAATACGGATTGGCACAGGAATTAAGAGGATAAAAGAAAACAAGAAGAATTTTGGAGTGTGTAACTCCAATTAGCGGATACCCGCTAAAGCAGTGAGCGCAAAAAATGCAATCGGAGCCCAGCAGGCAAAATCGGTGAAGACCAATAAAGCCATTTTCTTAGCGATAGTCATTTCGCCGCGGCTGGCGCTATGGCGCGTCTCATAAGCAAGACTAAAATAAATTTGCGCATAGCAAAATACAATCGATACAAATGCCAGTCCATTGATTACGATCATGACAACGAGGTATGCGCGGTCGCTGGGTCGATTGACTTCCATTGGCAGGCATATACTGAAAACAATGTTTAATTATCCATATTTATTTATTTGACGGCAACCACACGCACCTTGTTGAACTATAATTGCTCACGCCTGAGATTGGTAAGCCTGCCATTATAATAGAATACACCCAACCGAGGATCATCACCTTAGCAGCCAAACCTAATCGAATACGCCGTGTCAGATAGATTGCGTACGCAATGGCAAACCATCGCTCCACGGTTACCATGGTAAGGGTGAAGATAGACAATTGACTTGCAAATACCGTAAGAAATCCAGAGATTTGACAGCCAATACCTACAACATATATTATCAATTCAAAATCTCAAATAAACATTATAAAATTTATTTTTACCATATTGCCAATCGAATGCATAGTTAAAGTAACTTCCTACGGAGTGCAAGTCCATACAAGCAATGAGGAACAAATACAGCCCCATGCACAAGTCAGCAAAAGCCAAATTGCACATCAAAAACCTTGGCACCGTTAGTTCAGCACCACTGAACAGGACAACGCATACCACCGCCATATTGCCAAATACGGCTAGCACCAACACAAACCACACAGATACTCGTAGGTAATTCGATCCCATAATGTCCTCGCAAGGATTAAGCGCGTTCGGTTCCGGGTGGCACTTAACGAACAGTGTCCTAAAACAAACAACTGTTGCTTGCTTGTTTCCTTATTGGATGCGCGTGGCTTAATTACTTTACGGTCAGATTGCCACAGAATGCTTCGACTTTGTGATTTTCCGGAAATTCAGCGGACGCATTGTGAAAGAATCCAACATTTTCCGGATTTGGCAGTGGGTGAGCTTTATGGTGCGCAATAGAAATACCCGTCAGTGGATCTAAATGTGAATGGTCCGATTTATTCGGGTGTCCTTTAAGGTGCTCCAAGTTAGGGGTAAAATCGTTGGGTGCCGCTGGCCGACCATGAGTAAATCTAAAATTACAATCGTTTAATAAAATATATTTTAACTTTACGTATTTGTTTATACTCGATTCCACCACCCCACAGGTCTTCTTCGCGTTTTTTTCGCGTTTGTCCGGTATCAACATTCGGTTGATTTTCGCAAGCTTGACGAATTTTTTCTTGATGTTGAGCGTGGCGCATTGGGTCATGTTGTTCAGGAAACTTGAAGGCGCAACAATGAAATGGGTGTGTGAGAAATGCTTCTTTAAGATTCTAAAAATAACTTGTAATAATAATTTTTCTTGACGTGCAGTGTAAAACATACTGGAAAATCGTATATGCTTGGAATACGCTTCATCGACGGCGTATTTTCGATTTTTAATGTCTCGATTTCTTTTAATCCAATCACAGGCAGTTCGGTAATGGATGTCTCTGAGACGTCTCTGTCGACAACAAACTGTTATGGTTGAAATTTTGCTTCCGCAACAAACATATGGCTAATGCTGAATTTTTGATGCGCACACTACAATCCGCTATATACCTTCAGAAATTTATGCTAATTTTGATTTTCAACAATTTTCAAAAACATAAAAAATTGAAATGTAGCGGCTTGTTTACACCCGCCAGAGATATTTAAAAATTAATAGATATAGCGCGGGTGTTATAAGTGTGCGATATACCTACTTACAGTTGTAATAAACTCTCTAGCCCGTCGAAACTGTGAGTTTTCATTTGAGTTAATTGCCTGTTTCCTCGCATGTTACTAAAATTATAACATACGTAATAAAACCAGCGCCAATTAAATCCACTCGCACGCTTTTCTTACATCTTTCCGATTTGCGATCCGTTGAAGGCGTAGTCCTCTACGATTGAAATTTCGTTGTAATTGAGGATCCTGGCACACAATTAATATACGGGTTTTTAATCAGCAAATTCCTTGCATTCGGCGCGTGTAATCTAATGCGGTTTAAGGGCGTAGGAATTAAGGGATCTGGGCATATGCAAATTGATACTCACACTTGTGCGGCGCTGACATTAATCGCATTAGTTCCAATTGTTCCGATCTTGTTACCTTCCAGATCTCTGCAAACACGACGCGAAATCATTAAATCACAGCAACGCAATTTACGCACCACAAACGCCAAGGGAGGTGAAAATGTGGGGTTGGCGATTAACGAACGCAAAAGCGACTAATTTGCAATTCGAGACAACCTCCGCAATTATTCATTAAGCAATTGTTAGATGTTCAATTCACGGTACCTACATATATTTAATTTATTTACGTTGCGTTTGACATGCGAGATTCATTGCGGCGCGCGCGGAAATTTTCAAAGTGAGAGATAAATAATATTTCAAACAACTTCGCGCAGATATAAACCATTCAATTATGTCGTAATTCGGATATATTCTTAGTAAAAAAATCCTAATAGATGAGTGTATATGGTTGTTGGATTAGAACCCGTATTGAGTTTGAATTTTTATCAAAAGCGCAATTTGCATTTGTTTATCTTATTGTTACGGTACTGTTACTTACACCATCTCCATAATAGTTCCAGACGATCGCAGTGGTGATAAATCTGGGAGCTCAATCAGGCCTGTTTGTACTATGCGACTAAAACAAATCAAATCAAGTGGGTATTTTATGTATGGTAGGTGTCTTGTGTCTTGAGTATGTTTTGTGTATTTATCTATATCTATCTATATCTATATAAATAGTATAAAATAAAGTTGCTCATCCGGTATGTAGCCTTAAATCTCTTAAACTACACAACGGATTTTTATGTAGTTTTCAAAAATAGATAGAGTGATTTTGAAAGATGGTTCTTATGTATATCACGTTCACACAGTGCAAAGTGCGCGTATTCCGGACGCATGGAGTAAGGTGCGAACACATAGAACCGACGAGAGAACAAAAACCCCGCAGTGCGATAACTGCGAACACCCGGTATATTTTATCGAAAAATAAAGAGCTTGAAATGCTAATTTGGCGAAACGGTTGCGGTATTGTTACTGCCCAGAAAGCGTATTTCAGACATTCTGGAGTCGACTTCCAAAGCTGTGTGTAGCGTATGTAGGTGATTGATCACCGCTTAAACAACTGGACCGATATTAATGAAATTTTTGGTGGATATTCCAGTGGGTTTTAGAATGGTTTAGAATCACATTGCGATCCACTGGAAAATGTTTATTTAATTAATAGCTAATTTATAAATTTGTGGGTGCGTGATCACACTCGGCACAAAGTTCCTGTGATAACAAACGGTAACTAGATCAACTAAACATCGCGATCTTTATTTGTGATCTTGTAACGTTTTATATTGAAATCGGCGGACTGCGGCAAAACGTAATGTAAAAATAAGGTGAAATTATTTACAAAAAGTTTCGTCTGATTTTTTTTTCATTAAGTAAGTAATTTATAATATAACGGGTTAATCACATTAAATACATTAAACGGGGCAGTATAAGGAATTATAAATAATCCAACTGATTTAAAATTAACGGAAGTGTTACATTTATTTAGTCCGCGATTGTACCAACCGTGTGAAGACAGGAGGAGGGCATAAACAGTAAAAGAAGTGTTTTAAGGATTTCGAAAATATTCACGAAAAAAGGTGGTACAAAGTTTGCTGGGCAAGCTAGTAGTATATACTTACAGCGAAAGGAAATTCTTTGATGCGAACCCATCAAAGAGGCCGTGAAGAAACTTAATTTGCGGCGCTTGTGAGATGTACCTGGAAATTGATACAAATATTAATTAGTGATAATATCAGGTTCACTTTCCGCCTACACGTACTTACAAAGTTTTCAGTTGTTTTATGTTTCGAAATGTTCCTCGCTCAAGTACGCGCAATGTGGGAAGGTTTCCCAAAATTCTGCACACATTTAAAAATTAAATATTAAGTGTGAAACGGAAATCTACAGGTGCAGGCAAGAATCGCGTATTGCATTTTCATAATTTTGCATGCTAAAAAATAACGTTTTTCTTTGCTGATTGGTAGTGATAAATTGTTCTTTTACACGCTAGTTATATAAATACCTAAAACTTCACCGTTGTAAATTACGCACTATCATATAAAAATGTAATGCCTGCAGGATTCAGTAATTGCTCCGGTTTTAGGTGACAAGTAAGAAGCGAGTTTTTCACAATCATCCAAGACATACATAACATTTCAGGGTCACATGCAACAAATTGTTCACTACGAAAATTCTTGCAACAAACGATTAAACCAGTTTTATAAAGCAACAAATGCTCGAAGTGTCATTACTAATTTTAATAACTTATGCATTCAGTCTTGTAATTATAAGCGAAAATGGTAACTGCTGCGCTTGGAATAAATTATAAACTCGCGACAAACAAAAGAAAACATCCCAGAAGTTTTTCGCATAATTTGTTTGCTTGTTTTCCAAGTTATGTCTCCCGTTAATTGCGCACCGTGGCTTTCGCTTCTCACTTGTCACTAACGAGACATACTCACACTTCGTGCAGCGTAAGCATATATGGTTGAAAGGAGTCCCGTTCGAGGAACATAATATCCGAATCAGTGATGGTGATACGGTGCAGGTTTTCGCCGAGATCGATTGGGACTTCTTTGAAGTCGCGCCCGGAACAACGACACTCTGTTTCGGCGTCTTCTTCGCCACCATCGGCAACCGGCGCGTGCTCCATTGTTATATTGTAACATTTGCACTCCCAGCCCTTAGACGCCGCCATGTTAAAATCCACTTTCGACACGAATGCGTGAACTACCATATTTTCCTTTCGCTTCAACTCCAAATCGGAAGTGTCATAAGGCGATGGTTGTGAAATAACCGCCACAGTAAAATATAAAATGAGGGCGGCACGCCATGCCAAATGTGGTAGCATGTTATATCGTCGCCGAACTGTAACAATATTAAGCTATTTTGCGTGCGCCGCCATTTGTGAACCTTGGAGGCTTGTGTGAGTTTGCAATTTGGATCAATTATCGGGTGAATTTAAAAAAGTCACGAAGGTTAAATACTGAACTTGTGACCACAAGACAAGTTTATGCGCGTTACCTTCGCACCTTATCAGCGATCAATTTGAGAAAACGGTGCACGCACTAGGTAATAAAAAGACTTCAAGCAGAATTGAATTACGTCCAACTTTACGCGAGGAAAACCGGAAATTGCATTTATAGATAAATACTAATTCCAACTTTACAACTTTACTACGTGCGCGTCAGATAAATTCATTTACTTTACTTTGTTTATAAAATATTGATCCACTTTGAGAAAATTTCGAAACATTCAGAATGTAATCATTAACTGTTTTGTTTGTGTGAAATACTTACTTGTTTTTGGTCGGTGGAATATTAAAACAGAAATAATTGCATCCAATTTTAGTAGGTAAACAAACTCCGCACACATGTGTATTTTGTTGGGAATAATTTGAACGATGATCCTAACAATTTCCAACTGCAATTATCACCTTACACGCAAATTGCGAGCTGGACGTCGTCGCGGCAAGCGGTACGCGCACTACACGCTATCCAATTGAAAGTGTGCGTTAAGATTAACACACCTGTTTTATATTGGGGCTCATCGCATCAAACTTCCTACCGCGCATGGCGTAAGCTCGAAGCTCACTGCACTTGCACTAATTCAAATGTATATTTCATTTTGAGTTTATTAACGTAAACAGTTCTTTCTATTTTGGAATTAAATATTCAAAATAGTTTTGATTATTCAAAAGTTTTTGTTGTTTTGTTGTTTGGTCTACTCTGCATCTTCGACTATGAGGATAATTTCTATATGTTCCAGATGACTAAAAGTAATCATTTTAATATGATATAATTCTTAACAACATGTTCAAATAAACAGAAGTTATTTTTGTAATTTCGAGTCACGTACGTAAATGTCTCAAATTAAATTTTGACTGGAAATTTACTAAAGTGGTTCTCTCGAGTATCTGATAATGTTGGACCTACATTCCTAACATAATTTTTAATTCATTTCAATAATTTAGAGTTATCTAAAAAACATATTCTTTAGGCGCCATGATTCAATATAATTAATTATTGTTGCTTTCATCTTTTAGTTTTATTCAGCTTGTGTAGCGTATTCATACTTACAATTAAAGTTTGTAAAACCTAAAATAACATAATTTAAGATTATTTGTTATATTTATTTAAAATTGTACGTTTCCTTTTTGTCAATAACTGGTCAGTTACTGACGTTGTCCTTGAAGCAAAACATGTATAACTCATATCAAATTGTAATTCTATCACGTAAAATTTAAATAAATATTATATTAACAATGAATTAAGTATTCTGCGAGGAAAATAAAATAAATTATTTGTTAGTATTACTGAGCAGTAGGTGGCGCTTGACGATCTTGTAGGCACTGTAGGCAACTTGTCAATTTCTCCTTGATAATCTTGTAGCCATTTTATCACCATCGACTACAACGAGAAAATTAAATTAAATAACCCAAGAAGTCATAATAAATTTCGATTGATTCATAATTGTTGTGATTTATCCGTCAATATTATGTTTGCGATACCGGTTAAATTAAAAGATAAACTATTAAGTTCATTGGTGTGATTGGTTTTCAAGATCAAGTAAATTAATATCCAAGTATTATTGACAACAAGTGAATTTAATTAACTATGTCTTGTAATCATTGCACCACCAAATTCAACTTCTTTCACAAAGAGGTAAATTGCCCAACTTGTTTTTTCCTTTTGTTATGGTCGGAATTTTCAGGTTGGTTGTGCTAATTGTGGTCTCTCATTCTGCAATAAATGTCTCAAACAAAAATGTAGAATACCTCAGAGAGGCACAGTGGAATATAATGTGTGCAGGACTTGCTTTCAGAAATTAACTTCCTCTAGTACAAGTTCATCAGGAATAACTGTCATTACTCCTCCAGAAGCATATTTAAAGTATGACATGTTTATATGACCATAACAATGCAAGTCAAATATTTGTTTTTAATTGCAGGCGCTTGGAAGCATTAGATAATTCAACAGGACCACCTCCTATTACAATATATAAGAATGATGCCAAAAGGCAGGAGACGCGATCTGGAATGGCACCACAAGACGTTCAAATTATGGAAAGGTTGGAGAAGTTAAAACATGAAGGCAAGTGGCCCCCTCCTTCTGAGAATGAAATACGGCAACGCCTGGCTAAACTTAAGGGAGAGAATAACTATGTGGTTGGTCCAAGCAAGCAAACGAGCGACACTCTCCTAGAGAAGTTTATTGTTGAGCGTGAAATTGAGCTGGTACAAAATCCGCAACAAGAAATTGAGGCCAGACTGGCAAGTTTGAGGGAACAAGGCACTAGGCCTAATGAGGGAACATTTATTAGAAATTTACATGATTCTGAATCAAGTTCAGAGGATGAAGTTGAGAAGATAACTAAGAAGGTATCAATTACTATACTTTCAATGTTCTTGATCTTGTGTAGTGGCAAGTAGCGTCTTTCAGATAATGGATGAAGTAGCCCTTGATAATCGATGTCCGGTAAAGTTAAGCAGTGATGAGGTCGACGAAGACACTGGAAACCGAGAAGATTCACCCGAATTACCGTGGTGTGTGATGTGCAACAACGATGCACAATATCGCTGTTTGGACTGCAATGGTGACCTGTATTGTTCCGAGTGCAATGTTGAAGCCCATCACAAAGTGATACCATACAGCGCGCGAAAGTGATTTCCCACAAAGTTATATTACATATCCACAACATATTATGATTCAACTACCAATTTGCTCAGGTAAACAATAGCACAGCATTCTTTCATATTTTATCTTTGAATGTATAAACGTGTAAATTATGTACATGATAATTAAAATGGGAATGAATCCCTTTTGTAGCAAAACACCTTATAATTATTTATAATATATGCATTAAGAACTAGTAAAACTCTCGAAAAACTCGTGTAGCGATCTAATGCAATTAAGCGGAAACCGGTTATCCCTTGTAGCAGTATTAATTATCTCAAGCATTTTCTTCATTCGCGCTGGGCCCTCACGAATAATCGGTGCAACCAGAACCTTCTCCATATTAAACTGGCTCAAGTCGAGAGTAATTTCAACATCCATTCTTGAAGTAAAATATCGGTATGACAATCTGAAACAGCAAGTCATTTTTCACCAGTATTTAAACAAAGTTAGAATCGTACTCACTGATATTTATCATCTAATCGAGTATTGTACAGTATCATTGAGTTAAAAACAGATACGAATATTTCGCTGAATTCGCCCAGTTGTAACTCCAAATAGTCCAACAGTGAGAGTATACTAAAGTTACTTCCTATGTATGATTGGATACTTCGAGGGTCCATTTTATGATGGAAAAAATGGTGCATCCATTTTAGTAGTGCATGAGAATCTTTAAAAGAGTAATTGTACTATTTTGTATACTTATTACAATTGGTATGCGTACCTGGCTTGGGGCAGGGTTCGTTTACGTCAAACGATAACACAAGACCTGTATCTTTTTGAATCTGAATTGTTAATTCAAATTCACCTCCGAAAACGAGCAACTGTACAGACTCTTCAGAAATTTGATTGATTTGGTACTCATTGTGACTTCTGGAAACATAGATTCAATAAAAAACTTATTAATGCAAATAGTTGGACATACTTTGCTTTTTGTTGAACTTTGTCTACCAAGGACATTCTATTTTCATGTATCTTTTGAATGTCGACAAGTTTCAAATTTTCAAGTTCGTCGCGCAATTGTTGTCCCCGCAGAGTAGTACATTTAAGGTATCGTCGACATTCTGCTTCCAATGATTCTAATGCATCTAGTTGTGCTTTTGTTGACTGTCTCCGTGCCTCTAACAATTCACGATTGGCAATACCATCAACTTCAAGTTCAAAATCGACATTTTGAATTCTCAACTCATCGATATCAATTTCTTCCGCATCGTCTTCTATATTCACATTTAATTCCGGGTATGACTGTAGTATGTTGCTTATCTTAATCGGCGTTTCTTTGAGATCCATTTTCTTTGCTGGAATCTTTGATTTGCAGTAAGGCGAGTCTGAACTGTATCGCTTGGTAGTTGTGTATTGTGCAATCGTTGATTTAATATGAAAATCTTGATTTTTGATGTCTACTCTCTTTGATTGCTTTTCAACACTTGCAGGCGAAAGGTCAAAACACCTTTTAAGATCCAAATTGCTCTTGTCGGGCGTAAATATAGGTGGCATTTCACTAATCAAACTAATGCTATCGTCACCTATCACAATAAAAGATGCGTCTTTCGGTTCTTCAATAGTTTTATACAAAGTTAAGTCAATCTCAACCTGCTTATCAGCATGATTTTCATTTATTTCAGTAATACTGGCTTGTTTTTCTCCTTCATATGGCTTATTGTAATTGCTACTTCCCGACATTGCAAAATCGTTGGTGCAATCCTCCACGTACATATGACCACTTTGTGAGGGTTTATCGTTCTCCATGGCATATTTTACACTCCCAACGTCAGGAGATTTGAAATTATTGGTGTTTGAAGAAGATGATATTTCATTCAAATGAATATTAAATAATTGTTTTTTGCAGTTGCCTGTTTCGGTTTTTCGCATAGTTACATCTGCCTTTAAATGATCGGTGATTTGGTGTATTTCTGTGTCAGCAACATGAACTTGGGTTTCTCCCCTCGACACATTCAAATCATTCATATTTGCAGGGCTTTTAGAATTAGGCGCATTGACAATATGACTAATTGATTTCTTCTCTGATTGAAGTGAATTTTCTACAATCATTGTGGTATCCTCCTTAGCACCTATTAAAGGTGTGGTGAAAAGAATTGTGGACATTTCATCTTGGAAATATTTAGAGATGTGATTAATCTCGATTTTAGAATTATCTGATGTGTGCCCAGGAATGACATCCATTTCATTTTCTGCCTCATTAAGCATGGTCTCCACCATGGAAACATCAGACAATTGTATTATAGAATTATTCTCAACAACTTGTGTTTCATCCATATCAGCATTCGGCGAAATAGCATTAAAGTGGATGGTGTACCTTTTTCGTGCTTCACCTTTTTCTATTTCTCCATTACCACACAAATCTGCCCCGGTTTCCAGCCTAAATTCTTCTATCGGATTATTGACCAATTGTAATCGGGAATTATTCTCAGCAAGCTTAGTTTCGTCCATCTTAGCATCCTGTGAAGCAACATTAAAGTAGATAGTGTGCCTTTTTTGTGCACTTTCTTTTTCAGTGCCTGCATTATTACACAAGCCTATTTCGGTATCATGCCTAATTTCTTCCATAGGGATATTTATTGATGGTAATTTGAAATTATTCTCAGCAACCTTAGTTTCATCCATTTCAGCATCTGGAGAAGTAGCATTAAAGTGGATGGTGTACCTATTTGATGCTTTTCCTTTTCCTGTTTCTACATTACCACATAAGTCCGTCCCGGTCTCATTCCTAATTTCTTCCATAGGGATATGGGTCAATTGTATATTGGAATTATTCTCAGCAAGCTTAGTTTCATCCATTTTAGCATCCGGTGAAGTAGCATTGAAGTGGATGGTGTACCTATTCTGTGCTTTACATTTATCGGACAAATCTGTGTCGGTTCCAAGCCCAATTTCTTTCATGGGAACACTCAGCATTTGTATTTTGGAATTATTCTCAGCAAGCTTAGTAACTTCCATTTCGGCATCCTGTGAAGCAGCATTAAAGTAGATGGTGCGCCTTTTTTGTGTGCTTTCTTTCTCTGTGCCTGCATTATTACACAAGTCTGTTTCGGTTTCATGCCTAACTTCTTCCATAGGGGTATTTATCAATTGTATTTTGGAAGTATTCCCAACAAGCTTAGTTTCATCCATTTCAGCATGCGGAGAAGTAGCATTAAAGTGGATAGTGTACCTATTTTGTGCTTTACATTTATCGGTTTCTGCATTATCATATAAATCTGTTTCGGTCCCAAGCCCAATTTCTCTCACGGGAATATTCCTTATTGGTACTCTGAAACTATTCTCAGCAAGCTTAGTAACTTCCATTTCGGCATCCTGTGAAGCAGCATTAAAGTAGATGGTGTGCCTTTTTTGTGCGCTTGTTTTATCTGTGTCTGCATTATTACACACGTCTGTTTCGGTTTCATGCCCTATTTCTTCCATAGGGATATTTATTGATGGTATATTGAAATTACTCTCAGCAAGCTTAGTTTCATCCATTTCAGCATCCGGACAAGTAGCATTAAAGTGGATAGTGTACCTATTTGGTGCTTTACATTTGTCGGTTTCTGCATTATCATATAACTCTGATTCGGTTCCAAGCCCAATTTTTTTCTTGGGAATATTCAGCATTTGTATTCTGGAATTATTCTCAGTAAGCTTAGTTTCATCCATTTTAGCATCCGGTGAAGAAGCATTAAAGTGGATGGTGTACCTATTCTGTGCTTTACATTTATCTGTTTCTGCGTTGTCATACAAATCTGTTTCGGTCCCAAGTCCAATTTTTTTCAAGGGAATATTCATCATTTGTATTCTCGAATTATTATCAGATAGCTTAGTAACATCCATTTCAGCATCCTGTGAAGCAGTATTAAAGTAGATAGTGTGCCTTTTTTGTTCGTTTTCTTTTTCTGTGCCTGCATTATTACGCAAGTCTGATTCGGTTTCATGCCTAATTGCTTCCATAGGGATATTTATCGATTGTATTTGGGAATTCTTCTCAGCAAGCTTAGTTTCATCCATTTCAGCATTCGGAGAAGTAGCATTAAAGTGGATGGTGCGCCAATTTTTGGCTACTCCTATATCGGTTTCTGGATTTTCAAACAAGTCTGTTTCAATTTTATGTCTAATTTTATCAATTTGTACATCAAACGTTCGTGTTTGAGACTTAGTTTCATCCATTGGAACGTTTAATAATTGAGTTTTAATATTATTGTCATCTACGTTCTGTGCTTTAAGATTGTCGTTTTCTGTATGAACCAAATCATTTTCCTTCCCTGCCATATAAAGCCCAGTTTCATCCATCGAAAAATTGAACAACTGTGTTTTATTATCATTTGCACCAAATTTTGTTTCTTCCATCTCAGCATCCGCGGATGTAGTATTGAAATATATAGTGTGATTGTTTTTTGTCCAATTTTTATCGGTTTTCAAATTTGCACTCAATTCAATTCCTAATTTATCCAATATGTCATCAATCCTTTTAGTTTCGTCATTGTTTTCGGCAGATTTAGTTAAATCGATATGAAGATTCCCTAGAGTATCATTAATCTCTAGCACTTGAGATTTATTTGTTATAAAATGATGAAGATCAGTTTCCGCTTGGGTCAGCAGTAGGCCAGTTTTCTCCAACCCAGGATTGAATGATTTCGTTGCGTGATTAATGTTAATGTTAGTGAAATCCATTTCAGCATCTTGTGAAGTGGAATTGAAAAGAATGGAGTTCTTAACTTTTGATTTTGAGCCCACATTGATCAGTGTTTCAACCGTGGTTTCTTGCATTGGATTATTAGACATGCATGTTTTGGAATGAGGCTCAGCAACTTTACTCAAGTTCATATTGGCTGGTTGAAAAATCTCAGGGTGTACCTCTATACCTGTTTCCGCCGCACATAATCCAGTTTCATCCATCGGGATATTAAACACTGTTGTTTTGCAGTCATTCTCATCAGTAGTGGTCAAATTCATTTCCGCATCTTTTGAAAATGCATTGAAATAAATTGTGCGTCTGTTTTGTGATTTAGCGTTATCCATTTGTGGAGAATAAACTAAATCATTTTTAAACACATTTAATTCCTCTGAAGGAACAGTACATATTTGTGTGCCATGATTATCAACAAAATGTGTTTCTGTCCTTTCCCCACAAAGTCTAGTTTCCTCCATAGAATCACCAAACAATTGGGTTTTGGAATTAGTTTCGCTAATCATAGTTAAATCCATTTTAGCATCCTCTGCTGTAGCAGTAAAGTGAATGGTGTACCTGTTTTTGGACTTAGATTCATTTGTTCCTTGATTACTAACCAACTTATTTTCATCCATTGCTTCAGAAAACGATATATCTGGGCTTGAATTTTTAAGATCATGATTAGTTGTGGGTCTTGACTTAGACAAATGTGCATATATTGGAGATATTATACCATGATTGGTGTCAATCATACTTATATCATTTTGAGTTGAATTAAACACCAGGTTTCTCTTAGTTGTTTTATTATCCACTGTTTTAGAATCAGCTACTGATGTTATATTATCAGCAGCCATGCAGAAGTTATCATAATCAATTGTTTTAGACAGTGGATCTAATGATAGTTCTTGTCTAAATTGGCTATGATGTGGTGCCTTTAAACCTGCCACATTAGAACTATCAACCTTAATAGGTGATTTTGTTTTACTTATGGTTGCATTTGGGGTGTTTTGATCATATGGTTGTGTTTTTTGTTCCTTCTGCTTCTTAGCATTTCTTGCAGCAGCCTTTTTAACAAAACTTGGTACACTGTCTTTGGGAGACTGAAAGTCTTTTGTTCTTTTGGCATCATTTTGTATATCGATACTGAAGTTTGAATTTGAAACATTGTTCTTATCTTGCTGTACTTGTAGAACGTTTTTACTATTTATTTTAGTAATACAAGAGGTACTTGTTGAAACATTCCCAGATGAAGAAAGCTGTGAATGTGATGTTAAAGTGCTTGATTTTTCAATTTCTTCTTCATATGTTGCATCCCAAAGTGTGTGGTGATCTCCATCTGTTACAGGAACAAACTCTCTGAAAGGGATTAATTTCTTAAAACCTTATTCTATGCTTAATTGATTATCTTACTTAACAAAGTTGCTAGAGAATCGGACTTTATGATTAACTTTTGTAGCTTCCACTTCTTCAGTCAAATCCACTTTAGGTGGTTTTAAAATCTGTAAATTTAGATTGTACGAAAATAAATGTTATATGCGAAATGTCGGGCTTATATGGAGGTAAAGGTTTTTCCTTACACACTTTGGGGGCCCCCGTGGCCCGGGGGCCCCGTATAATTGATACGGCAAATACGGCGGTAGCTACGCCCCTGGTTATATGCGAAATCATACTTACAGACACTCTTTTTGCACGCGACTTTCTATCCATTGCAACAAATTGCTAAATCGCGGCGAGAAACGAACACAAACGCCGCAACGTCAATTCGACTGAACTCGACGATAACGGATTAACGGAAACTGCCATGAGAGGTTAAAAATTTAAATTCAAACACAGCATCGAGGCGCATGCGCCATTTGTGCAGTTGCTAAACGATACTTACTGACATTCAAATTGGATCTCAAATCTTTCATTTAAAAGCAAATATATACACCTTTCTTCATACTAACAGTTCTACATATTTTATTCAAAATGGATAAAAGCATCAACAATGAAAGTATGGCAAGCTTGAAGCGTAACATTCAAAAGGAGATACAACGTATAGACCATAAAATCGTTTATATCACTAAACTTAAAGACGACGCACTTGAAAATTTGCAACGACAAAAGAATGAATGCCGCGAAAAAGAACTTATCGGCGAGATTGACGAGGAAATCGGTCACATCCAAAAGCAACACGCCGCGGTACTCATGCGACAAACACGTATCCACTCGGCTAAGAAAGATTATTATCAATTGGAAGAAACTCTAGCGGACATTAACAAGTAAGTATTTTTGTTCAGTATTATAATAGTACTAATACCACATTCAAGTGAGCTTATGACCATACAAGAGCGACATGACAATGTAATGCAGCAACTCGGCGAGAAACGCGACTTTCTGCAAGCGCGTTTAGGCTCTATTGAAGCAATGGACAACATGAAAGTCAAAATTGACGAAGACTTGGAGCGGGAATTGGAGACGTATGAAGAAGAGCTGGAAAGACTAAAATTGGAGCGTCAAGAATTACTAAAGAGAACCGATATGAGTCCGAGTGCTATGGAACTTGCGTTAAGAAACATTGATGAACAAATTGAGCAACTTGAAAGAGCACACATTGGAAAGATGTCCGCACTCACCCAAGCCAGCAGCGTATGAGTAGTGAACAACATAAAACAAAAAATATAATCCATTTTTTCAGCAATTACAAGCGGAGTTTTCTAAAGCATATTCATCGGATAGGAAGAATGAAATTCTTCAAGAATTAGAGAAACTCAAACAACAAGCCTTAAATGCAACACCTTCGGAACTACTAATAATTGAAGCTCGCATAGAAGAACTGAACAAGGAGTTGGAGCAGGTCGAAACACTTATGGACATTCAAGTTGATGAAGAAGCCAGAACAACCGGTGAGATTGATACAATTTTATAAAATATAAGGGAAATACGTGTAAATTGTAGAAGCATTGCTAGCACGCGGATTGAAGATGACGCCATCGGGAAGTATACTTACTGGATCCGGGCGCATCCTGACAATTGAAGAATCTAAAGAATTGGGCTTGCTAGAAGGAATCGTAGATGACGTAGGTAGCCTGCACGAACGGGATAAACTGAACGGTAAGTTCTCGTCTTTTTATTTATTTCTTTCGATCTTATTCACGCGGCCCATAGAACTATTGGAGCAACGAGGGCTAACGCTAACCCCGTCTGGGCGTATTCAAATGGAGAATGGCCAAATTTATTCCATGGAAGACGCATGTAAATTAGGATTGCTGCAAGGGCTAGAAGAAGAATTAATGAAGATGCGAGGAATTTCGTTGACGGCTTCTGGGCATATTCGAACCAAAGACGGCAGGATCCTGTCGCGGGAGGAGGCCGAACGCATGGGCCTACTTGCTGGCATCAACCTCGATGAGCTCTACGCGGTCGAAAGCGAATCCGAATCCATTACGGAATCAATCGGTAACATTACTCTGAAACTGAAATTTAAATCAATCAAAACGCATGCTCTTACAGCGACATCAACAAGCGGAATGTCGTCGGCAGATGTGCATTATTTAAAAACCGTTCTTGGAAGGCCACTGGCAATTGCAATGGCAGAGATTACGGCTAAACAACCTCGCGACCCCATTCATTATTTGGCTCATTGGTTGTACAAGTACAGATACAATGAGGAAGTGAACGAAGTGAGAAAAAAGGAGCTCGCCGATTTGTTAGAGGAAAGAGAGCGGTTGGCAAAAGAAGCCTTGGTATGCGCTAGAGAGGCACATCTTAAGTAAATACAATTTGTTTATTTTTAACTTCCAGCGCCAACAAGCTGAAGCGGATGCACGGGATGTCCTGCTCGAGCTGTTGCGACGTCTCGATGATGAAGTGCAAAGCGATGATAACGATAAGGTAGTCCAGCGCATCGCAGAAGATGAAGCTGAGGTAGCAAATGAAGCGGAGGAGACTGATCTGGAGTCCGAGGCAAGGGACACGCTCGGCGTTTACCGCGGCCCGACACGTGGGCAACAGCTTATCTGAGATATTTTCACTCACCTTCATAAAAATGCGGCGCTCTCAGGTTGGGCATGTCTCGTCGCTGTACCTGCAACATAAACAATATTTAGTCAAGTAAACTTAAATATTGAGCCGCAAGTCGCTGAGAAATTTGTCATATTTTGCTCAGAGATTTAAAGAGGAGTTCTATTTATGTCGGCGCATCATCCACGACGCTGAGCATGCAAGATGCCTCCGCATTGTAAATCGCGAAGTTATGACAAGTGTTTCAAGTCTATTGTTGTTTCTCACCTTTCGTGGGGGCGCAACGGCGAGCGACGCAACGTAGATTGGCACCGTACATGTGTTCCGCAAATACGCAACGCTTCTGTTCGCCGTATTCTTGCGCGACGCAAGGGGCGCTAGCGCATGGCGGTCGTCGCCTGCAAACGCACCTCTCCCAAACGGCGCATTATCTCAGCTCCCACTCGCTTATGACACACGTGTTAATTGATGTGCTGCTGTCAGGCGTACGAAGGAAAAAAAAGTTTACATTGACCGGCTAAATATCAAACTCGCGGCGCGCATTGATAATGAGCGTTACTCGTCTGAAATAAAACTCCGCAAATGGCGCTGTAATCATAGGATTTATTACAATTAAAAAAATAAGTAAAACAAGGCGCTATTGAACCAAGAAGGTTGTCATACAATTCCTACAAAGAAAAAACTTGAATAGTTACGAAAACTGATGATGCGCAAAATGTCGAAAATAATATTATTGCGCTTGTTGATTAATTAAATTTATATTAAACATGATCGAGCCGGCGGCAATCGCAAAATTAATATTTGGGCGAAGAAACTTTTCTTAAATCTAATTGCCGACCCAGACTAACTTTGCCACTATAACCAAACCGTCCAAACAATATGAATGCTGCGTTAATTATCTATAATTCCGCATGATAAACACCCTTCCACCACCACCTCTGGAGCGTTACTACCTGCGAAACTAAAAATACACACATACAGAATAAAATGATCTGAAAGCGAACAAACACGCTGTGGGTGAATTGTGGTCCGTCCAACGAATACTCCTAGTGAAAGTGGGGCAATCCATGCGGCGCATTAACGTGAGTTTCGACGCAAGTATTCGGTTCGTGTGCGGTTGGATTGAACGCAAACACTTACCCGCGTTGTTGTTGTGGCAACGGCGGATATGCAGTGTCGTAGGTGTTGCTCTGTGCACGCATTCCGTAGTTGTCGCCGTAGCCGCCAGCGGGCCCTGCCGCAGGAGCAGTATTATAGCCAGTCTGAGCGCTGGCATAGCCAGGATTGCTCATCGGCGCTTGCCCACGTGTATCGTAGCTCTGGCTGGGGGCACCGCGAGTGTCGCCATAGCCCCCTGCTGGCATCTGCTGATTGTAGTTGTTGATCGGAGTACCGTAACTTGCTGCGGCGGCCGGTGCAGCAGTGCCGTAGTTGGTAGTGTTGGTCTGCCCATAGGCAGTGTAGCTGCCTGCTTGTGCCGAGCGATCATAACCGCCAGTTGTACTGCTAAAAAATAACAAATGAGCACATAATCAAGATTTGAGAGTAGCGTTTGCTTACATGGGTTTCGGCGGACCATCGCGCCGACTGAACATGTCAGTCTGAGCTTGTGGCGGGCGTTCGTAACCCTGCTGACGCATTTGCCCCTGGTTCATGTTTTGCTCATCAATAAGCGGGCGTCGGTCGTTCATGCCCCCGGTGCGCCTATCGTCATACGCACCCGGTCCACTCGGCTGCATTCTATTGTCATCGTAGGGTCGTGCGGGTGGCATGTTGCCGCTAAATTGGCCACTGCGGTCGTCGTATGGCCGTCGGTCGTATCCATTGCCATAGGAACCGCGATCATTCATGTAACCACCGCTACCTCCGCCGCGTCCTCCACGTCCGTCGTCATACATCGGTGGTCTCCTGTCGTATCTATCATCGTATCGTTCATAATCCTGATATTCATCGAAACCTCGGTAGTCATCTCGGTAACCGCCGCCATTGCGCGCCATTCCACCGCGACCAAAGTTACCACCATCACGAGCATAAGGACCCATGTCACGTTTTCGGCCCATTCCACCGCCGCGTCCGCCGCCCATGCCGCCACCACGCATACGTCGTTCGCCTCTAGGCTTCACTCTGCCCATCTCGACGGAGATCCGTGCACCCATGAAGGTCGAATTATTCAATTCCGCAATGGCTTTTTCGGCAAGGTCTTTATCCTCCAGGTGCAAGAAACCGCACCTGTTCGCGATGTCGCATTCTGCAATCGTCCCGTATGGAGCGAATAGCTGGCGAAGGTCCTCGGCGGTTACATTCGGCGGCAAGCTACCAACGAAAACCTTGGTAGAGTGTTCCGATCGCCGGCTCTGCAATGCAAATGTGCAATCTTTATTTGATCTCTTATATAAGAAAAGTGTAACAAATTTACCATTTTTGTGCAGTGGTTATTCCAAATTCTCGAAAAGAAACAGATAAGATATGCGGCACAGTATACACAGCACGCGCAGTAATGTAATTGCCACCTTCGCGGATGTCACGAAAATGGCGTCACCCCAACGCCTCAAAAGCGCGACGAACGCTGCATAGTGGCGCCCTCAAACAATTTAATGGTGTAAAGTACAACTAAGTAGATAAGATAATTTGAACTTGCTAACGTCAAAATTGGTGCCATGGATGTAAGTACAAAATGTACTTAAAGACAGTTTGTTAAATTTTTGAATAAAACGGCGTATTTTAGTATGTTAAGAAGGCATACCTCGCAATATTGCATACAGTAATAATTACAACAATTAGTCACTGTCGGTTAGTACTTCTAGCATAGTATTTAGTATAGTAATTTGTGTTTTCTATCAAAGCTATAAACATTATGCTTATCGTTTTTTTTTCTCAGATATGAGCATAGTATACTTTTGTTTGTATTTATGCCAATGCCATAGATACTACTCAGATGTTAATGTTTCAGATTAGTAATAAAATTCAATTATAAAAAGCAAATGTGCAAATAAGTGTAATTTTTGTGATTTTCATTTAATTCGATCTTTAATTCGATCTAATCGAGTCAACAGGCACTTCGTAGTCAACAGGCTAATCGACAATGACCTTGGAACATCTCTATTAAATTCTAGTGTAAATATACCGTATATGCACCCGGTAAAACATAATAGGTATGTACTTGTATTTGTTCATTGAGCTTCGATAGTTGTTCGACGGTTGCTACAACCGAAAGCTAATCAATAAATTATATATCAAAAAAGGTAACTACTTATTTGCCATGAAATTCATTACATTTGTTGCTGCTGCCACCTGTAATCTTCTACTGCTGCTTCCAAATAGGACTACTAGCGCGACAAACACTCGCTGTCGTTCATGTAAATCTGTCAGTTATCAGATGTTTGCCGGTGGTACCGTAGCTTCTTCAGCACATACAGTGTAGCTGCAGGGTTTTTCTGATCCAAGCAGGCCATTTGATTACAATCCCTCTTTTGGAATTCTTAACACATTTATGAACCTAAATCATATCTCTGTTAGCAAGGCTAACAGGGAATCTTCATTGCTTCTGAACAGCTGGTCAAATGATTGATTACACTCTTGGATAACTTGAATCAAAACATTTTATGCAAAATGAAGCTGAAGCAAATGTTGGCAATCTGTGGTGGCATTGTAGTAGCATCAATCTGTTTTCTCTTGTATTTAACTATGGACATGGCCATATTTCCAACAAAAAGTGCAACAATTCAGCAGGAATTCCAAAATGTAAGTTGTTATGTTGTGACAAATCTATGTTTCTACCTACATATCTATATTATTTGTAGAATCAATGGCTGCACTTCGAAAATCGTTTAAAAAAGCTAGAGTCAAGTCTGAATAAGAATCATAATGATGTTGGTGAAATTAAGCAGGCAATTAGGCAAATAATTGCTCCAGAAGACAGCCACCCATTAGGAAATATACAGGAAGGCCCAGAGGAAGTAAAACATGATTTTCCACCAGCATCTGCAATAATTTACAATCAAACATGTTCAATTAGTTTACATCAGACACCAAAGAATCATGTTCAAGTAAGAATCTACACCATCTGTTAGCTAATATTTTATGTAAGTTTTATTCTTATATAACTTTCTCATTAGATGCTGGAACTATATGAGGATATTAAATTTGATAATCCTGATGGTGGAGTATGGAAACAGGGATGGAAAATTGAGGTGAATGACAATTACTGGAATAAACAGAATAAATTGAAAGTTTTTGTTGTACCTCATTCACACAATGATCCTGGGTGGATTAGAACTTTTGAGGAATACTACTTGTCACAAACTAAGCACATTCTCAACAACATGCTGGAAAAATTACAAGAAGATCCTAGAAGGAAGTTTATTTGGGCAGAGATTTCATTCTTTGCAATGTGGTGGGACGAGTTGGATAATACAGCTAAGAATATTGTTAAAAGGTTAATCATGATTTTGAAAAGTATGAAAGCAGGCCTGCTAAAATTTGTGTTTTAGGCTTGTACATTCAAATCAATTAGAAATCGTCACGGGTGGCTGGGTGATGAACGACGAGGCAAACTCACATTGGCTCTCTATTGTACACCAACTGACGGAGGGCCATCAATGGTTACAGCGCAACTTGAATTACACGCCTACGAGCAGTTGGTCCATCGACCCGTTTGGTATGAGCGCCACACAACCTCTATTGCTGAACAAAGCTGGCATATTGAATTCGCTTATACAGCGTGTGCACTACTCTGTGAAGAAGAAGCTAGCTTTGGAGAAACAGCTTGAATTCCGATGGAGGCAGATGTGGGACAGCAAGGGATCAACGGACGTTTTCACCCACATGATGCCTTTCTACTCCTATGACGTGCCACACACTTGCGGCCCGGATCCGAAAATCTGCTGCCAATTTGACTTTAAACGCTTACCGAACCACGGGTTGAAGTGTCCGTGGCACATACCGCCAGTGGAAATCAATGATAGGAATGTGGCTGAACGTGCTGAAACACTTTTGGACCAATACAGAAAAAAGTCGCAGTTATATAAGACAAACGTGGTGTTGGCGCCGCTCGGCGATGATTTTAGGTACGACCATTCGACCGAATGGGATGTGCAGTACAACAACTACCAGAAGTTATTTGATCACATGAATGCCAATCTCGGCCTACACGTGCATGTGAGCACCAATTAATTCTGATAGCAATAGTTTATTGTTTGGTGAATTTTAGGCGCAATTTGGAACGCTTACAGACTATTTCAATGCAGTGCAGAAGGAAAAGTCTTTAGGCGAGTTCCCTTCACTGTCCGGCGATTTTTTCACGTATGCAGATAGAGATGATCATTATTGGAGTGGTTATTACACATCACGTCCGTTTTATAAACGGATGGATCGCGTGCTTCTGCAATATATTCGATCCGCTGAGATTATTCTATCTTTGGCGCATATTAGTGGTCTACCCGGAAGTCGCTTGATTGCTGAAAAGGAAAATAATTTGGATCGTGCCCTGACTGAGGCAAGACACTCTTTAGCTTTGTTTCAACATCACGACGGCATTACTGGAACAGCTAAAGATGCCGTCGTCAACGATTACGGACAAAAGTATGCATGGTTGCCTAAATGTGCCGAGTAATTCATAGCGAATCGTTTAATTTCAGAATGATGGACGCGATTTTAAGCTGCCAGAGTGTCATTCAACAAAGTGCAAATTTGCTACTTGCAGGGCCCGGCGCTGATGACCCTACCACCGATACAATTTTCTACAACATTGACGATGTCAAACAAACACAGGATACTCTATCAGAACAATACACCATTACCATTGGCTTGGAGTTGAACACGAAGAAGATTGTTATTTTTAATTCACTTACGATCAATCGACACGAAGTTGTTACTCTAATCGTATCGACGGCGAACGTTGAGGTCTTGGATCAACGCGGCGCGCCGGTCGTTTGTCAAGTGGCACCAATATTCGAGCATGTTTATTCGCTGTCTACTTCCAAGTATCGCGTTTCGTTCATTGCAAAAGTCCCAGCGTTAAGTCTTACTAGTTACGTCATTCGTGCACTCTCTGATAATGAAATACCTCGCGGAACCATTACGTCAAAAGTAAAGGTTTACAATTTGTACGCAGAACTGCAGAAACCGCGCGGATTTGAAAACATTAATGTTTCACCAAGTGCAAGTGAGTTTTCCATTCAGAATTCTCGCATTGTTGCCTCATTCAACAAATTAGGCCTGTTGAAAGCATTGAAAACCGGCAAACATACTTATCCGGTACACTTAGATTTCGCCCGGTATGGAGCACGTCGTACCAACGAGCGAAGTGGCGCATATTTATTTTTACCTGATGGTGATGCCGTCCCACTGAAAATTGAAAGTACTGTGGTTAAAGTAATTGAAGGTCCCCTTTATTCGCAAGTTATTGTGGTGATTCCCTATGTGGTTCATACTGTCACATTGTACAACACGACCGGTGCGGATGGACTCGGACTGGAAATTCAAAATATCGTTGATATTTCGAAAACTTCCAACTTTGAGTTAGTGATGCGCTTTGCGACTAATATCAAAAACAATGATTTGTTTTATTCTGATTTAAACGCGTATCAGGTAAAAATACAATTTAAACACGTTCGATGTGTATTTAATGTGCGATTGTTTTAAGGTGGTCAAGCGAAAACGCTTTAAGAAGTTACCGCTGCAAGCGAATTACTATCCTATGCCATCGATGGCATATATTGAAGATAAAATTACTCGCCTGACGTTGTTGACGGCGACTTCATTGGGAGTTAGTTCATTGCGCGATGGGCATATTGAGGTAATGCTTGATCGAAGATTGAATCAAGACGACAATCTGGGTTTGGGGCAAGGCGTGCTTGATAACAAACTCACCCGACACCTGTTCCGTATACTCGTAGAACGAAAAACACAACCGTGTCAGGTAATAATATAATGTAGGCTTTCATGATTTAACGCTCATGCATTGATTAACTTTTAGGCCCAGTCTGAAGATCATCCTTCCGGTTTTCCTACAGCATTGGCGCACATTGCATCTGAAACCTTGCAGAACCCTCTCCTGCGTTTACTCCGTACGGAGGATGAAGATACGGTGTCGCATTCCAGCTATTCTCACACTAGTGCTGAATTTGGCATTGATTATGTTCTGGCAGCGCTTAAAACTGGAATATTTGTTAAGAACAAGGAATACGTCGGAATGATATTGCATCGCAAACATTTGGACACGTGTTTTATGGATCAGAAATCTCTGGAGCAGTTTCCCTCAGCCATGGAACTGTTAGTGAAGCTGGCATTTTATATGTATCTAGTTACTATTAGATTTATTCATTTTTTCCTTTCAGGTTAATATTAAAAATATACTACCAACGTCATCAACGAATTCCAAACTCAACAAAGCTACACTGACATTCCTCGAAATTTTGGAGTCTATCGACGTTGCGAGTGACATTAGCTTGTGTCCTATGGACGTACAAGCTTATTTATTACATCGGTAAGTATTTATATGTACTTTTACAAAATCTACTGTATTTATTATACCAAATGTGTTTAGTTAGGTGCAATTATTGATTATAAAATAATAAAAGTAACTGTGTTAATAAATTATAACTTTTATAGTCCTGTTATTTGAAATTTTGTTTTCTGTTAATTCGAGACTAGCGCAGACCCAACGAATATTTTGAGCGCAATTGTATGTCAAAAATTTATTGATTTTTTATACCGGCATTGTTATCAGTCTTGTTATTATGTCAATATATTTAGTGTGCCGCCCGTTCGACCGGCAAACGTACACATCCTCTCCCTAATTAAAAATTGTTAATATTAGCTCGCAATTAAAATTAGTCGTTTGCTTTTAAAGTTAGTGGTGACCTTGCGGCGAAAATGTCATGATCGAACATAGTCCATTCTGTGCTGCAGTACATAGTCTGTGGCACATCGAGCTTCATAGTGCAGTACGCACGGTACGTGCAGCTGTGGCGTGCTCACAGCTCGTGCCTGTGCTCGTGCCATAAGTAATCGTAGCAATTGCACTCTATCATAACGCAGAGTCGTGTGGTGTAGACAGTGTACTACGCTCCTAAACGCGTCGCGGATGAATTTAAAGAAAAGACGGCTGTAAAACGTCGCGACGCGACGCGACGTGTTATCATCGGCCTCTCCGTGTGGTGATAACGCCTCGCTTTCCGCAATTCAAATGTTCATATTCGCTAAAATGCAGCAATAGTCGAAACGGACACATTGCAGGCGGACGTTATATACTTGTTCTTTTCTGTGATGGTCGAGATCCCTACGATGTCAAAGGTAAGATTCTCAATCAATTATGCTCTATTATCGTCAATTAATATCCAATACTATTTTCTAGAGTAATACCAACTTGCGTCAGCGAAAGCCGATCGAGCGGCATCACGACGAGCTTGCCAATGGGGATGACAAGCTTAGAAAGCTCAAATTCAAATCACATGCACCGCTGCCCGCCTCTCATCTGTTGTCTTTACTCTTCTTTATTCTGATTGTTTTTGCTGCAGTGATTGTCATTGAGAAACAGTTGCCAGTTGGGCTAAAGATTGCAGACGAGCAGAAACATTCCGGTCGATTCATTGCAGAGCGTGCACACAATTATCTCAAGAAGATCACTGCCTTGGGGCCTCGAGTGGCTGGGTCTCATGCCAATGAGGTGCTTGCTGTTAATTTGCTTACAAAGGACATTGGAGATATTATGAAAGGAGCAGCACCTAATAATATACTAGAGTTTGATCTGCAAACAGTCAGTGGGGAATTTCCTTTGGAGTTTTTGGATGGCATGACAAATGTCTACAGGGGTTTGCAGAATATTATTGTTAAGATTGGATCTCATATCAAGTCCCCACACAGTTTGCTTATTAATTGCCATTTTGATTCCTACATTGAAAGTCCAGGTGAGTGTGTTGCTATGTATTAAAACTTTATTATCTTTTTAGTCAGCAATAAACATTTATACTCTCTTGCACAATTCTGGGCGGATGTTTCTTATTTTCTTAATTTTTGTGTAATCATCAACATAAATGAGAATGTGTACATATTAGTTTTGAAAGGTTTTTATTGAACAAATAATATTTTTGTGTATGTGCACAATATTGACTTTTAATCAAATATTGACTAATGATAAGATAAAACGTTTATAAAATAATATTGACTCAAGTAATTGACATTGGTTGCATGCTCTTTGTAGGCGCAAGCGATGATGGTGCCGGATGCGCTGTGATGTTAGAAATTCTGCGTGTTTTATCTAAGTCTGACAAGATACTTCGCCACAATATAATATTTCTCTTCAATGGCGGCGAGGAAAACTTTCTACCTGCATCGCACGGTTTTATCACGCAGCACAAATGGGCTCGAGAAGTACGCGCTTTCATTAATTTGGAGGCGTGTGGCGCCGGAGGCCGCGAGGTGCTTTTCCAGGCCGGGCCAAGTCATCCGTGGTTGTTAGAGACGTATTCAGAGGAAGTGCCTTACCCTTTTGCCTCTTCGATGGCGCAGGAGATCTTCCAAAGCGGCATCGTGCCAGGCGATACGGACTTTCGCATTTTCCGCGATTTTGGCAACGTGTCCGGACTGGACTTTGCGTGGTCTGCGAATGGTTACGTCTATCACACTAAATTCGATTCGATCGAAAACATTCCTCTCGGCTCTCTGCAGCGCACTGGCGATAATATTCTTGCGTTAGCGCGGGGTATGGCCCAGGGTCACAAACTGGCGGACGTCGACAGCCATCGGTTGGGGCATTTGGTGTTCTTTGACTTCCTTGGCGCGTTCGTCGTGCGATGGCCGATGGCTGTTTCGGATCTTGTTAACATTACCACTGTGATACTATCGTTTTATACGATTTATGTCAATGCCAAAGATGCGGCTAAAATTGTGCCGCCGCAGAAGTACGTTTTAAAGCTGACACAATGCGTCGCTGGGGTGTGGATCACGTGGCTTGCAACTGCAATTACCGTGTTTGCGATTGCGATGCTGGTGACGGCGCTGGGACGAACGATGAGCTGGTACGCTCGACCCTTGTGGGCGTTCTTTTTGTATGTGATACCAACGGTGCTAGTCTCGATGGCCATTACGCTGGTGCACGCTAAATATTATCATAAGGTAACAGTACTTTACTCTCGCAGTACTTCCTTACCATGTTACCAAGCATTTTCCCTCTTTTTAGGATATCGACGTCTGGCCATGGCAAATTTTTCAGCTCTACTATGATGCATATCAACTGATCTGGACTATCGTGCTGATGATTGGAATCGTCATGCGTATTCGCTCCAGCTTCATTGCAATGATGTGGTCAGTATTCCCGCTCATCGGAAGTCTCCTGCGAGCTAAGATCTTCTCATCGTGGAAGGACGGCCGCTGGTTATTGCTGCACATCGGCACGATGGGCTTGCCGTTTGTGCAAAGTTTTTATTTAATTGTCGCAGCTCTTTACCTGTTTATTCCTATTATGGGACGCTCGGGCGCCGGCAACAATTCCGAACTGCTAATCGCCTTGATGGTGGGCTTCGAGTTTGTGCTCTTATTTAGTTTTGCCATTCCAATCATCCTTCTAGTCAAAGAGACTTATCGCATACTGAATCTTCTGCTTGGTCTCTTCCTCTTGTCGATTGCCGTACTTATATTCACTCCATTGGGATTCCCTTATTCAGGTGATCCGAATTCATTGGCACCGCAACGATTTATGTTAGCTGTAAGTAAATCGTTGGATATCTGCCTTGACGTTGCAATCAATCGTACATTATGATTGCAGCATACACGACGCACATTCCACGACTATTCCACATCAACACCAAACGAAACAACAGGCTACTGGGTGATAGACTTTGACATCAATAGTCCTCACACCGTCGACAAGTATGTGCCGGACATGAGGAAAGCAATGCCCGTTGACCAGGACTGTGTAGATCATTTATACTGCGGTATGCCATACATTGTTCCAGTAATGAATTTGATTTGGAAGACACACTGGTTACCTGGGCCGATGCCGCAAATACAATATCCGCAAGTAAAAATCCAGCCCCAAGTCGAGACTAAGTCAACACGCGGGTGGAATATTACTATCGATGGTCCCGCACACATGGCCATATTATTTTCACCTGTGCAGGGCGTCGACCTGTTACGGTGGAGTTTATCGAGCCCGCCTTTAGAAACGACATACCTTTGGAACGGGCGAAAGACATACTTTATTTATTTTGGACGAGGCGACAAGTTTGAGACTTTCGATGTCAACTTAGAGTTTATGGTAGGTTTGTCTTGATTTGATGCTGTGTTCAAGGTGGAGTCAAGCTACTAATATGGAATATTTGTTCACAGGTTCCGAAGGATCACGAAGGGCACATCATCGACTTGGCCGTCACTTCACACTATCTCTTCGGCAACTCCAAAAGTTCTGTATCGTTTAAGAACTTTGTGAAGCAGTTCCCGCCATGGACGGCCGTCTGCTACTGGTCGTCGACATACGAATCGTGGTTGCTGTAAGAGGTACCTCGCGCCTTAATTTTAGTTAGTAAATTTGCTTTTTGAAAGACACTTGCAACTCAACCAAAACGTAAGCAATGAAATTTACCCTAAGCGTAGGAAATTAGTACAAATTATTAGAATAATAAGCAATTTTGGTATAAGGAATGAAATATGTATAACATAATGCGACGCACAATATTAAAACGCTTGAGCGCAACAACAATATATAGCCATGTTTTCCGTGAGAAGCTCAAATTGAGTCAAAGGAGAAACTTTCATATGCATAAAATAGTTCAAGCAATCTGCACATATACTATATATACTATATCGCTCAAGTCTTTAACACATTTAGTTATTTAGCCTCTAAAACTAGTCTTGCTAAATCAAGTCCTGTTACATGATTAACACCTTTACTTGGAATACTTATTCCAGCAGCCATTTAACACCCAGAAGAGTACAATTAGCGTGACCTAATTAATATTTAGGCTGCGTACACATACATTTCGAGAAAGTGATATGTTGGTGAAGACATTTAGCGTTCAAAGCGTGTTTGCACTTTGGTTTCATGTTGACAATTTTAACGATAAAACTGGACGCGGTCGTAAATTATCACCTCTTGCTTACGACACGATGGAACTGAACGATGTAACAGTGCAAAGTGATAAATCAAACAAGAAGTACGCGTCGAACTAAAATCGTTCGTTCCCATATATTGAAAATGTCTAAAGTTTAGAGTTAAATAACAACAATTGAGTATATATAAGTATATTATTATCAATATACCTCCATACGTCCAAATCTACTAGAAAGCTTTGTGAATCGTTAACAAAAGTGCTAATCTAAAAAAATAGGTGCGATTATGGGCCTTAGAAGGGAGACGAATGCATAATTAGACAATTTACTGCGCTAAACGAGTAGTAGAGTAATGTGTGGGCATTTAATATACCACAAATATTGTTTTTGGAATTACATTGTGATGATACAGCTTCTGATGTTGGTGTGTAGAACCAACACGTTTATTTGACCGCCCTCTTAGTGTGAATTCTATAGTATATGTTGCATTGTTACCAAATTTTAAATTGTTATATACTCTTATACACCAAGATTGAAATAAAACAAAACTTGTTAAATCTTAAATCGTGGCAATCACGCCAGATTCGCAAGTTTATTATATGTGATAAGATAAACAATTATATAAGCATTTTTTACTGCATACAGGCTTTATTCACTGATTTGTCCTTAATGTATTGTAATATTTGCTGTTGAGATTTAGCGGACCAAGGTGGCCAAGGATGTGACACAGCCGCTAATCAAATACATTCAGCTATGCCGACATCTTGCCTCCTCATTCAACTATTAGATATGGCAGAGTGTGTTTGTTTCTCGACATAATTCCAACTCGTACTGTTGCGCGCTTCTCAAATTGCTTCAAAATGTTTGAATTTGCGACGCACAAGAGAAATTCATCCGCGCGCGATCATGTGACGCGCACATTGACTACGAAAAAAAAAACAGTCTTGAAAAATAAACATAGAACACTGTTCAACACATTAGCACCGTATCACTAAGCGCATCGACGGTGCTCGCGATGTAATCTAGACAAAGTTAACTAAGTTATTGAAAAACGTATAAGACACTTTACTTTATGTAGGTAACCGTGGTTTGGCACTTAAGTTTGGTGCCTGTTGTACATTGAGCACACCCCGTGGACACCTCTTCGATGGCTGCTTGACGAGGACCCAACGACGACTGGACAATCGTGCGTCGCGTTGGTTGTTTTTGGTTTGCGGCGACGACAAATTACTTCCTTTCGGGCACGTGTTTTCCTTGCCGACGTGATTTCCTAATTGATATAGCTAACTTTACGCCCCACCTTACTTTACTTAAGCAGTAGCCAAAGAATGCGATCAAGGGTGCAAAATACAATTAACAAAACCATTATATTTTGTTTATCATCTTATCAATATAGTTTCGAACAACAAAAAAACTAGTTTTTGTGACTTGCTGCAGTGATCACTGTTTTGTCACCTGATGACAAATGTTTTCGTTATTAGCACATATACTAATTAGTAGTCTGTGCTCATTGCGACGTGCTGTCGCCGAGAGATAGCTACGACCGGCTTCGCCTCCGTTGCTGCGCTTGCCCACATGCACGCGCTCTTCGGCCTATTGTCTTCGACTTGAATCTATGCTTCGCACATCTTCATCGGTGCTGACGGAAGCGCTCACCCTACGTGACCATCATCGGTTATGGGCGGCCGAGGCCAGACCGGGCATTTTACGCTGTGTCGAGTTGCGCGCTTTGCATACAAATGGTGCGCCTGTGTGTTTTGTTTGCTTTTGGATGGCGATAGTTTCTTAGAAATTGTTGATTCATTACTATATGTATATGTCACATATATACGAGTAGGGGATTTGTCACTATAGGCTGGAACATTCTTTTTACGGTCATAATCCGCTTCAAACTTAGAAATTCGCACAAACTTTTAGTAAATTGAATTTTTTTGAAGTAGCTTGATCTTTGGGTTGCCTACTACATTTACCATTTGTGCTTAAAATTTATTTTTAAAACCATATATTTTACCTCCGGAGAACAAATACTATTTGTGCATTATTAATACGTTATATTTAAATTTAATTTTCAAGGGATGTAGCATTTTTAACTTTATTTACTCCGATAATGATTCAACAAAAAGGTTTGAGTTATCTCATATTTTTAACAAAGTTATACAAAAAGTGGCGCAAGTAGTTCCAACAATGCCATTCCAATGTCTATTTTTTTTTCTCTTTTACCCTCCCTCTCTCTTTCTTTTTATTCCTCTACTAGAGAATATTCAATCAAGTGGATGATTCCGGTTGAACGAACATGAAACGTAATCGCTTACGTCACTTACGAAGAAGACTTACTTCCCCCCTCCCCCCTCCTTTAAGCTTTTAATTGCATATGAAACTTACAACTAAAGTGAAAAGTGAAATAAATCATCAATAAATTTTGTTTATTTGAATTACAATGTGCACTAATCAATATATTTTTAACGAGTAATGATACAAGTGATACCAAGCAATTAAGGTCATGGTCCGTGAAAACGTGTCAAAACAAAATAAAGTTGTAACACTATACGTTAAATAATAAATTTAATTATAATCCATTTTCCTTTACATAAGCCTACCTGTTTATTTTTGTATGATTTTGTAACCAATTTTAACAAAAGAAACTCAAAGTTTCTGAATGTTTGAACATCAGATAGTCTTAATGTATTTGGGAGGCGGCCAAGGAATAGTTTTGCGCGTTGAGGTGCGATTGTTACGGCGGAAAGCCGTTTCCGGTACGAATCCGGTTGTGTCACCGCGACCACACGCTACTATCAACAAGTAACATGCCTCAAATGGAAAACACATGTGCATACGTTCTCCGCGCTTAATTGTTGCCAATTGTTGCGCTCTGCAGGTAGATTTTGAGCTCTTATCAAGAACTTGACAAGAGAACACCACGTGCTCAATCGTAGTGGATATTGAAATTGCATAGTCATATTAGTATGCTGGCTGCTAATAACCGCAACTCTGTTGCAATAAGGTATTGCGCGTCTTAGAAAAACTATAAAATAAACACGTTATTGACTACGCCACTGGTGCGTGTTCTGTCTCATATAATGGACAAAACATGTCAATGGTAATTAGAGTTCCGTGTTGATGTGTGAGTGTACTATTTGTATTAGCACGTTGTGACACGAAGCTGTGTTGTGTTAAATGGTAACTTGTGTGCACTTCTTTGTTGTGATGGAGGGCATGTTGAAAAAAACATTTTAAGCATTTTGAAATTCTCTTAAATTTCGCTTCAACTTGTGGTAAATTTTGATGAAAGAATAAAATTGAAGTACTTTGAATCAAACAGCTTTCAGAAGGCTCATGAGCGTATCGAACGTTAGTCAGTTCCACGTGACGCACCGGTAATCCTACCAAGTTCTCAATAATCTATATCTGAGATGTTATGGCGCTTTTCACACCTTTAACATTACTTATCACTTCTAGCATATACCAACTTCCACAAGATAAAAAATATGATTGTGCGTAGATATTATGTTTTCTAGTTACGCTTAGCTATGAAAATAGTAACGTAGATTCCGTAATGGGTCATTCAGCTCTGCAGGATGCCGAAATTCGGGCAGACCGGCGAATTTCGACGCCAAAGGGATCGATAAATGCGGGCGCGACGAGGCGGCGCGGATCGGCAGTCGGTCGACGCGCGTCGTTCCTATCGCATGCGGGGCTGCGCCGCCAACGCTACTACAGCCTCGGCCGCCGCCGCCACCACCACCGGCTCGCACCGCACCACTAGTGCAAAAGACGCCGCCAGCACACTCCTATCAAGCGTGTAACCTTAAAACGCGTTGACCAATATAATAATCAAAAATAAAGCAACCGCGAATTGCATTTGTTTACCTTTCCTACAAGTTGTTCGAGTTCCTAACTGAAGAAGACAATTTTAAAAGGACATTCATGATTAACATGCTAGTTTAAATATGCGTAATTTGTAGACAGCGAAAGTGATCGCTGGCGGCTTAATGTTTCGGGCACAGTTCTGCGCGTTGATGTGGCATTTAGTAGTTAATCCTGGAGTGCTGCAGCAAAGATTACTGTTGTCTTCCTATTATGATTCCGTCTAATTATTGTGATCAACCGGGCACCTCAAGTGAGTGAATTTTCCTTTTCAATTGCGTGCAATTTGTCGAAATTAGGAAGTAATGCTGCGCCAATTTAGCGAGTTTTCTTAAATTAGAATTGAAACGGGCAAAACTACACACAGCTAATGGCTAATTTTAGGATTATTAGCAACTGTTCATACAAGTTGCCATTTATTAGTCAATTTGCTTTTCGTACTGATAGTGTGAGTGTGGTCATTTCAAGTATCTTGCATATAGGTATAACGCATGCTATCAAACAAAACAAAAAAATATCGCATGCGTATCGCACTTAGTAGAAGAGCTCTGTGTGTACAATTATTGATTATTTTAGTGTTTTACATAAAATGTCGAGATTTTAAATAAGATTACGCTCACGAATACCTTTTTTAAATTATTTAACTGAACACATGGAATTAATTTCTTATTCAGTGATTCAACGTACTAGGAAAAAATAGAGAACAATACAAATTTTCACTATATTTGCATTGAATTTGATCATTTAATGACTAGGCCAGAAAGTAAATGTGTGATAATGTAAATACATGTAAAATTTTATTAGAATTGTATTTGGCGCATGCGTGTGTTGTGTTTTGTTCATTAACCTAACATTTGTTTTGGGATTTTAGCTTCACGATAAAAACTATAATTTGTAAATTTTAAATAGCAAACATGTTATATTGTATTTGTTTTGTTAAGTGTTGTGTTTTGCTTGGCTGCGCCCGTGTATCACATTTACCTAAAGATGTATTTATTGCAAAATTAGCAATAAAACAATTGAACTAGGTAATTAAGTTAATTATACGTTATAATTATTAGGATACCCAAATACCTATATATGTATATATTATATTTGTCTGAATATTTTACGTTTTTATACTAAATATTTTGCAACTAGTCAAATTGAGAACGTATTTTTGCAGTTTCCACTTTCACTTTTTGCTTTTAACATAATCTGACGTATGAAGTATTCTTATCAGTATTAATGAAGTTGTTTTCCCTGTTCTATATTCTAATCAAAACATACTGATTAGCTGTATTTATATTAACTGTTAGTTATCTTCAACTAGGGACCATTCGTCTATGACGGTTATTCGTACGTTTGATGATCACATCTACGTATATTATTCGTCACAACTTATGCAAACTCCAAATGTTTGACGCTTATAATTGGCGATTATTATTGTTTTTTGTTTGCCACGCTTTTGTAGCTACATATCTTAAAAGCCATGAGTTTACGATTTTTTCTCAATCAGATCAACACTGTGGATCGACACGCGTCGCAAGTCGTTGGAAATTTGTTTTCGCACATGTGCGCTACGCCGACGACTTGCTAAAATGATTTTAGTACGCTACTGAAACTCATCGGATGCGCGCGCGGATTAATCTCGGTTGATTAGTTGCACTTTATTCTCAAGTTCTTCCGCTTTGTCTGCACTTAATCTGATGTTATTACTCGAGGGTGCTGAGGAAGTGTCTAATGTTTGTTTTATGATGTATCATAGTGCATTGGAATTATGCAGTTTGTGTCGGGTAACAGGTAATAGCGCATTAAATAATTTTATACTGAAATAGACGGAAAAATGTTTGAGCTTTATTTTATTGTTTAAGAAATATCAATACAAAATATCATTAATTTATGCCGACTTACAATGACTCCGTGGCGCAACGGTAGCGCGTCTGACTCCAGATCAGAAGGTTGCGTGTTCAAATCACGTCGGGGTCAAGCAATGTTTTCAAAAATATTTTTCATTAAAATTTTGGGGAAATACCGTATTTGAAAACAATATGTATCTATAGTCTATAGCTATTTTTCCATGTAGAGTTACGCTTTGTGAGGAGAAATAATATCAGTCTTGTTTTTATTTAATCGATAATAATATTATAATAATGAGTATAAAATTTGTTGAATTTTAATGCAGTCATTATAATAGTATTACTAATTAAATAATCTAATATTAAAAGTGGAAAACTATAATTCAATCATTTCGTTTTCCTTCCAAATCAACTAAACTCTATATTAAACTAAACACTAAACTGTAAATTAAACAGATGCAATTTAGATAATAATTTGAAGCCTCGGAGTTTAAATAACACTATAGGTATATACAACCACTAAGAATATATATGCAATTGGTACATAATACAAGTGAATTATAGATCCGGAACTTATGTTGCTAGATTTGCTAGATTTTTTTGGTAACTTCTATATACAGTGTAACTTTTTTATATCAACACTCAATTAACTAGGCATTTTTATGTTGCTGTTGTTACGTCAACCCACAAGAACCTAAAAAATATTGGTATCATATTGACGTTTCGTAGTTATTGACTACAAGTTAGAAAATAACTGTGTTTTATTATTATTATTCTGTAACTATTATAATATGAAATAGTTCTTCGCAATGTCATACTGCGTAAGCCCCGGGGTGATGCGAGATCTTCTGTTTGCTACGCAGGCGCTTTAATCAGCTAAGCCACGACGCCACTGACAAAGTAGAACCTAAATAATTCAACTGTGTAAATAATAGATAAAAATTGAAAACATAAAATTGATTATAAACATGATGTGTGTAGGTGTGGATGTGGGTGGGTTAAATTTTAAAGGCATGTAATTAAACGAACTTTATTTTTTCGATTTTTAACTTGTCAATTCATTAAATGCACATATAATTAATGTTTGCACTTAAAAATACAGAACTGAACTTAAAAATAAATATTTGCACTTTGAAAAATGAATTCCACTTGAATAAAATGCTTTCCACTATGAAATTAATACTTTGCACTTGTAAAACTTGCAGTTTTAAGTACGTGCCGTACTCTTAGCCGGCCCCTTCTATCCCCCCCGCCGCCCCTCAAATAAACCACCACCCCCAACCCCCAACCGACAACCACCTCCTCCCCACAACCCCCAACCACCCCACAAATAATACCAAACAAGGGAGCCTACCTAACCACCACCCCAACCACCCCAACCCCCACAAATAATACCAAACAAGGTAGCATACCTAACCACCACCCCCAACCCCCGACCGCCCCACAAATAATACCAAACAAGGGAGCCTACCTAACCACCACCCCCGACCACCCCAACCGCCCTACAAATAATACCAAACAAGGTAGCCTACCTAACCACCACCCCCAACCCCCGACCACCCCTACCCCCCGACCGCCCCACAAATAATACCAAACAAGGTACCCTACCTAACCACCACAAATTATAAAGTTTCAATTTAAAAAGTTGATTCAAAGCAAATTTAAGCTTAAACCTGAATATATAAGTGCATTGTATTAAAATATAAGTTATACAATCTATAGTGCATAATTAGAATTTCTTAGTGCAAAGTATGAAAACTTAAGTGCGGCTGTTCAAGTGGATTGTATTTTAACTAAAGTGCATTTAATATATCCCCAATTTTAAATACTGTTACAGAAAAGGATCGGGATGCGGAGCAATCCGACTTGCGGCATATGTCACAATCGCCCTCGATGGGGGGCCGTCACCTGAGCAAGTCCGCTTCCGAGCTAAGTAGCCCCCGCGAGATGCCCGAAGTTCGTCCCAGGTCCGCAGCTCCTCCGGGTTCCTCACATATCACTGTCTACCAGAAGGCGCACACGTTTTTCGCACAGCTGAAGGTAATACCTACATATTTTTGTGTTTACATTCACATTAATAATTTCAAAATCAGTGTTCGAATGTCATGTATCATTTGTCTGAAATTCGCTTCCACGGACACAATTTCATTGTAGCGGGGTGTTTTCAAGGAAAAAGTTGGCATGCTGTTATACATGTTCATCGAGCGCGACGTCGCTTCCCATTCGTATTCTAACGTTTTTGCTTTTGACCACCCCCGCGTCGCGAGCATGCGCCACCCCAGGCTGTATCAGCGAAAGTCATCAGTATCACTCGGGAGCCAGGAGCGAATCGTTGTTATCCGTTGGTAATTCATTCATCTAATACGCGTACGTTGGGTTGCAGAATCGTTGGGGCCATAGTAAGCGCGAGCGTCGCCACAAGTCCCCTGGCCGGCAGGACTCGACGACTGACTACGCCGCCGACCTCAGCAGCGATCACAGCACGCCGAGCACGCAGAGCCCCCGGCATCGGTTGCACACGCACCAAGGTGAGTGCTTGAATGCCGGCCGGCGGTTGTCAGCGTTCACATGCGACAACTCGCAACGAAACACACCCCTTTTCATGCTGACGATCGATTGCAATTCGAATTGGATTATTACATTTTCACACGTTTCGCCAACATCATGCTTTAATTATATCATGGAATAAGTAATGTCTTATTCTATGTTTTTATTCATCTCTGTAATACATGTCCTTGAGCTCAAAGGCATAATTTTTTCATTTTCATATGAAGCCAATATTTGTGTGGACTCTAGTGCACTACATTTACATCTTATCTTTTATGTATTCATGCCTCCTTTGTTTTCTCTTATGACATGCTATATTTGGCGCCGATACGAGATAAACAATTTATCGCGTGGGCGGCCAGCAGTAGTGGCAAGCCGAGCGAAAAGTGCAAATTATAGACGAGTGGTATTTGTGGCAAATGCAATCGTTCATGTTGTAGTTGAAGATGGCTAAATACCTATAATTACAATTACTATGCATGCGCTTGCAGACTCGCCGCTAAGTCGCGCGTGTGCGTCCAACGACACGCCGCACAGTTCACCTGGTGGTTCGCCCCGGCCTAGAGCCCCTACACCTGGCGCCGTGGCTGGCCTGGATTTAATTCCGGTGAGTACTTTGTTACAGTTATTATATATTAACATTAATATATACATGGTTACTTAAATTGATCCTGATGCTTCCATTACCTTCGATAGCTCAGTTGGTAGAGCGGTGGACTGTAGAATTGTTGAATTGTAGGCATCCATAGGTCACTGGTTCAAATCCGGTTCGAAGGAAATCTTTTCTTTCTTTTCTTTGCGTGTGTGATTATTTGTAGAGTCCGACCGAAACTGGATTTTAGCCGAAACCGAAACCGAAATTTCGGCCGTGCAATCAGTTTCGGCCGAAACCGAAACCGAAACCGAAACTAATTTACATAAACATATTTTTCTACTTTTACCTACACATCGCCAGTTTTTCCACGTTTTTTAGATACATAAACCATTTCGGGAGTAAAATCCTTGTTTAGTCACTTGATACTTAATATAATATTAATATGAGCGAACTAAGATGGCAAGTAACGACCGCCATTAGCCGCGAAGTTAACCGAGCAACGCACGACAATTCACGAAAAGTGAGTTTCGGTGCGGCCGAAAGTTTCGGCCATTTTTTGCCGAAACCGAAACTGAAGCCGAAACTCGAATTCTTGGCCGAAACTGGCCGAAACCGAAACCGAAATTTCGGTCGGTCTCTAATTATTTGTCATTTTAATAAATTCATTTATTACGATTAAGAATAACAAAATGTTGCGTTAACCTTGAGTGGTTTAGTTGAGGTCAACTTACAGTTTCTCGTAAACAATTTTTTAGCACGTTTTTGAAGCATTTTTTTAACAACAATTTTATTGGGCATTTTAATATCCAAGTTGTGCGTCATTGTGCTTTTTACTCTGATGTTTTTTTTATCTTAACCCAATTCTCCATCTCTGAGAGTAATTGATTGATTCTGAAAAAAAAAATCATAACAACATATTTAAGTTTTTCCCCTTGCCGATGTAAGATAAAAATATGGTTAAGTAAAATATTCAATTCAAGTTCACATTGATAAGATTCTCTTATTTTTGTCTTTTGGTCACGATGAATATTCTGCAACATAGTTACTAATTAAAGCATTTTAGTCATTCATTCTAATGAAATCAAAGCTTATGGCATATTATTTCTGACGCAATTTTTGCAAATTTCCAATACAAATCTATTTTGTCTACGGAATAATTGACTTTTTTTGCAAATGCTCAAAACCCATTACACATTCGATGGAATACTTGTTGATTTATACTGCAAGGATGTACTACCCGTCAAAGGGAAACATTGTCGCATTACACACCCTCGTTTGGTATACATTAGCGTGACTTGTGCATAAGCCTACGCACTCGCAAATTCATTACGTATCATTTCACTTAGTGCGCAGCTAAGTTAATTACAACGGGTATACCACCCCATAGTGTCGATGTTAGCAATGTGTGTCATTTGCTAATGTACTGTTGAGCATTGAAAATGTCTACATCGAATATGTTGTCTTTTTGTTATCAGTTAACGACTGGTGATGAAATTGCACGACGCAGGGAAACGGCGTTGCGGCAACATTCCTTTTTTCAGCTGCGCGTTTATCTTAAACGCGGAAATGGATTGGCGGCGATGGATAAGAATGGCAAGTTGATTTAATTTTCTATATTCAATATATTTTATACTTATTAACTTGAAAATTACACAGGTACCAGCGATCCTTACGTGAAATTTAAATGCGGTGGTCGCTTGATATACAAGTCGCGTACGGTGTACAGAGAGTTGAATCCGGTATGGGATGAAAGTTTTACAGTGCCCATCGAAGACCCGTTCGTACCAGTCATCATCAAAGTGTTTGATTACGATTGGGGCTTGCAGGTAAACACGTAATTTGATACCTATGTGCGCAGAATGAGTCATTTTATTTGTTTGTGTATGCTTTTATAGGATGATTTTATGGGCGCGACCCAATTGGATTTACAATCATTGGAGTTGTCTAAATCTGCCGACATTCATTTGCCGCTCTTGGATCCTGCGAAGCCTGGCGCCGATCTGGGCGAGATTCTATTGAACGTGACGTTGCAACCAAAGTCACAAGAGGATAAGGAACAGGTGAGTGATGCAAATGAGTGAGGTATTGCATTTTAATGCGGTTTAATTTCCTGATGCTTGGGTTTGACCTCTAAGGAAGGATAATTTCGCGATGCGCGTGCAGCATTTTTATATTTGGCGATTATTTTTTGCAAGGTTTCACTCAAACGTGCGTATATCAGTCATTCACCTTGTCACACTGATCTTTATTTTATTCAGTCTTCACAAATTAAATAATAGCACGTAATCTATGAAGGTGCAAAAAGATAAATTTATTACACATATCCTAGAGCATCAAGGTTTCTTTGATTTAACGACTCAAAAACGATAAATTAGTGAATTAAAACGTTTAATAGCTGTAAATAATTGTTTTCAATATTTTATTTTCATTGTGAGATAGAGTGAGTCATAATTTTTATAAGTGATCAACTGCTACGTTGCTAAGGTAACGATAAATAATTGAGTTCAATTCAAAAGTGGAAAGATAAAAACTTATATTGTAATTTAAACCTTTCGCATATGTAGGTTCAACTCTTATATACTTTTTTATAAAGAGGTAAAATGTGACACACAAATAATTTAATTACTTGTTGCTCAAAACGTTTCCCAACCCTGGTATAATAATACTGTGTTGTAAAATTGAGTTGTTCAGACAAATGTCGAACACCATCTATTATTATTGCTTGTGTTTCAAATGCGCAATAAATGTAATTAACCAAATGATCGGAGAGGTTAACGCAATGTGTAAATACAACGTGAAGATTAGAATTAGATATCAAGTTGTTTTTTATTGTTTTTGTTTCTAATTGACTGGTAGTTACTTTTATGATACATTCGAAAAACTTGTGGTAATTTTATACTACTTGTTTTGTTAGTGGTTTTAGTAAATTAAAATGTAAACGCAAAAGAATAATTTGTTTGCAATCATATACAATAAAAAAGTAAGCGTTTGAAACACTTCCTGGTGAAGTGATGGTGAGTTCAATTTTTTGTTATAATTTTAAAGTAATTAATTCACAACGTGTTAAAGCAACATACATAAAGTTTATTTTGTTGAACAAAGAAGCGTTTTTACTATGATATAGCTGTATACAAGGCTTATTGATTATCTCACAATTATGATTACGTCGAGCAAATGCAGACCCAATTTAGGTTTGAATTATTTATAGAATATGTCAGTTTCTCCCATGCGGAGGGCTAAAGTCAACTTCAATGTATCTCCTTGCCATTGGTTTACTATATTGTAACATTGTCAACTGAAACCGTAGAAAAACTGTTCCATCAGAAATTACTTAATTGATCAAGTTCATTGGTACACATTTTAAACAGAATGTATGCAAACGAAATGAGTGAAGTCCTTACATGACGCATATTCGAAGTTAATTAATAATTTAGTGATACTTTTCGGTTGAAGCTGATGGTCAAAGCCGAGAGATCGAAACCGGTTACAATGTCAGAGTTTTAGACGAATTTAAGTTGGGTACAAGTTCAACTGGCAACACATAACTACCTCCGGCAAATTAATCGTAGCTTTTTTAATTTCGTATTTTTGCAACAGGAACACTCGCTAATTTCGCATAGATTAGTGGCTTTTTATGCGGCCTGTGTGCGTCAGTCAGCGAGAGGCCAAAAAATCCAATTGGTTGTAAAAACAGCGCACGCTCATATCGTCGTGCGAATCTGACCGTCGCAGCGGTATACGGTTCATATCAAAACAATTACTAAATTTATATAAAACACTCAGCACATTCCACTCGGGTACATACGCAATATCAGCGTTGTAGCGATCGTCTCAAACGCGAATATCGGCGGCGTCGCTGTTAAACGCACTCGGACTGTTTCGGCGATCGGTGCGCGGAACGCATGTAATAATTATGTGAAAATTTATTCGACAGAAAGTGTTTCAAAGTTAGTTGAGTGAATCGAATACGCACAATGTGCTGAAAACTGTGATATTCTGTGTGTGTGTGTGTGTATGTGTTTTGTGATATTAATGCGATAATCTACGCTCAACATTTCAAAAATGTTTGATACCTACCAGTCTCCTAAGCACTTGGTGCAGAAAATGAAAACGAAATTCATTTCTCGCAGCAGTAAAAACCTCTTTAAAAAAGCGGATTTATTCGTCGCAAATGGCAGTTGCAGTGATCTGTCTGTAGAAAGCAAAAACAAGAAGTTTCGTCCGATTTTAAACAAATCGGTGTCGTCTTATCAAATTTGTGCGAATACAAATAACAATTGCCAGCCAATTGAGAGGTACACGGCTAACAATAGCGAGTTTAGTAGTGACAGTGATCGAGACAGGTGATTTTAATAATCATTAGCATGCGAAATCGATTTGTCGTTATCGTTCACTTTATAATCGAAGTTATCAAGTCTCGAGTGAACGAAATGCACTTGAGATTCATAAGTTTGGATCAGTTTCTAAGAAAATAACGTATTTTGGTAGTAGTTGCGTATATGCGCAGCAATTTCACAATTTAATGATGTTATCTCGGATGCACTAGCGATAAGTGGGTCATTTGTCATGATACTGATTTTTTTGTATGATTGGCGGTTTAACTTGTCGGTGTATCTTGGTATTTTGGCCATCATGAATTAAGAGACAAAACAACAGAACGTTTGTTTTTGTGAAACTTATTAATTTCTGTTTACGTGACTTGAAAAATTCTTTCATAAACAAATATTTGCCGATGCATCATACTTGCCTGCTTTTTTTTACATTTTTTAAATTTTACTGTTGCGGTGCCCTTACGTAGTTTTAAAATGAAAGTTAGACTGTTACAGTTATTAACTAATTAGGTATAGAAAAATACTTACAAGTATATTAAAAAAATGTATCATTCACAAATTTTGGATTTAAATTTATATATAACTGGAAGCAATTAAAATTGGATTTTTGGATATTTTTTAAAATTGATTCAAAAGAGTCTAACGTTTAAGAAGAAAGGGTAAACAATATAATACATATAATATATTCCTGTCTGATTTTATTTTCAATTTCATAGTGGAAGTATTTTTGAAGAAAACTGATCCAAATTCATTAGTTTTTGAATAACTGTTAAATAACAAATAATCGCAAAATTATTCTATATTGAGTGCCAAAAAATTTATCATACTGAATAAATAAATAAATATGAATATTTTCCACATACCAAATCCGTTATGTTCCATTTTCTTTAACAATGATTATCGGTTTTTTGTAATGGAATATTTCACAAAAAAAAAACTAAATAAAACTAAAAGTGGCAGTAACGACAAATTCATGATTTCAAAATGATCAAAATCATAATAAAACAATAAGCAATTTATGTGCAAATATCTGCAGTTTGTATAGAAAATGCCCGAATCGCACGTCGCGATCGTTTTCTTTGACGGATGATTTTCGAGGTTCAACATCAACACTGAATTATTCTACTGCTAGTATTAAGAGCTCTAGCTCTGGCAGATCCAGTCTCTCTGAGGAGAACCTTCAGAATCTACATAAAGTGGAAAACTCTTTTAAGGATAAAATTAGAGAAGTACGGGTTTACTCAGGCATCTCCGTCAATGAACAAAGTTTTAATGAAATAAACCGATGTTTAAATATAAGTTGCTAAATTGCTGTGTTGATTTCAGTACTTTCAACGAAATAAAGTTACTGACGTCAATAAACGACTCAAGTCTCAAATATGGAGTTCAGTTGTCACGATTGTTTTGGTGGAAGGCAAGAATCTCCTCGCTTGTGATCTCGAAACGGGAACCTCCGATCCCTATGCGAAGTTTCGGTAAGATTTTTATAGAAGTACTGGTATACGTTAATCTTATTAATGTGTTCTACAGCCTGGGGAATGAAAAATACAAAAGTCGTATAATTTGGCGCTCGTTGAATCCCAAATGGCTCGAGCAATTCGATCTACATTTATATGACGATGGCGACCAACAGCTTGAAATTACTGTCTGGGATAAAGACAGGTCAAGAGATGACTTCATTGGAAGATGCCTTATCGATCTATCTCAGCTAGAGCGTGAGACCACGCACAGTCTGTGGCAGGAACTCGAAGATGGTGCAGGCACGCTACATCTTCTACTGACGATCAGCGGCACGACCGCCTCCGAAACTATTTCAGATCTCTCTACGCATGAGGCGAACCCGCGGGAACGCGAAATATTAGAGCAACGATACGTAAGTGAGAGACGCGACTGTTTCGGGATTATAATTATTATTCGATTGATTTTATAGGCGTGGCAAAGAACATTCCACAATACGAAGGACGTAGGCCATTTGACCGTGAAAGTATTCCGCGCACAAGGTCTTGCCGCCGCCGATTTGGGTGGCAAAAGTGATCCGTTTTGTGTGTTGGAACTGGGTAATGCCCGACTGCAGACACAAACTGAGTACAAAACATTATCGCCGTCGTGGCAAAAGATTTTCACGTTTAATGTGAAAGACATCAATAATGTGTTGGAGCTTACCGTATACGATGAAGATCGCGATCACAAGGTGGAGTTCCTGGGCAAAATCGCGATACCGCTGCTGCGGATGAAAAACGGCGAAAAGCGCTGGTACGCGTTAAAAGATAAGAAATTGCGCAGTCGCGCCAAGGGAAACTCGCCGCAGATTTTGCTCGAATTGAACGTTATCTGGAATCCGATTAGGGCATGCATACGCACACTCAATCCTCGCGAAGAGAAGTATATGCAGACAGAGATTAAATTCAAACGACAAGTTTTTGTCAAAACGTTCTCCGAATGAAATCGCTTATAATGTATTTCTACGAATTTGGCAAAATTCTGCAGTAAGTTGCGCAGTAAATAAATAGTTCTGCATGTTTGCTCACTATTGTGTGTTTTACAGGAATTGTTTCGAATGGGAGTCCACGGTGCAATCATTCATTGCACTCTTGTTTTGGCTGGTGGTGTGCTACTATTTTGAGTCATGGATGGTGCCTATGTTGGGTCTGCTGGTGTTCCTTAAGCAGTTTATCGTACGTAAACTAGCGGGGCCGCAGGCGGTGCCATGGGACGAGATTGCCGATTCAGATGTTGAGGACGAAGACGACGAAGACAAGGAGAAGGTAGGATTTGAGGTAAGAAAACGTTTCTACATCTCTATAGACTTACCAGTACTTAAATTAATTACACGCACATCACATTGCACACTTTTGATTCTTGTGCCTTATACAAATTTACTCGCATTCATAATTAGATGATTGGATCGAAAGTATTTTGCGTATGTCTATAGTAATGTAGAAATGCTTTCTCGTCCGTTTTAAGTTGCGATGAAAGTTTGAGAACACCCAACACGCTCACCCAAGCACATCACTCGCTTAGAAGCCGTTTGCACTTTTGCAAACAAGTTGAAATATTAATTAATAATAATGAAAAAAAAGCAATGCCGAAAAAATGTGCTAATTAGCTCGACAACATTCGTCTTCATAATGTAGATCAGTGTAGTTAATGTTAGAGTAGATTTCGTAGTGATTGACACACTTTTCGAAAGTGTGTCTCAGATTGAGGAACAAATAATTATTTGATCGATTTTTTATCATTGCTTACGATTACTTAATTTGGGTAAGTTGAAGAGAGTGTATATCTACTTGTGCAAGTGCATTTAGAACTAGTTCAATCGCATTTAATAAACTCGATCGCGATTTAATGGCATATTGCGCTTATGTAGGAAGAAAAGAAGAGTCTTAAGGAGCGATTGCAGACGATACAAGAAGTTACCCAAGGCGTTCAGAATGCAATCGGAAAAATTGCAACATTCGGTGAGAGCGTTGTAAAGTAAGTATGAAGATGAAATTGCTTTATTCCTATAAATAATCATTATGCGCCACTTTTTTTCTCCAGCACTTTTAATTTCACGGTTCCATATTTATCATGGATCGCAGTGGTCTTGTTGGTCGGCGCGCTGCTGGTGCTGTATTTCATTCCCGTTCGGTATTTGTTAATGCTGTGGGGAACGAACAAGTTCTTTAGGAGAATCTTGAGACCACACGCCGTTCCAAACAATGAAGTGTTGGACTTGATATCGCGTGTTCCAGACAACGAAATGCTGGTGCGTATTCTTTTCACAGCTAAATTTGAAGCGGTGATGGTGATGACAGGGGTTTGGCGGCATTTGCATGTTATTTACTTCTTCTAAATTCTTGGGTTTATGGTAAATTAACTTGAACTGACTTTATGATACTAACGGGTGATCAAATGCATTCAATTGCGTTACTGACTTCAAAATGTAAAACATGCAGATGTGGACAAAATTATCGGCGAGGTATTTGTCAACGAAAATAGGACAATTGTCATTTTTTGAATGGTACTTGCAGCTGGACTACAGGGACCTGAAAATCCTCGCCAATCCTGAGAGCGGAGAGAAACGGCGGGATCCTAGGAAAAAGCAGAAAGCTTCCTAGTGGAGGTTGAAGCTGTTGAGCGGCGTACGCACGAAGTTGCGTGTACGATGGGAAAGAGAATGCACTTTAAAGTCTGATTAAACATACACATATACACATAAATAAACAAAAAGACGAACAACACATCTACCAATAACATTTTTAAACAATTCCACTACACTTTTTAACTCTATGTGTATTATACTAATGGGTAAGAACATACATACCTTTACTATTAGTTATATTCAAGGTAGTTATACAAATTTGTAAGGAATTACGCAAGGTCTGCTTAGCAGCGAATGTTTAATCGCCAATCTTTCGAAACGTAGTGAAAGACCGAGTGCCCGTTGTTGAATCAATTAAATACTAAGCGCGGAAAACGAAATCAATCTCACCGAAGCGACACACATCAATTTAGTCTTGAATTCGCCATTTATCAACATTTTTATATTTTTCTACCCGTTTTATAATGGTTAGTTAGTTTTCGCAGTTATTTAAGACAGTTAAACAATAATTACTTATTTACTCTGATGCATGTAACACACGCTAACTTGAATTTCGTTCTCTTATCGACACACTAAATCTATTTTTCAAAGTTCTTCCACCAAGTTCTCCGCTACCATACGGATAATACATTTATTGTTGAAAACTTTGCGGCAAACACGTCCATGATCATTGTGATTTAATGTACAGATTTTAGTTACAAAGAATATTGTGTGTACATACAGCAGTATTATTAAATGTTATTTCTACGTGCGGTTTGTACGGTTTCTTTCCAAACATGTGATAAGCTTTGTTAACATAAATAACTATCTTCGTAGGCAATTGCTAAATTAGCGCATGATAAATGTATTATAACAATGTGCGCAAGCACTTACTTATTTATTTATTGGGCGCGCTACAGATATGCTTAACTTGTCAAGTGTTATTTTATCTAATTCTAGTTCTATTGTCATTGGTCACACCTACAATTAAAGTTGCACAATGAAATCGATTTGATTAATGTCAACTTTGATATAATTACAATTATTCGTTATCAGTTGTGTTATTATGTTGTGTGGACGTGTGTATCCTCTCTAAACTTCCCATTTAAACGTGCGTATCAAAGCACTATGTCTACAGTTAGCACCTTTATTACCTCCCCGCTCATTGACGATGTTGTCGAATTGCCATATTGCGACAAAGAACGTGTTGTTGGATACCTACGGACACGCTTTCTGAACGATAAGCTGTATACCTGGGTGGGGCAGGTGTTGCTTTGTGTGCAACCCTATAAAGAGGTGCCCTACGCACTGACTCAGTACCCAGAACCATCAGTCGAAGCGGTGGTGGATCGCGTATGCTTTCGTCTTGCTAACCAAATTGGTAAGCGGGACCAAGCTATTGTCGTCTCAGGGGACAGTGGATCGGGTAAAACATACACGTCATGTCTTGCAATTCGAGCAATTGCGCGAATGGAACCACATGAAAGCGAAGGCGACGCAGTTTTGAGGAAAGCATGGGCATCTGTTCCACTTTTGAGTGCTTTTGGTACTGTCCATTATTTGCATTGAACATATGTGATTTTCAGTATTTGTTAAAACATTGTAGGTAATGCTCACACGCAGATGAATCCAAACAGCAGTCGTTTTGGAAAACTCCTACGACTTCAGTACCTCGAAGGAAAGCTCACTGGTGCCCAGATTGAAACGTATTTAATTGAAAAGTCACGTGTGGCTAGCGTCAATAAGGATGAAGGAAACTTTCATATATTTCGTCAGATGTTAGACAGTCTAGATGATGATACCTTGATGACTTTATTTCTGTCTAAGGGGGATAATTATCGCATTGCGCCGAATGTTCAAATCAAATCCGCATATGGCGAATCCATTAAAGCCATGGAGACTTTGAATATCGTTGAACTCGATCATATACATACGATTCTAGCTGCCATTTTAAATCTTGGCAATGTGTTATTTTTAGAGAATACAAACCCATGTCATGGGGATGGATACGAAGTAGACTGTATTATCGTAGCGCCATATAGTCAGAAATATTTGAGTAACGCCTCGCGACTTTTGCAAGTCACTGATATCCAATTGGCCGAAGTTTTGTGTAACTCACAGTTTGCGTCCAATTGTAATGACAGTGTCCTAAAATCACCTTGTACGAACGTTCAAGATTGCGAAGCGCGAAGAGATTGTTTAATGAGGCTTTTATACGAACGACTTTTTTGTTGGCTGGTCAATTCTATAAATTTTCAATTGTTTCAAGGTGCCACTGATGAACACATTAGTAAGTTATCCCCGTATATCTCTATAATAGTACTCTATACGATTGCTTATTTAAATACTCTACGAAGATATTTTGGATTTGTACGGTTTTGAAGTGTTTGATCATAACTCATTTGAACAACTATGTATAAACTATGCTAACGAAAGAATGATGCATTACTTCATCAAGAGTTATTTGTTGCATCAACGACAAGTATTACTTGCGGAGGGTTATCAGGTTGAAAATACGGATGACATTGATTATACTGATCGAATAAATTTGCTTGATGGATCCATTTCAATATTTAGTATTATAAACGAAGTACGGTACTCTAAAACTTTAAATGACTTCTAACTCGCGTTTCTAAAACTTGTAGGAATGTGCAATGAAAAGATTTAAAAGCAATTTATATTTGAATACTCGATTGGGGCAAGCGTTTCGTCAAAATAAGCACTTTTTTATCAACGATGAGTTGGAAACATTTTTTAGCATTCGTCACTATGCAGGGGTCGTAAAATACGATACCACCTCAATGATTGCGAAAAATAGGGACAAAGTGCCATGTGATATTATTCAATTTTTGAAATCTTCTAAATTTTCATTTATACGACATTTGCTGGAAAACGACAGCGAACAAGTGGGGAATAGTAAACGAACAGTTTTGACTTACTTCAAGGTAAGTGTATTCTATTTTTTTTTGTAGTAGGGCTTGAATGTAGTTTTATTTTATTTTCAGACTTCCTTTGATAAATTGATTAAGATCCTAGAGAAATGTGATGTTCAATATCTCAAATGTTTGAAGCCAAATAACTATAAAATTGCTGATTTTTTCGATCAAGACTTTTTTGCTAAACAATTGCGGTGTAATGGAGTATTTGAAATCATGAAATTGTCATTCCAAAATTATCCAATCAAGTAATTAAAAATAATAATTATTGTACCGTCGTATTATTTCATATTTTTAAGGATGGATATTGATGTATTTACACAAAGAATTGGCTATCCATTACATGACATTGTTGCAAAGGTAATATAACCGACTCGAATATTAATACTTAATTTACATTTTTAAAATTTACATATGCATATGCAGTCTCTGGGTCAAGAAATGCATATTGGTAAGCAGAGTATTTTTATGACAGAAAAATGTTTCACCCTATGTCAACGCTTCGGGCATATTCGGAGGAATCAAGCTATAAGAACTCTTCAACAAAGTTGGATTAAATATTTAAATCGAAGACACAAAGCTGCGACAATTATTCAACACTGTATTATTTATTAATCTTAAATGTTAATTATAATATTTTCTTATTTTATGTAATTTGTAGACTTTCGGAATTACCTGTCCGTTAGACATCACGATTTGAATAAATTTAAGAGCTCCTCTAGACATATCGCCCATCCCGCGTGCGACATAAAAGACTTTCAAATCATAACTACATTCAAGAAGGTGCAACACTTTTTAACGACAAATTGGGTTGAGAAGAATAATGAAGGAATGCCACTTTCCTTACAACTAGAGCAATCATTTAACCAGATGACAACTAAGAAATTTAAAAGGATACTTTTCTTCGGGGACCGCATTGTCAGCTATTCAAAACTAGCTGAGGTAATAACTAACAACTCAATATTTATTTTTATAACTATCTATATAATTTTATTCAGGTTCCGATAAGATTTCACTTGAAAAAAACATGTATTCGTTTCTCACATTTGCTCCCTAAAACGGAACTGTCGAATGGATTAACAGATATCTTTTAAATGTATTTTCTTTTTGAACCGTAACACGAAACACATAAATAAATGTTATTCGTGTTGAATTTTGTTTGTCAAGCCTTTGCCTCCTGCAATCCTGCACACTGTGTTTTTAAACTATAGGGTCATTAGTTGCATTCTTGGAAGTTCGAAGAAGTTGCATGTTTAAGATTACATTTCCTGGGGTCAATATTATAGTCTTGGATGCGAGATGTTTTCTGTTAAAAAAACTAAACTTTTTTTAAATTTTTGTGTCATAATAAATATAATAAATCTTTGTTTTCTTTTCGTCCAGTTTTACTATTAAACCCGTAACTGATCTATATTTGATAATTGGGCTCATGCCCCCTCACTTATTTTGCAATATTGATACATATTTGTATTATTTAAACTTAACAGTATTTTTCTACATCCACCTTTAAAGCGCCAGTTTTTGAGACATAAAGTGGTACTTTAAACACGGACAGCCAGAGCCGTGACTAAACTACTTTAGTTACGAGATGGTGCGAGTGATTTTGATGGGAGTGTTTTAACAGTCAACAACACAACAACTTCAATTTAATTCATTTATATCCATTTTATTTTATTATTAATTCACATTCAATTACATAAATAACATACAAGAATCGAGGTTTCAGCTGAACCACTAATTAAAAAATGTACCACGAGGCGGCACTAGGGTTGCGCGTCAAAGATACTTCACTAGCGTATTCAATGAGGACAGCTGATCAGAATGACATGTACACGTCGTTTACGTCTACGTCGGCGTTGTGCTATTATGTTTACTAATATGAAAGACTTTTAATGAAAGTCCCATTTCCTCGAAAAATCCATAATAATGGCGAAAGTTAATATTCTAGACCTCAACGTAGCTCGGCTATTTGAGACTTATTGCATCAATGATATATTAGAAATAGAAAAATGTGTGGATTCCGAAATTGAACGCAAAAGAATTGAGCTACGATCAATTGTTGGGTAAGTTGGGTATATTTAAATAAATATTTGAAGGCTTATGCACAACTTTTATTCTAGGGATAGGTATAAAGATATTTTAACAGCAACTGAAGCAATTAAATCCATTGAGAGTATTTCTGAATCAATTGTGCAGGAAATCCAAGATGTTCTTGAAAAGTGCAATGTTCTGGTTTCGAAAACTAATACAATTATTCCAATTAAGCAGCATACAGAACATAAGTAAGATACAGAAGATTCATTTAATTTAGTGATATTTGTCTTTAATATGATTCAATTTTAGAGTGGAGAAAGAGGAGTATCTAATTTTAATGCAATTAAGACTTATAATTGAAATAAATGAACATATATGGATATGTATTGATGATGAAAACTTTTGTAAGGCTGCTCAGTTTTATCTACTTTCTCAACATGTGCACACTGGTTTGAGACTGATGAAAAGTGACATTAATGCCAAGTATCACCTGATAACAAAACTGAAAGATATCATTGATACATTGAGGGGAAGGATTCTGCAAGGATCTTTAAACAAACTGAAAAATGTTGAGTTGACTATAGAAAACACATGCAGTTGGTTGAATGCAATTATGTTGCTGGAAAATCACACCTCAACTGAACTGTTAAACAAATTTGCTACAATCAGGAAAGATGCTTTGGAATCAATTATTAATGAATCATATTCAAGTGTGAGAGTGCAGATTGCTGCAATGGTGAAATGTATTTACACCACTATTCAGCTTCTTCATGATTGCTTCTTTAGTAAGTGTTTATTTAGCATATTAATTTATCTCTATTACTCATTAATATTTTAGATTACAAAGATACAAAAGAAGGACTAATTTGGAAGGAAATCACAAAAATCATTAACAAAACTGCCCCAAGTACTCTTTCCAAAATAAAATTGCCATCATCTATTATGGATTTGTACTTGCCACGGATAATAAAAGAATTTCGCCCGAAGTGTGCCAATGTAAACGACAATCTGGCTAAATCCGAAGCGCTAATTTTGATAGAAAAACTACTCGCCGATATATCAGAAATTGTTAGAAGCGGATTATTAAAGCATTTGGAACTTGTCCCATCAATACAAGGTTTACACTTGATTAGAGAGGAAGCATTGAAAGTAGAAATTCCCTTAGATTGGGATGAAATATGTGAGGAAATCAACATTCCTCGTAATTTTGATGTTTGGTGTTATTACTTCCAAGATGTACTAACGAAGCGCGTACAGTATTTAGCTACAAAGAAAATATCAGAGTTCACTGATTTAATGAATACTCAGATTACTAAAATATTAAATGATACAACGAAGAAGATTCAAACTGAAGCCGATTTACGATGGTATATTTGGGAGGAAAATAACTCCAATGATGATCACAGAGTGTTGACAATGAAAACGAAAGGTTTTTCTCCTGTTATTGTTAAATTATGTGAAGATATTGATGCCGCCTATTTGGAATTATTAAAAGATGTGTCTTTATACTTATATGGCACCGAGTATCAAGGAAAGGATGACTTTTTGATAGGATTTCTTCTCAATCAAATAACAAGAAGAAGTTTGTCGACAGAGAAAAGTTGGAAACACATTTGAAAGAAGAATGTTTAAATAGCATCAAAAAGTAAGTTGCAATTTGTTTTAAATATTTACGATCGATTCATGAATGAGTGTTTTTAGATTAATTTTGCATCTTGAAAATGAAATCAATAATTCACAATGTGCATCAAGCAAAGTGAACAAGTCAATTACATGTTCACGATTTTTGAGCGCGTTGACACAGTTATGTCCAAGTTTTACAAAGTGCTCTAGCTGCAATCAATCTTCAGACGATTGGGAGAAAATTTGTATTGAGTTGAACAAGGTTTCTCTAAAGTTCTGGGATAATTGGATTGAGGATTGTAATAAAAAACTGGAAGAAAAATTAACTGCATCTTTCAACATAACAGATTCTAGTAAAATGTTAACAATTTTATGTGTAAGTACTTATTTCATTTATAATTTGCCAACACTTTACCTGAACTATGTTATGAGTTCACTACCAGCCATTACAAGTAATTAAAGTAAGGTTTATTCGTATTTTTAAGAAATGGGATACAATCGAAATTCAAGAACAAACCGACGAATGCATTTTCAAGTCAAATATTAAAATACCAATGAAAAGCAGTATTTCATTAGCTAGAATATTGGAATATTTAAATGAAATGCTTAATGCTTTATTCCCGCACACATTACCCAAACAAGTACACTTAAAATTCATGGAGAAGAACGTCCTTAGTATTCTGAATCAATATGAGGATCTTATGAAACACGAGTTGAATCAAATGCAAGCGCTGCAATTTTTATTTGATGTGAAATTTTTAACAACTCTAGCTGTGCCAAGAGAAAACATGGCATTAGTACAAAGATCCCAGGATGTATGCGATAAATTTCGATCTTTTGTAGATCCATTTGATTTGGATGTCTTTTATAATTATTTGCAGCATAATGTTAGACAAAATGCTTTACAAACACAGGTAACTGATTTTATTTGTGAACTGTATGATATAAACTTATCAATATATTCTTTTATATTTTGTAGGTGTTATATGGTTGCCTCTTATTATCTTCTAATCAGCTGGCTTCATTAGGACTACTAGAAAAAAATAAGGAACATGAAAAGGATCCGTCGATTCTCGCACTTAGCACGCCATCAAATGGTAATTGGTTTATGTTGCTGCCAGTGACTGCGCCAATGACCAAAACTAGTCTGCCGAATATCGAAACAAAGGTAAGTTGTAAATCATAACGAATAATTTAAACTCTTAGATATTTGGACTTATAGGGCATTCAAACCATATTAAGTAAGTAAGTGCATTTGTTTGGACCATAATAACATTTTGTGTGTATTGAGTTGGATACTAATGCTGTGGTTTTGTTGGACGTGCCTATTTTCTATTAAATCAGATTTTATTTTACTTTAGGTGAATGCAAAGGAAAGGCCTCGGAAACAGCAGGAAATCAGCGTTAGGTCTGGAGCGGCTGCATTGTTTGGTGCAATGACCACCGATTGGTTTTCATAGTCAATATTATATTGCATACATAGTATAAGCTCAAGTAATTAATATTTATGTAAATACGTAAGTTGTTAATCAAATGAAGACTTTGTCAAGCCCTAAGATCATTAGTTTTTATTATAGTCCGACCGAAACTGGTTTCTCAGCCGAAACCGAAATTTCGGCCCTGGCCTCAGTGGGGCCGATAGTTTCGGCCAATCTTTGGCCAATGTTTAACAATAACTTGCAACATATTTGTAATCGCATTTCTGTCTTATGCATATAGAAAAATGCCCCTCCAACTGCGGGTCGGTTATCAATCTGTCTTGCTTAGCTTGGCTTAGTCGGTTGAGCGCTGTTGCGAGTGCGCACGTGTTTTGTTCATTAATCAAACGTGGTGACACTTTCCGCGATTCTTGATATTTTGTAGCGTTGCTTAAATCGATTAACCATCAGGGGCATTTAGTAGTAACAGCCCACTGCAGCGCACAACGAATGATTTGAGTGATTCTTTGCGGAGCGCGCGTGGCGTCCGTCGGATATGTTCCGTAACTATGGATACTTACTGGAGTTAAATTTATGTATTTGACGTGAATATATTTAGAACCTCTGCGTGGAATAGTAAAGAAGTGCGTATCATCAATTCTACATACAATTTGCGGAAACGTGTTTGTGCGCCTTTATTGATAGAAGAACAAAGAAGTAAGAGGCATCAAATAAAATTTTACTTTTATTTAATTTTTAATTTAATTTTTTAATTAATTTGTGTGATTAGCACACGGGAAACCTGTAAAAATATCATTTTTGTACTTCGATGTGCAAATTTCTGGTGATTTTAGGTGTCTAGCGGGCGAACGAAATATCCTAGGACAGTGATTTTTTTCATCATATTGTAAGTATTGAATTTGTTTATCATTTTCATAGTTAATTTGTGTGATTAGCACACGGGAAACATGCAAAAATGTCATTTTCGTGCTTCGATGTGCTAATTTCTTGTTGTTTTTGGTGTCTAACGGGCCAATAAAACGCCTTAGGACAACGATTCTTTCATCAGATTGTATGTATTGAATTTGTTTATCATTTTCATAATTAGTTTGTGTGACTGGCACACGGGAAACATGCAAAAATATCATTTTTGTGCTTCGATGTGCTAATTTCTTGTTGTTTTAGGTGTCTAGCGGACGAATGAAATATCCTAGGACAACGATTCTTTCATCAGATTGTAAGTATTGAATTTGTTTATCATTTTCATAATTAATTTGTGTGATTAGCACACGGGAAACCTGCAAAAATGTCATTTTTGTGCTTCGATATGCTAATTTCTTGTTGTTTTGGGTGTCTAGCGAGCGAATGAAATATCCTAGGACAACGATTCTTTCATCAAATTGTAAGTATTGAATTTGTTTATCTTTTTCATAATTAATTTGTGTGATTAGCACACGGGAAACATGCCAAATGTTATTTTTGTGCTTCGATGTGCTAATTTTTGGTTGTTTTCGGTGTCTAGCGGGCCAATGAAATATCCTAGGAAAACGATTCTTTCACCAAATTGTTAGTATTAAAATTTTTTGGTCGAATTTTTTTGTTAAAATTTTTTCGATCGATTTTTTTGTAAAAAATTTTGGTCGAATTTTTTTGTAAAAAACCTTTTAGTCGAAGTTTTTTGATAGTTTTTTTCGGTTAAATTTTTTGTAAAAAAATTTTTCAAACGTTTTGTCGAATGTTTTTGTTAAAAATTTTTGGGCCGAATTGTTTGTTAAATTTTTTGGTCTTTTTTTAATTTTTACGGTGAAATTTTTTTGTTTAAAGTTTTTCGGTCGAAAAACAGGATCGAATTTTTTACATGAAAATTTTTCGGTCAAAGAACAGGGTCGAACTATTTTGTTAAAATGTTTTTCGATCAAAGAACAGAGTCGAATTTTTAGGCGATTATATCAAGAACAAAAAGGTCCACGAAAAACGAATGCATTTTTCTCTAAAATTGTTATCAAAAAAGTTACTAAAATAATCGATGTAGGATTAACTTATCTATCAGGTTTCCGATTTAAAATATAATCGAAATTAATAGTTCCATGCATAGTGCGAGTACAGTTCCATTCATGTTCTGCACTACTACATTGGAAGTGTCAGTGTTTACAAACAAACATGTTTTCGTATGTCGTGCAATTTTTGTGCGATCGCGACGCGGTTGGCTTGTGTACCACGTTAGTCTCATTTTTGTCGTCAGGTGATGTGCGTAATGTTTCTTCGATTGTGCGCGGGTGATGTGCGGGGTTCGTACCACGCGGATTGTACATACTCAGAGATAAAACGTGATAAAATGTTCCGTCGTGCATAATTAAGGTCCATTCAACTTATTGGATATACCAAAACAAAAATTTCTTTTGCATCAAGGTATGTTCTCGCATTTCTTCAGCCATTTGAAAATCAAATTCATTATTGACTTTACTTGTTTCCGCTTTTCCAATTGTTTTACATGATTCAAAATAAAATTCTGATTTGTGCTTTTAAATTTGGTTTTGTTTTTGTTGGATTCGGAAAGTAAATTAAATTCTGAATGCAGTAACACAATTATAGATTAAGGCCCTATTGACATGTAAAAACCAATTTTTGTATTAAAAATGTAAAATGATATACCAATACATCCCTACTAATATTATAAATTCGAAAGTCCTGATGTTTGTTACACTTTCACGCAAAAACTACTTAACCGATCATCATGAAAATTTGTACACATATTCTTAGTGGTCCCCGAATGGTTATAGGCTACTTTTTATTTAATAAAAATTATTTTTTAAATAAAATAAAGAAATTGTTTAGACAATAATACCTCTGCATCTGGCTATTTGACTACTTTAACGCCATCTAGCATTCCAGCAATGAAGCTCAAACCTAAGTACTATAGTACCATCACACTGTATTACCGACAGCTACGTCAACATCAAATCCAATTGACTACACTATGGAGACTGTACACTATACTTCCATAGACTATACTTTCAGCCATTTTAAACTTCCCGCCATTCTACTTCATTGTTACTTCTTCTGTGACTACAGACGCGAATGGAAGCAACTTCATTATTTTAGATATTCGCGAGCGAAGCCGCGGGTTAAAGCTAGTCATCACTACATAGTATAAAGTAAAGTCGCTTTTTTTTCCGGTCCTTTGTGAGCTTAAATCTTTGAAACTACGCAACGGATTTTGATGCGGTTTTTTTTAATAGATAGAGTAATTCAAGAGGAAGGTTTGTATGTATAATAACATCCATTAAATAGTGGAGAAGTACTGTTATTTTTGAGGTTTCTAATATGATATTATCGCCGTCTACTCTTTGTGCGATGCTTCGTAGCTTCCCCCCCTTAAGCACAGACGTGTGCGTGTGGGTTGAAGTTGATCGGTTGATGTTTTTGTTTGGAGAAGGAAAGTCGCTTTCTCTGTCTGTCCCTTTGTATGCTTAAATCTTTGAAACTACGCAACTGATTTTTTAAAAATTGCGGACGTAGCGTTTTCGGCGGTACCGGCCGGCCGCGGTTTTCTCTGTAGCACTTTGAATTTCGCAGCGATCGGGCACGTTTATTATATCGGAGCTCTCCAGCGAGGAAAATAGCAATACTTAGGTAATAAAAACGTTCTTTTCAGCGCGACAACGTATCAGTAATTATAAGTAAGTTACGATAAATAATTGTATGATAGTATGTAGTTTTAAAATATAAATTAGAGGTATTTCAGTAAAAAAAAAGAACTGAATAGAATAGGTATCTTTTGTTTTTTATGATTGTTGATTATCTTTTGTTTCTAAATGGTAAGAATTAAGATATTTTTTACTGCGGCACATACTATAAAATGTAAAAAGTAAATAAGTAAAAATGTAGTGTATGAATTTAGATATTCCAAAGATAGCAGGAAATCTTCATGGTATAGGGAAAGGGGGATTGTTTTAGTCCAAATTTAACGCGTGCGGGCCACGGGCAGTATTGAATAAATCAAAACTACTGGATCGATTTTAATTACCTACATGGGCTATATATTTTATACCACACGTTCACAGTTTTTCTGTAGTGTATTTAGTATCAGTATTGCAACCGTGCGAAGCCGGGGCGGGTCGCTAGTCACTACATAGTATAAAGTAAAGTCGCTTTTTTTTCCGGTCCCTTTGTTCGCTTAAATATTTGAAACTACGCAACGGATTTTGATGCCGTTTTTTTTAATAGATGGAGTGATTCAAGAGGAAGGTTTGTATGTATAATAACATCCATTAAATAGTGGAGAAGTACTGTTATTTTTGAGGTTTCTAATGTGATGTAAATACAAAGTTTTCGATTATTCCCGTCTGCTCTTTGTGCGATGCTTCGTAGCTTCCCCCTCCAAGCATAGACGTGTGTATGTGTGTACGTGTGGGTTGAAGTTGACCGGTTGATGTTTTTGTTTGGAGAAGGAAAGTCGCTTTCTCTGTCTGTCTCTTTGTATGCTTCAATCATTGAAACTACGCAACGGATTTTGATGCGGTTTTTTACTTCCGTGCGAAGCCGGGGCAGGTCGCTAGTAAATAATAAAAGTATGCAATACTACAATTATCTCCCTGGTGTCCCCAACTGGATGTTTACGTCTGCTGACAATTCTCTTTCCTGCTTAGTCGGTCGTGCGCGGTGGTGTCGTGAGCATGTATTTTGTTCGTCAGTCTGTTTTCGTAGCTATTAATCGCGTTTCTGGTGATTTTCATTTAGTAGTGGCATGAACGACAATGCATTTCAGCGAGCGCGGCTGAACGTTAAGAATTATTGCCCGTGATACCTGCTATTGAGTGACTTTATCCGAACATTTGTGTTTACAGTCGAATATCGCCCGGTTGTTGGCTTGTGCTTCTCATTTGTGGTGTTCCGAACTCAGGTTGAAGGATTTTATGATGCAATTTAGAACGTATTCATTAAATTTTATATTAATTTGTTTTGTTATAATGTGTGGTGAAACTATTTTCTGTAAACTAAACGTGTTTGGTCCATGAGGCATTTTCCGTATCTTTCTAATGCTACCAAAATGTTACTACAGTGAGTAGTAGCATCAATTCTACTAACAATTCTACTTTGTGTGTAACGTTTGATAACAGAGCGTTGTGGCTCGATGGTACGTAGGATATACCTTGGATCGTACGTACGTTCGTTTTATTAAAAAATAAAAAAGAATGTATTGTTAAATATAATTAATAAAATTCAATTTAAAATTAAAATCTTATTCCTACTTCTTTGTAATATCCTCTTTGTCGTTTTCAGTATATGCGTCTTAAATCATAGTTCATATGAAGCTTATGTGAGTGCAACATATCTAATTCATGTGTTGTTGTTTTTAAAAAGTTGAATAAAGTAGAAACATAAATAGAAGAATTAAATATTAATGATAAAAACACTCGGTGGTTGAGTGGAGACGTGCACCTGCTGGCATGCTAGCAGACGCGGATCGAATCTCAGGTATAGAAGGCATTTTTCTCAAATATAAAAATATCAGGTGTAATTTGGGTAGCATATATGAATTGCAACGAAATATAAGAGAAATTGAAATACAAGTGAAGGCAAATAATAGAAGTAAGAAAGTAAGTGGAGAAACGAGAACAGAGAAATAGAAGGAGTAGTAAAGAATAGGAGATGATAGGAGGAAGAGAACACAGAGTAGAGTAGAGTAGAGAAGAGGAGGAGATAGAAGAAAGAGAACAGGGGAGGATCAGATTTTTAAATTTTTTGGCACGTATCGTTATAAGACAGTAGGTCGATCTCCCAGAGCGCCTCCGGCGCTCTGGTCGATCGCCCACTGCTTCAGTCCGTCCATTGCTCCCGGCCCATCCTACAGCTACGATATCTCTGCGCTTCATCCCCAGGATTCTCAGGCATATCAACAATTTTTATGGTGGGGGAGCATCCCCCAAGTGGGAGAACTCCTTATAAAGACATTCCTTATAAGGACTTGTAAAAATATTTCAAAGTTTTAGGTCGTCTCAAGGCAGGCGACACAATATTTTTACAAGTTCTGACCTGTACCTGAAATGATAGAAGGGGTGCACACAAATTATAGGAGGCACAGTCACTTTTAACATTTCTTTCTTTATTGAAACATGTATACAATGAAAACTTGTAAAATATAATACTAAACAATATATGTGCCGCCATTTTGAAACTAGTTTTAAGAGCAGTATAGCCCCGTATATGAAGACAAATACCAAAAGTAAAAAATAACAAAGAAAAACAAATAATACTAACAACTTTTGCATAATTTTCGCGACAATTAAGGAAAACTATTATATAGGGTGTTCCGAAAACAATAGAAAAACATTTAAAGAGAAAAATGCAAAATTCAAGTAGGGAAATATATATCTAAAAGCCATCGAAGTAAAATCAAAGGAAATTAATATATAGGGTGATGAATAGAGAAAACGACCAAATTTTAAAGAAAAATCCTTAGTTTAAATGGGATAACATACATCTTTCCCCTTTCGACACCACGGGAAATTAATATACAGGGTTTTACCAAAAGAAAACTCTAAGTTTAAAAAGTAAAACGCACAAACACTAATAAATATGGTCTATTAAATGATAAGGAAAATCTATCTACTGGGTGATACACAAAGAAAAATTAAGATTTAAGTAGGAAAACGGATGGAAACAATGCACAAGGCGACAACAACAAGATAATATAAGAAAAAAGCCATCAGGAATTTTAAAAATCAAAATGTAATCAAAGAAAATGAAAAGTAAGAAAACACATAAATAGACCATTTCAAAAATTGTATTTTCTTTGGATATGAATGAAAAGTGATGGGTTGGATATTACAAAAGAAAAAAGCAGAAAGCAGAATTTTATTTTAAATCATGTAACAACCAGCGACCAGCCCGGCAAGCCGTGAAAGGATCAAGAACGCAGCCGACGGCATGCGACTATCTTAATCTTTTTAATTTGTACATTAAACAAAAACAAAACAAGGTATCAAATACGTAATGCAAATCAACGGTATTGAAACAGAGACAAAAATTATTTGTAGGCTTAAAAACCCCGCAGTTAAGGTAAAAACAAGTAAAGGCAATAATGGATTTGATTTTCAAATGGCATAAGAAATGCGAGAACATACCTTGATGCAAAATTAATTTTTGCGCTTTTGGCTTATCCAATAAATTGCAAGGACCTTAATTACGCACATTGTAGAAATGATGAAATACGCGTATCATACAAAAAGAGTAGGTATCCGACGGCCGATGGAATATCACTCGCGCACGATGTAAGGAGGAATATTTAGAAATATTACGTAATGACGCGAAGAAATGAAGGAACTATTTCACAATAGTGAAATGTGCGTGCAGATCACCCAACTACAAATATGAAACTGACGTGGTAGGCAAGCCAACCGCGAGCCGAACCGCGTGGCGACCGCACAAAAATTGCACGAGATAAGAACACTTGTTTGTTTGTAAACACTGATACATTCAGTGTGGTTATGCAGAACATAAAAGAATTGTACTCGTACAATGCATGGAACTTTTAATTTCGAAATTAAAGCCCTATTTACGTGTAAACACCTATTTTTTTATTAAATAAAATTGCAAATAGGCCCTAAACGTTCAATGTTAGGATAATAAATTTAAACAGTTCTTTTGATTCTACATTGATTATTTTCGTAACTTTTTTCCTAAGATTAACCGTTTTGGCCCTATTTTTCAAATTTTAGTGAAAATTGCATTCGATATAAAAAAGAAAAAAATTTAACTTTTTTATGACGAAATATTTTATTTCAATAAATACGATATTCGAATGGGATTTTAAGACACTTCCAAAGGGTTTATACGCTAGTAAAGTATCTACCTTAGCGCCGCCTCGTGGCTTATTTCTTAAATAGTGAGATCTGAAACCTTGAGTACCATATGTTATATATATACTAGTTAACCGGGCAAACGTTGTTTTGCCATATAAATTATTTCTAGTTTCTAGATAAATTTTAGTGTAGACAAAGAGTAACTTACTTATTATAAGTGTGTCAGTATGAAAAATTTAATTAACTGAACTAATTATGCCAAATACACTTAAAATGAATAATTTTATTATTATGAATAAAATAGTAATCTATAATATAAAAATGAATCGCAAAAGTGTTGTTAACCATTGTAAACGTTACTTACTACACTTGATACGTATACCATAATGATGGCCGAAAACTGTGTAGGGTGTGACAGAAGTCTTATTGTGTGAGTGAAAAAGAAGACCGGCTTCAGTCTCATTCCTTCAAGCGGTATGAAAAGTGAATAAATTACTAAAATGGCTATAAAAAATGGGGTATTTAGTTCTTTTTCACTAAACATGATTATTCAATTTTAATAGCAAACAAATAATTTCAATTATTGTCACAATTTTATAAGTAAAGCTCTGATTGCAGGAGTGATGGAAAACCGTGGCAGCCTGGAAAAAATTCCAGAATTTGCAGTGCACATTTTGTTGGGGGTGAAAAATCTAACAATCCACTCAATGAATCTTATCACCCAACTATATTTCCTCTAATATACGTAAAAAAAAAGAAATTCTAATGCAGGTTTACGAGCTGAGAGATTGCGAAAACGACGGGAAAGAATTTCATCTGCAATAATTAATGCAGCTCCAGCAGATGCTGCAGTTGATGAAATAGTTGTTTCTGAGAAACATGATATTGGCATACAAACAAAAATATTTTTTTGTCGACATTTTTTTTAAATGTTTAATTATTGATAATATATTCAATAATAAAGTGTAAACATTAGCTTGACAGGTGTAGCTTACCCACCATTTAAAAAATAAGCCACGAGGCGGCGCTAAGGTAGATACTTTACTAGCGTATAGTGCGAGTACAGTTCTATTCATGATCTGCACTACCATATTGAAAGTGTCAGTGTTTACAAACAAACAGGTTTTCTTATGTCGTGCAATTTTTGTGCGATAGCCACGCGGTTGGCTTGTGTATCACGTTAGTCTCATTTTTGTCGTTAGGTGATCTGCATGCACATTTTCTTCCTTATTCATTCATTCATTATTCATTATTCTTGAGTTGCTAAATGTTTCTTCGATTGTGCGCGATTGATGTGCGGGGTTCGTACCACGCGGATTGTACATATTCAGAGGTAAAACGTGAGTGATGTTCCGTCGGCCGTCTTATTTTTTATTTTTTGTATTATACGCGTATTTCATCGGTTTTACAATGTGCATAATTAAGGTCCATACAACTTATTGGATATAGCAAAACATAAATTTATTTTGCATCAAGGCATGTTCTCGCATTTTTTCAGCCATTTGAAAATCAAATCCATTATTGACTTTACTTGTTCGCGCTTTTCTAATTGTTTTACATGATTCAAAATAAAATTCTGATTTGTGCTTTAATTTTTAAATTTTGTTTTTGATTCCGAAAGTAAATTAAATTCTGAATGCAGTAACGCAATTATAGATTAAGGCCCTATTGACATGTAAAAACCAATTTTTGTATTAAAAATGTAAAATGATACACCAATATATAAATAATAAATGTATACAATACTACAATTATCTACCTGGTGTCCCCATCTAGATGTTAACGTCTGCCGACAATTCTCTTTCCTGCTTAGTCGGACGTGCGCGGTGGTGTCGTGAGCACGTGTTTTGTTCGTCAGTCTGTTTACGTAGCTATTAATCGCGTTTCTGGTGATTTTCATTTAGTAGTGGCATGAACGACAATGTATTTCAGCGAGCGCGGCTGAACGTTAATGAATTATTGCTCGTGATACCTGCTATTGAGTGACTTTATCCGAACATTTGTGTCTACTGTCGAATACCGCCCGGTTGTTGGCTTGGCTTCTCATTTGTGGTGTTCCGAACTCAGGTTGAAGGATTTTATGATGCAATTTAGAACATATTCATTAAATTTTATATTAATTTGGTGTGTTATAATGTGTGGTGAAACTATTTTCTGTAAACTAAACATGTTTGGTCCATGAGGCATTTTCCGTATCTTTCTAATGCTACCAAAATGTTACTACAGTGAGTAGTAGCATCAATTCTACTAACAATTCTACTTTGTGTGTAACGTTTGATAACAGAGCGTTGTGGCTCGATGGTACGGAGGATATACCTTGGATCGTACGTACGTTCGTTTTATTAAAAAATAAAAAAGAATGTATTGTTAAATATAATTAATAAAATTCAATTTAAAATTAAAATCTTATTCCTACTTCTTTGTAATATCCTCTTTGTCGTTTTCAGTATATGCGTCTTAAATCATAGTTCATATGAAGCTTATGTGAGTGCAACATATCTAATTCATGTGTTGTTGTTTTTAAAAAGTTGAATAAAGTAGAAACATAAATAGAAGAATTAAATATTAATGATAAAAACACTCGGTGGTTGAGTGGAGACGTGCACCTGCTGGCATGCTAGCAGACGCGGATCGAAATTATCAGGTGTAATTTGGGTTGCATATATGAATTGCAACGAAATATAAGAGAAATTGAAATACAAGTGAAGGCAAATAATAGAAGTAAGAAAGTAAGTGGAGAAACGAGAACAGAGAAATAGAAGGAGTAGTAAAGAATAGGAGATGATAGGAGGAAGAGAACACAGAGTAGAGTAGAGAAGAGGAGGAGATAGAAGAAAGAGAACAGGGGAGGATCAGATTTTTAAATTTTTTGGCACGTGTCGTTATAAGACAGTAGCGCCACCGGCGCTATGGTCAATCGCCCACTGCTTCAGTCCGTCCATTGCTCCCGGCCCATCCTACAGCTACGATGTCTCTGCGCTTCATCCCCAGGATTCTCAGGCATATCAACAATTTTTATGGTGGGGGATCATCCCCTGAGTGGGAAACTCCTTATAAAGACATTCCTTATAAGGACTTGTAAAAATATTTCTAAGTTTTAGGTCGTCTCAAGGCAGGCGACACAATATTTTTACAAGTTCTGACCTGTACCTGAAATGATAGAAGGGGTGCACACAAATTATAGGAGGCACAGTCACTTTTAACATTTCTTTCTTTATTGAAACATGTATACAATGAAAACTTGTAAAATATAATACTAAACAATATATGTGCCACCATTTTGAAACTAGTTTTAAGAGCAGTATAGCCCCGTATATGAAGACAAATACCAAAAGTAAAAAATAACAAAGAAAAACATATAATACTAACAACTTTTGCATAATTTTCGCGACAATTAAGGAAAACTATTATATAGGGTGTTCCGAAAACAATAGAAAAACATTTAAAGAGAAAAATGCAAAATTCAAGTAGGGAAATATATATCTAAAAGCCATCAAAGTAAAATCAAAGGAAATTAATATATAGGGTGATGAATAGAGAAAACGACAAAATTTTAAAGAAAAATCCTTAGTTTAAATGGGATAACATACATCTTTCCCCTTTCGACACTACGGGAAATTAATATACAGGGTGTTACAAAAAGAAAACTCTAAGTTTAAAAAGTAAAACGCACAAACACTAATAAATATGGTCTATTAAATGATAAGAAAAACCTATCTATAACGGATGGAAACAATGCACAAGGCGGCTACAACAAGATAATATAAGAAAAAAGCCATCAGGAATTTTAAAAAACAAAATGTAATCAAAGAAAAATGAAAAGTAAGAAAACATATAAATAGACCATTTCAAAAATTGTATTTTCTTTGGATATGAATGAAAAGTGATGGGTTGGATATTACAAAAAAAAAAGCAGAAAGCAGAATTTTATTTTAAATCATGTAACAATCAGCGACCAGCCCGGCAAGCCGTGAAAGGGGCTGTCCATTAATCACGTGATCTTTTTTTTCATTTTTTGGACCCCCCCTCCCCCTTGGTGATACGTCGTGAGGTTTAAGATTACCCCCACCCCCCACCCCCATCATCACGTGTATTTTAATCCCAACAAAGAATAATAAAATGTTTACAATTATTATAAGATAATATTATTATCTTTGAATACAGATAAAAACTATCATTTATTTAATTCATAAATTACACTATATTTAATATTTATTTCTTATCTCTCACCAGCAACCCACCAGCAAGAAATTGGAAAAATAAATAGATGTAAACTAATAGCAAGCTAATAAAACTAATATATTAAGAATTTTGGGCCATGGCATGCAATGCAGATGTTGAAGAATTTAGAAGGCACAGATGGTGAGAAGGAAGTTGCACTACGGGACAGAAAAATTAAAGTAAATGCTGAAAGTAGTAGAATTTGAAGTAAAAGAGCAATAAAAGTACTTAAGTAAAGATGTTGGGAAATAACTGGCGGGCTACTATTGGCGACTGCATGACAAGCCGGGTGGTCGGCGTGCGAGGCCTCCGTTTCTTGCCTGGCAACGGCAAGTTACACGCCGCTTTTCTCTTTAGAAATCGTGCGTTTGACGAAAAAATAAATACACGTGATATCTTACTCCACTCCCCCTCCCCCTGGTGATTTTTCGTGATTTTTAACAAACCCCTCCCCCCCCTTCATGCCTCACGTGATTAATGGACAATCCCAAAGGATCAAGAACGCAGCCGACGGCATGCGACTATCTTAATCTTTTTAATTTGTACATTAAACAAAAACAAAACAAGGTATCAAATACGTAATGCAAATCAACGGCATTGAAACAGAGACAAAAATTATTTGAAGGCTTAAAAACCACGCAGTTAAGGTAAAAACAAGTAAAGGCAATAATGGATTTGATTTTCAAATGGCTTAAGAAATGCGAGAACATACCTTGATGCAAAATTATTTTTTGCGCTTTTGGCTTATCCAATAAATTGCAAGGACTTTAATTATGCACATTGTAGAAATGATGAAATACGCGAATCTTACAAAAAGAGTATCCGACGGCCGATGGAATATCACTTTTACCTCTGCGTATTCGCAATTCGCATTTGACGAAGGCCGCACATCACTCGCGCACGATGTAAGGAGGAATATTTAGAAATATTACGTAATGACGCGAAGAAATGAAGGAACTCTAACTATTTCACAATAGTGAAATGTGCGTGCAGATCACCCGACTACAAATATGAAACTGACGTGGTAGGCAAGCCAACCGCGAGCCGAACCGCGTGGCGACCGCACAAAAATTGCACGAGATAAGAACACTTGTTTGTTTGTAAACACTGATACATTCAGTGTGGTAATGTAGAACATGAAAAGAAGTGTACTCGTACAATGCATGGAACTTTTAATTTCGAATTAATTATGAATCGGACACCAGTAACAAAACTATAGATTAAAGCCCTATTTGCGTGTAAACACCTATTTTTTTTTTTAAATAAAATTGCAAATAGGCCCTAAACGTTCAATGTTAGGATAATAAATTTAAACAGTTCTTTTGATTCTACATTGATTATTTTCGTAACTTTTTTCCTAAGATTAACCGTTTTGGCCATATTTTTCAAATTTTAGTGAAAATTGCATTCGATATAAAAAAGAAAAAATTTTAACTTTTTTATGACGAAATATTTTATTTCAATAAATACCGATTCTGTAATAATTAGAATGTTTGCATTTTGTTTTTCGTTTTTGAGAGTATATTAAATTCTAAATTTGGCATGTAAAAATCAATTTTTTTAATTAAAATTGCAAATAGGGTCTAAACCGTCAATGATAGAAAAATAATTACTTAAATATTCAATTAAGAATTAAATTATCTTTCAAAATCCAAAAACAGAATTTAAAAATTTCAATTATTTCAAAAGCTGCACTAGCTGCAAAGAAGATTTCATCATAAAAATGGCAAAAGAATTCTCTTTCTTATTATCTTATATTGTATCTAATAGTGGTGGGTAGGTAATGCGTTTAGCCGGAAAAAGCCGCCAAAGAATTAAGAACGCAACCGACGGCACACGACAATCTTAATCTTTTTAATTTGTACATTAAACGAAAACGAAACAATGTATCGAATAAGTATTGCAAATCAACTTTAGGTATTGAACCAAAGACAAAAATTATTTGTGTGGTCAGTGGTGTAACTAGCCTTTTATGCACCCGGTGCGAGCTTTCAAAACTGCGCCCCTGAACAATGCTCTAACCAGGTTCTGAAAATAAAATGGTCATTTCTGCGCCCCTCCAGGGTCTGCGCCCTGTGCCTGGGCACTGCTGGCACCGCCCTAGTTACGGCACTGTGTGTGGTGAAAGACCACGCCAACCGCGTGGCGATCGCACAAAACTGCAGGAGATAAAGAAACTTGTTTGTTTGTAAACACTGATACTTCCAGTGTGGTTGTGCAGAAGAATTGTACTCGTACAATGCATGGAACTATTAATTTTTATTAAATGCCTAATCGGATTCTGATAGATAATTTAATTCTACATCGATTATTTTAGTAACTAACATTAACCGTTTAGACCCTACTTACAATTTTAGAAAAAAAAAATGAATTCGTTTTTCGTAGACCTTTTTGTTCTTGACATAATCGCCAAAAAATTCGACCCTGTTCTACGGCCGAAAAATATTTTAACACAATAGTTCAATTCTGTTCATTGACAAAAAAAAATTAAATAAAAAAATTCGATCCTGTTTTTCGATTGAAAAAATTTTAACAAAAAAATTCGACCGAAAATTTTTTAAGTAAAATAGTTCGGCCCTGTTTTTCGACTGAAAAAATTCTAACAACAAAAAACGCCCCAAAAAAATGTTAACAAAAAAATTCGACCAAAAAATAAAAAAATCGACCGAAAACATTTTAACACACAAATTCTACCAAAACATTTTATGATAAAAGTTCAATCCTGTTTTTCAACCACAAAAATTTTAAGTAAAAAAGTTCGATACTGTCCTTCGACCGAAAAATATTTATTAAAATAAGTTCGACCCTGTTATTCGACCAAAAAATGAAACTTATTGGACAAAAATAACGATATTCGAATGGGATTTTAAGACACTTCCAAAGGGTTTATAGGGTAAAAACGGTATGCATAGTGTAACGGGTCTCTCCAACTTTAACATGACGTTAAGAAACTTCAAGAAAATAAATTATTTCACGTGATACAAAGTGTTTTCCACATCATGACTCTCTTCTGGCGTGGAAAAACTAGAAGATAGTTAATTTGTTTACCAGATACAGAATGTTTTGTGAAATTGTGAAATTGTCCATTTTTGAAGATCATTTTAAGGCACTTTCAGAAGAGTTGAGAGGTTGGAGGATACGCATCTTGTAGAGGAACTTTCTAACTCTATTCTAACGTGGAGAAACTATAAGCAAGTCAATTAGTTCACTAGATACAGGCTGTTTTCCTCACCATGTTTTCAAATTTTCTTAAAATTGCTCATTTTTGAAGGGCATTTTAGGGCACTTGCGGAAAGGCTATGAGGTTGGAAGGTAGGCATCTTGTGGGAGAACTCTCTAACTCTATTTTGGCGTAAAGAAACTTTAAGAAATTCAATTAGCTCGCTAGATACAGAATGTTTTCCACACCATGTTTTCAAATTTTCCAAAATTTTCTTTTGTGTATCTTGTACCTACCTGTACTCTCGCGCTCTAACATGACGGTAAAAAGTGAAACAATTTACGAGATACTGGGTGTTTTCCACACCATGTTTTTATAACACTTCTTGAAACGGCTACTCTTTAATTGATATTAAAAATAATGATATACCAATACAACTATCGAAATTAAAACAAATGTATCTGCAGACACGCGAATGATGAACGCGGATCAGCCACCGTATCAGCTGACAATCGGCCCGAAACTGCTAGCAGCCCGCTAAACTATCCTCTCTACCGCTTCCACGACCAGTATGGTGAAGGTCGTGCAGGTATAGACCGTATAATACGTAGTACCGTAATCTAGTCTTCAATGCAATAAAAAGTATAAACAAATATACTATTCACGACGAATACTACTCTATATACAATACATAATGTTCAATATACGGTAAAGTTTTTGAAGAAATACCTAATATTAAATTATTAAAATAAATTACGTAAAACCAATCAGAGTAATACCAGGTATAAATAGGTTTATTTTACTGTTAAGAAAATAACTCCGCATATGGTCTCTAATTCAAAATCTATCTTTGGCACGCAACCTTAGCGTCGCCTCGTGGCTTATTTTTTAAATAGTGGTTCAGCTAAACCTGTCAAGCTAATGTTTATGATTTATTATTTATTTTATATATTATCAATAAATTAAACTTTTTTAAAAAATGTCGACAAAAAAATTATTCAGCGGCTTTCAAGAAGTTCACCTAGACATTTTTAGAAAAAAAAGTTTATCAAAGGGAAGCAAGTTATGTACAAGTTTTCATGTTTCAAATGTTTATGAACAGATTACCGAAAATAATTCGAGACGAATTTTTGGAACCGTATAACGAGAAACTCCTGGTCAAACCAGTTCTAAGAGAATATTAATTATTATAATGTTACAGTTGAGGCAAGTAAAAACTTTTAAATCATAATTAGTTTCTAAAGGTTTCTAGCTGGATGTGAACCGAGCGGTTAAAAACACAATTTGTTGCTGTCACGAAGGTAGAGGTTTTTGCAAACACGCAGCAGCAGTGTGCATTTATGTAAATTTTAAAACACATGCTCAAAAACTGATCAGCTTATGATTTGGCATAAACCAACTGATGAGCAATTACATAAGTATAGGAAGGGCTGTCAGATTCGAAAAATGAGAAATCCCGCGGTTCAAAAACAATTGATTAACGCGGAAATAAACTGTAATGATTTGAGATTGGTTAGGGAAATTGAGAAACGAAGCAAAGAGGCTCAAGTTGAAAAATTGCTCGAGAAACTTTATAGTTTCCAAGACAACGATTTTCTTACATGTCATGCCTATAATTCTTTGATTAAGTCCGATTCTTTGATGCATAGATTTAAAATTGTAGCTTGCACATTACAGTGTGTCGAATTTTATAAAAATGTTTGCACTGGTCTGTAGCGTTATTTAGACACAGGTTTGGTGTGCCGAAAAATTCATTAGAATCACCTCCAGTCAGAGAGCACATCAAATCAAGACCAGAATAACAAATTCAGAGGAACTGGCAAAACAATTTATAAATCAATCATTTAAAGGTGCATTAACACCAGATATGCGTTACGGCATAGAAATTGAATCAAACGCAGCATCAAAATTTGAAGAGTTGACTGGATTAGCAGTTCATCGCCTCGGTTTAATAAGCAACCATTTTTAGCATGTAGTCCTGATGGCATTATTGACAATCATGGCATTTTTGTGTTATTGGAAATCAAATGTCCAAGTAGTTGTAAAGATTCAAAAATAATTGATTTCGAAGCACGTCAAATTAAAGTACCGTATTTAATTTTTGAGAATGATAGTGGAAATGAGATTACGCTCAAAAGAGTTGATAAATATTTTACTCAAGTACAAGTTTCCTTATATATATTTGGTTTGAATTCTTATCATTTCTTTGTTTATTCATTAGAAGATCATGTGCACATTATTATTCAAAGAGATGAACAATTTTTGAGTGAAGTGATACCAAAAATTGAAAATTTTTTCTTCAAATATTTTTTGATTACCTACTTTCTGTGTTGAATACGTAATCCATGTTTGTATTAATAATGTTTATTTATTAAAAAATTATACGTGATTTTTGTGGATTTACAATTTTGCTATTGTTATTCAGTCCAGAATGAACAAAAATATTTGTTTGTGTTGCTGTTTCGTTATAATTACTCCAACAGAACATAATGTTAATGTCATTGCAATCATTATTTAATTCAAAATCGGGATCAGTTTGTATGCCAATATCATGTTTCTCAGCAGCAATTGTATCATCAACTGCAGCATCTGTTGGAGCTGTATTAACTATTGAAGATGAAATTCTTTCCCGTCGTTTTCGCAATCTCTCAGCTCGGAAACCTGCATTAGAATTTCTTTTTTTTCCGTATATTGGAGGAAATATAGTTGGGTGATAAGATTCTTTGAGTGGATTGTTAGATTTTTCTCCCCCAACAAAATGTGCACTGCAAATTCTAGAATTTTTTCCAGGCTGCCACGGTTTTCCATCACTCCTGCAATAAGAGATTGACTTATAAAATTGTGACAATAATAGTGAGAAAGTCCTAAATATCTATAAAACATTGGACTTAACCTTAAAAAAAAAATTTTCAGTAGGAAAACTACTTAAATATTCACTTTTTCCGTTAAAATTACGAATAAATCTTATTTTTGTAAATAATATGAAAATATTTATTATTATTATAAATTTGAAGATTAATTCCCACAAACAAAAAACTACTTACATTTGTCGACGTACTGCTACAATCCACTTCTTTTTTCTTTCCAATTCGTGAGGATATCCAGGAAAACGGTGAAATTGCAGTTCTGGATTTTTACGTTGAGTGTTTTTACAGTCGACAACGCAACAAGCACGACTCGATACTTTTTTATCCATTTTGTTAAATTATTAATTCACTTGCAATTAAATATATAACATATGGTATTCAAGGTTTCAGATGACTCACTATTTAAGAAATAAGCCACAAGGCGGCGCCAAGGTTGCGCGGCAAAGATACTTTGTCTATACGTTTCATGATCTCAACTTCTCCCCTTTTACATTGTCGTCCCTCTACCGCGTTCTCTACTCGACTCCCCCCTAACACTCCCGTCTCTCTGTGCAAGAATGGTGCAATAAAATTATTTACAACAGTATTAAGCAATAAAATGAAGTAATTGAAGATAGATTGAAAATTTTTAAAACATATGTTTGGTCGAGGATTTCCTCAAACCCCTATCATGGGTCACTTCAAAATAAAACAAAAATAAAAAAATTCACGAACACTTAGGTTTGGTGCGGCCAAAAATTGGCCGAAACCGAAACTGAAGCCGAAACTGACCGAAACCAAAATTTCAGTCGGTCTCTAGTTTTTATTCAATGATCATAAAGCAATTACCTAAACCAATCAAGTTTCAAGTTTCCATTGAAATTGTAATTCCAACGTCAGTAAGGCATAATCAGAAATCAAGCAGGTCAAATAATTTAAAGCAGCAAATCGTCGACCATGCTCATCCTGGAACGAGACCAAGAATACAAATTCGGTGTTTGAAAACAATCATTATGTAAATTTATAAACATCAGTTTCTGATGATGCCCACAGGGCGAAACATGTAAAACTCGCATACAAAATTGTAAAATCCAAGAAAATCACAAAATTATTTTAATAAATACATTTTATAAATTACTACCATGGATTACGTAGTCAACTTAGAAAATAATAACATAATGTAAATATTAAGAATTACATTAATACAAAAATTAATTCTGGGTATATTAAAACTGAAAACAAAACAGAATGAAATAAATTATCATATATACCAATTTTATTTACATTATCACAGGCTTAAGTCAGATAAATAATAAAATATAATACATGCTAAACTATACGAAAGTTACATTTCGTTCTCATTGCGTTTACATTTCGCTTAATCGATTAGGAATCAACGCCATAATCAAATCATTAATGAATCATTTTCATAGTGAAATAGTAAGGTAGTAATCACATAAGTTTCATTCTAATTTAGCATAAGTACAAATTTGACATCGTTCGAAGAGGATCGGTGTGCAGCGGTGGGTGGTTGTTAATGGTGTTATGGATGTTATCTCTGAAAGCCGAGAAAGTCAATGATGCGATCGTTGAGATTGTCCAACCAGTTGTAGATTGGGCCGTGTTCGGGAACTGTTTTCGACGATTGCATCGGCATGTACTCCTCACTACGGATGCAGAAGTAGCTTCTAATAGGACCACGGCACATTGGGCATCTCTCCAACTTGTCAAAGCAGCTGGCGCAAATACACGTATGTCTAAAAACAAGTCAATACATTATTTTGGGCTAAATTACAATGTAAAATCAAAATAATTACCGGCATGGAAGAAGCGCCCTTGACAATGGAAAAAATTGACACACCACGCACAATTGCTCACCACTTGTATTCCACATGCCACCCCCAGACTCATCCCCAGACGGACAGACCATCGCCTGTCCCAATCCGCCACCTCCCACCGGTTCAGCGAGTGTGAGAGGTATATGCGCGTCGTCGTCATAACCACCTGGATTACCCGTCGCCAAATACAGTTGTTTGAGACAGGATAATTGGCCGTTCGCTTGTTTGAGATACTGCGCGAGGATGCTCGTTGGCAGGGTGCAAACCGAATCCTTGATGTGAACGACGTTGATCAACGCTACAGTTTCGTCCGGATGCAACTCGCCCTCTGGCTCTACTCGCATTAGAAATATCACCAGCGGGTAGCAAAGTCTCGGAGGAGTGCCGAGGTCCAGTGGTGCTGGAAGGCTTAACTTAACCGTTTCATCTGTGTGGACTAATTTTCTAAATAAAAATAATAAATCATTACCCAACGAAAACAGATATAAAGAAAAAAACTTACTGCAACGTTAGACCTGGTTGTTGATAGTGCCCTTTAAGTAGAGTTCCATTAAGAGCCATTTCTCGAAGTGCAGACCAAGGTCTCCAGAGAAAAACGTGCAATTCTTTGATGTTAACTCCCCAGAAAACCTGAACGCTGTATTTTACTTGACTGGATACTGAATATTGTATTTCTGCAAAGAAATAATATAGATGTATATTTATTTGCTCATAAATTTTTATGCTGTGTTTGTTACAAATCAGGTTTGTAATGTGGCTGAGTGACGTCAATTAACTAATTTATTGGTTATTAAGTTGCACAAAATGTTTCCAATTTATTTTTTAATTATCCAGTTTTGTCTTGTTATGTATCAACAATATCTTCAATATGTTATAGAACATAAAAATACTTGGTCAGTTTCTTGTAAATTTTCAATGTTTAAATACAATATAACAATCTCAATGAACAGAAAGGCAAAATTGCTTGCGCAAGCAAAGTTAAAATTATATGTAATCATGTTAACCACCAAGGACATTCCCGATATTTTATAAAACGAATACACCACACTCCTCTGCATACTTGGATAAAGGTGTAACAATATTGTAAATAAATATTGTGCACTTCGAAAAGTGTTCAATGTTTAGTTTGTTCGCGCTAAACCAGTGGCAATATTTTACGTCAATAAGGAAATTAAATCTGTTTTTGCACGTGAACACTTTATTTGCTTCGCACATAAAATAAATATGAGAAGATTGAGAGTGATTCATATCGAGTTGCAGGAACAAAAATCCTGGAGCAATTGTGCACACCTTGTGTACATTGTGCAAGTCGCAGAGCAAATATTTACGCGACTGTGTTTTTGCGAGACGGATACCATTATGTTATATAGAATATGTAAATGTTTGCAGGAACTATTGTTTTAATGCCAAGGATTGTTAAACTATTGATTTTTTAATATTTTACAAATAAATATTTTTTTCTATGCTCCTGCCCTGTGACCTAAAATTTGGCGTAGTTTATTTTTTGTAATAAAAAAATTTTTAAACTCTTTTAACCAACACATCCAACAATTATATTTTTTTCTTCTTTTGTAAGTTTTGAAGTTTATTACTCATTTAAATGTACCAACAATTAAATATAAGGCAAGAATATTCTTGCATCATTACTGTTGCTTGGTGTCCTCGAAACCGTCCAAATCTGAATGAAAAACAAACGCGAAACGCAAAGAAATTAAAGTAACTCTGGAATCACGAAGAGACCTAAGCAGCATGCAGTATGCTGTGCCAGTGCGATTCAGTACGTCGCCAGCAGCGGCAAGCCGGATCGACGGCAATAATATTACAAAATTGCGGTCACCATTTACGCAACGCGCTGTAATAACTTCAAGCCGGCTCGAGAACTGTTCGTTGGGCCACAACACGCCATGCGAGTATGGGTATTTCGCGTATGTACGCCTGACTATGCCTTCATGGTCTCGTGCTCAACTAAAAAACAACGCCGGTTTAATCAGCCACAAGTCAAGCACAGAAAGATCTGGCTATAAACCATAGAGAGAAAGTGAAACTGCATCTCTTGATTCACTCGGCTCGGTCAACTTCTCATCGGCGAAGAGCTTCGTCAAACACATTCCAAATTCTCTCGCGAAATACGCTTTAATCAAACTCTAAGAGATGAAATAGTCTGATTTTACCACAATGAATCAAAAAAAGAATACTATAAAAGTTTAAAAGGTTTTGAAACTTTAATGATTATTTGTGTTTACTTAGTTTTATGGGTGGATTAGGTTTCCAAATGTTAATTATAAATATTTAGCGCAATTAAGCGCGCCCATGATGACAATCTGTGTCAACAAACATGTTACGCAATGTACGGTGATTTCGTTATTTATCACTTTATTCAAAATATTCACAATGTACATTTAATTATTAAAGAAATACCTAAACGAAACACGTAAAATGCATTTATTTGCAGTTTGCAATTTGAAAATGTTTTGAGGCCAAAAGTTGACGATATCTTTTTCTCTCAGCACGTTAACAAACACATACGAGTACACATATGTCGCGACTATTTGCAAACTATTTCAGCGACACGCTTAAAATTTGATGCACTGGATTTTTTAATATTTACGCGAAGTTTAAATTGCAACTGAATTAAAATAACGTAATATCCGAATTGCCCAGTACAAACAACGGAAATTACAAATTTACAATGTTCATGAACTTAATTTATCTAGTAATTTTATTATTATTAATGATGATATATCATTACAAATCAACTATTACTTATAACCATTGTGTATATACTAATTTAGATAAAACTAATCACCTCCGCCTCTTCCACCCATGGCCGTATGGTCGCTATACAGCTTGTTTTCTCACCCAGACTAGGAAACTAAGAGTAGGTACACATTCCCTTTGGGTGGTTGCTATCAGATCCCAAAGATGAGGAGACCTTCTGAGTGGTAAGGAACGACAGTACCACTCGGCTGCTACGCTCAACTGAACTAATCACATATAAAGCAAACGCCCCAATTTAATTGATTTATTAATTATGATAATATTAATTAGGAAATTCGTTTTCATAGAAATCAATACTTCTTTAATGTAATAACTAGTTTCGACTATCTTCACGCCATAATGAACGTGCAAGGTCACACGTAGGCAATGAATTAGAAGTTTGACTTCGTTTAATTGCATATGTTACAAAATATTTATGTGGTCGCAAGAAATAAAAATACTACTTACAATAAATTTGGTCAATTTGGCTTGACATTTGGGTGTCGCGTGCAGAATATATTAAGATGTGGATTCGGTTTTGTTTTGAACATTCTGTTCAAACAATGAGTGTGTTTTTAATCAAAAAATATTTGTGAGAATGTCATTTGGCTGTTTAACGACCATTCAATATTTGCCCAGCCTTGTGATAGACGAATTCACAATCATTGGTTGGAGATGTTTGTCAAAGATTAATAAACTTGCGGGTTATGGCGTTGCCGTGCAGAGACAATTGCCGAATTTTACCAGACAGAAAGGTACAGCAGTGTGAAATATGCCATATGCAAACAAAAATAAAGTCGCGACAGTCAAAGTATAGAAATTTAAAGAAGAACTCTTGTTAATAAAAGCAAATAATAATTGAGCAAGAAATGTAGAATTATTGGTGCTATAACATCAACCAAATTAGTCCGAATAGATTATTTGAGTGCTACGTGACTCTACGAGTATATAAAATTCACGTTCAAAATTCTTTACGTATCTCAAAAAACCTTATAGATAATTATAATCACAATTAGAAAAAACAATATTTGGGATGTTAATGTACAAATAATGTTTTTATGTTGATTACTTTTCATTAACTTTAATTTACCTTTAATGTTTACTGTCACCCTGAGAATAAATGGACAAACTTTAATCTACAAATAAGTGTCCCGGTTATTTCTTGTAATGATTAAATTGTGAATATTTAAAAATATATCTACCATAACAGGATTGCATAGACTAAAATAATAAGTTTTGATCGGAGGGGTTTTGAAGTAAATACAACTTCACATTTGGGACGTTTGTAGACCAAATAGTTTAAATAACAAGATATATCGTAATCATGATATATGATAATATTGCGAGAATTAAAAACATTAACTTTAGTACCACGCCGGCATTGTTGGGCTTGCACGTACAATCAGCACGTGTGAGCCATGAACAGCGCTGTGATAATGTCCGAAAACCTTGTCCCAGCGTACTGGATGATGACGAAAGACAAATTAATATTCGGGACAGTGTAATTCACACGCACTTCATTAAAAGTGTCAAGAGTAATAAAAATTTGCCAAATTTCCATATAAAAAAAATTGGATTTGGTAAGGAACCCAGTGAAAATTTTATAACACCCCAATAAATTAAAGTGTGTTGTTTTTTAATTTAAATCGTCGAAACAAAATAAAATTGCCTGAAAAGAAAACACGTATTGCTTGAGTGGAATATCAGAATGTTTCATTAAAGCAAGACAGCAGCACATTTATTTAAATTTATGGCAGGTGCGCGCCGATTAAACGCACGATTGACACAGGCTTTTAATTTTCGCAACAATTAATGTTAAGGGCAACCAGTTCACCATTCTTTATTCCCGCAAATCACGTAATCTTCCCCTAGTGACCAGATAAAAAAAAAACAGCAACAAGAGTGACAAAACGCGGTCAATGGAAACGTTTATTTTTGAGAAATGTAAAATCGAAAGTGCGATGCCGACCGACATTGTGCGCAATTTGGTGTTAACTTTTTATTGCTTATCGGCGGTCAAAGCACACGCCAGCGATAAATTTTAAATTTTATTGGGAGGTAATTTAATGTTTTTCCTATATTTTTCGAAGTAAGCATCGGGTTGTTATTTGTGGCACTATTGTTGCTATGGAAGAGGACACAAGTAGCACCTCCAAATGATTGGAGGAATTATTAACTACCTACTACAAACATTCAAAAAGAAACTTAATATAATTTTGTTAGGTAGAAAAGGAAGGCAATAAAACCTTATGCAAAAATCAAAATTAACCTATCGCATGAGTCACAGCACCTAAAAATGCACACACTTGCCCTTAACTAGATTTAGCAGCATGCCAAATGTGCGAGAATGAGCGAAACCAGCCGAAGACATGAGCAAGATGCAGTAATTATATTCCTTATTTAGTCGTGCAAGATCGGTGTAGCAAGCCGACCAATAGAGCTAACAGTCTAGATTGATATGTTTGGCACGCCGGCATCAACACGTTAAATATTACTCGGACATTACCGTATAGTGAGCGAATGTTCAATCACTTTGCACGCTTTAAAGTCGAACGTGCAATTGATCTCAATAAGGTGTGAAATAGTTCCAAACTTTAAAGTTGCAAACATTATTAAAACATTTATTCTAAGAGACACCAATTTATCGCCTTTAATTGATTACATTTGCTGACGTAGGTATTTCATTTCCGCCTGCTAAAATATTTTTGCCAACAGTATATCAACCACGAATGATCGTTGGATATAATTTTTTTGGCAGGTATACGTGTGCACACCGTTGACGTATTGCGTAACGCTTACAAGAAATAACATACGATGCTCGAAACGAAGGTCAATGATGTATTTGTCTATGGCCACGTATTCTAATTAGGTGGGTACTACAGTTTTAAAACGCCCAACAGGTTTGATCTTGCGAAATTTAATCAGATCTTATCCAAACATTTCATATTAATTTAATATAATATTTAATAATATTTAATAATTAATATTTAATAATAATAGCGAAAATTTACGAGATTTTTATACGCGAGAATATAAAATTAGAGTGTGGAGTGTTCGGCAACGAATTTGTATACGTTGATTGAATTTAAACATTTATTATCTTCATTTGTTTGGTGTCGCTTGCATTTCCATGAATGTGCCTTGCTAATGCGCACAAGATCTCCTCAGATCTCAGCCAGCAATTACGAAGATTTTTATTACTTACTCGAATTATCAACAATTGTCAAATTATCAGCAGTAGCAGTTATAATTGTAATTGTTCATGATTGATTCATTTGGTAGATGTAAATTCGAGCATTGAATAAGTTCGGCCGGTCATTCTACATTATCTTGGAGAAAATTATAATAGTCTTCACAAACCATGAAAGGAATAAAATTAAGTATTATAAAAACTTACCAGAATATGTAGATTTAGAAGTCTCCAACAGCTTAAATGTAAACGGTATATGAACCTTCATCATGTTCATTTGCGGAATTCGCGGTGAGACCTGATGCAGGGGTCCGTGGAAAACCAAATCGTCGCCGTGTACCCGCAACACCATCATGTTCCTGCAGCAATCGAAACAAATAAAAGACCTGTGATAATTACCAAATGATAATTTACATCTTTTATATGTTTTGTGTTCAATGCTTCAATTGATAAGTGTAAGCGTGTAAATGCCGACGACAGCGGTACACAAAGAAAGACAAAAGTCATCAATATTTAAGCTTGCAAAAGCAGATCGGTGACCGCGATACACTTTCGCTTTCTGCAGTTTTTACTCATTACTTTTTCGTGTTTGTTTTTCGAACCATTGTAATGACCTTGAACCCTAATGTGATTTTAAAATGTATAGACCGTACTAAGCTAGTGCGTAATATGCGTAATATAAACCGGAGTTTATGGCACGGGATTGATTGATCAATCGAGTATTTAACAACGTTTAGCCACGTGATGCTTAGGCTATTTTTTTTACTTCCACTCTATTTCCACGTTTAGGTTTTTGTATTTGAACTTTTGTATTTTATACCTATCTTTGAAATTCACTAGCACATTATTGAGAAATGTAAGGTTATAAATACCGTGCCGCGTGCCGGGCCATGTCACGCCGCATCGCCACGAGTATTTCATATGATCTTGTGCTGCATCGTAGACAAATGCGCAGACGCAAGCTCCACCCTGTGACTAAAACCCGTGACGTGCGTCCGTGTTTAAAGTGTCACTTTTTGTATCTCAAAACCGTTGAAAAACTGGCGCTTTAAAGGTGGAAGTAGAAAAAATATAACTTATTATCAACGTATGTTCGCGCTAGCTAAGAATAAGAAAACAATTGCCAACGAACTATTTGCTCGTTATTTCGGCTTAAAATTTATATTTTCAATACAAGTGGCCCCATAACTACAAAACATTACAACAATTACATAATAAATTTATTATTGCATTTGATAACTCGATTCTTACGTTACAATTTTTAGTAATATTTATACAAACACGTAGTTAATATATAAAAAAATTAAATATAAAAAAAAGAAATTTTGTTGAATTTATAATCGATGAAATTCGGATTGTGTAAAACAAAAACAAGTCATAATAAATTTAGAAATTTAGAAAATTTGAAAGTAACCAAAACATTTACCTATCTGTCGAGTTATTGCAGAATCTCGCCGGAAGACCTCTAAATTCACACAAACTCCACACGTCCTCAACGTTCCAGAAACTAAAATCGGGTTCAGAATTGTTGTTCGTGTTTCGACAGATACAAGCTAATATATAATAGTTTTATAGTTTCAACAAGCCCACATTGATTGAATTGGTGAATATGTACAAAGTTATTTGCATTCACTAGTCCCGCAAAAGTTTTCAAAGCACAGATTATTTAAATATGTCGATGAATGATACATTTTTGTTTAGTGCGATATAGTGATGGAATGAACGAAAGCATACCCGGAAATAAAAATGCGCAAAGATTAATGATTCAATATTTACAACTTTTGAATAATATTTACATTTAATTTTGCAAATGTTAGCGAGAATAAAATTATGATAGGCAATGAAAATCTATGACTGCGGAAAAATCATCGCAGTTAAAGAATCTAATAGAGAGTGATTGCTCCAATTAGCATCAGAATAAATGTACTGCGAAATTTAGTTCATTAAGTGCATAAATATCTAATAAAAAAGAGTTTACCTTAGGTCATATTCTCTGCAACTTAATATTTGTAAGAATATGATATCTTCTCTTATTTAAAATTTTTTAAACGCACTTAAAACCTAAAATTTCGCCTCGAGAGTATCTGTTTTAGTATAAATAAAATAAAATAAAACATTAATACATTCAATGGATTACGTATTCAGTAAATAAAATAAATATAAACCTAAAATTTCTATTTGCCGCTAAATAAATATATTCAGCATTATAATTTGCACTTAACAAATAATTTAATTTTTAAATTAGAGCTCTTGCTATTGGATCCAACATGAACTGTAAGGTGTGCTAAATCTCAAACTCCATGAACACGAGATTAAGCAACTGCAAGTTACTTATTGTAAAGCAAATTTGCATTGCAGTAATGGAGAGAAACACTGAGAGAAAGGCGTTTTACTAATGTTGACTGTTTGGTTGGCAATAAGGCATAATACGAATTATAGCAACACCAAGTTTCACAAACTTGAACCATGTTATATGTGATTATTCAATTGTTCCAATAATAATTTCTTATCTTAATGGATAATAACAACGCCTGGTATTTAATCTATTTTCAAAAACATTTATAACCTTAGGTTAGCTATGGACGAACCTCCAGGTACCTACTGCAAGTTATTTAATAGTTGTTTAAAATATTTTCAACAGTTTTTTATGGAACATAGTATTCAGTAGTGAGCAATAATTCTACATTTTAACATACATAGATTTGCACTTGTGTATGTTACTCTGTCTTCATGTAAAACTTTCCTAGTGCTTTGTTGAAACTCTGTGCATTAGTGCATTCATTGCATCTGGCTTATGTCACCATTCTTCTTTAGGTATGTATATAGTACATATGTATATACATTTGCAATTTCGCTAGAGGTACATAAGTATATTTAATTTGAATCTGTGTACGATTTAAAACATTTTATTTTTCCTGCTCGGGAACATCATTTTCATAGATAATGAATAAAAATATTATAATTATATATATAATAGAATAAAAATGTTATTCTATGCCATAGATTTTTAATAAAAAACAAGCGAATACTTAATTATGCAGCTAGAAAAACAATTTTCATCGAATCCCGTTTGGTTCAATTCAAATCTGCATCTTATTATGTAAATATCTTGTTGATGTAAAATCTCAACATATTCACGTCTAATTGTTCCAGAATTACTAATTATAATCAATAATGAAATAATAACTGCGACAATAATTCTTTGTTTCATGCGTGTGTTAGTTATTCTTACGCGTGATAATGGATATGATTAAGCAGCGAGATGAGTTATGAAATTGTTCACTTATTTCCAACGATTTTTAACCAACACAGCTAGTGATGATGTGTCTGCGACGAAATGTAAGAGCAACGTGGGAGCGAAGTGAGAAGCAATTAACAGGTAATATAAAAGGAAACAAACCTTGTTATAAACAATATCATACCAAAAAAACAAATCAGCACCACGATCGCGGACACAATGTTCGACAGGTCATCGGACATAATGATCATGTTTATTGTCTTTTGGTCCATTATTGTGGCGCGCTCAGCGCGGTGCGTAGTTCCAGTTCTGCACAGACGCTGGCCGTGCGGTTGCTTAGGCAATGTGATCGTACGAGTACCGATCCTAGTGCACACGCTGCTCTATAGGTATTTGACAGCACTCACAGTAGTTTAATTGCGCGAAAGAGTCCCAAGAACGCGACATGTCCGCACCGACCTGCGTACCACATTCAAAACGCGCCGCACCACTGTCTGCACACAAAATTCAACGCGAGCTCTTATAGGTACCTGGCTTGAGAAGCGGTGGCTCGCGAGACTCGGCGTGGAGCTGTTTGTTGGTGTCATTCGACGACGATTGTACGAAAATCAGATGGGTTACGTCACTCTGACAGATCATGAATCGCAATCGGTGCAAACCTCATATTTTATGATTTGCGATATTGCAACCCTTTATTTAAATTAATTAGGAAAATAACACGCTGCGTACATATGATTACTATGTAATTAGTATCATCAAGTTATTAAGAAGATTATTTGCAAACATTTATTGATACAAAAACATGTAGCGTCATCTGTTATACAGCTCTGGTATTGAAGTAACAATATCTTGTATATTTTTTCAAAGAAGTATGCAACACAAATACCTCCAAACACTGATTTACTTCAAAGATTCTTTACATTGTAATTCTTGTTTATTTTTTATATTATTCTGTAATAACGCATTGTGATACTTGTACACTTTTAAATGTCTTCAACAACGAGACTCTATTATGGAATTATTGATAATAAAAAATGACTACATTAGCCACATAAATCAAAAAACAAAGATATTTATCTTCGTAGAATACGTAATCCATAGTATCAAACTAGAATTATTACAGTTATTGATTGAAATGTAATTCAATTCACGTATAATTTAAATAAATTAAAGTGATAGCTCATTGATTTTGGCTTTACCGGTACATTTGGTTACGATGTCAACGGATAATATGAGGTCGGTTCATATTTCTGAAAATTCTGCACTTCCTAATAAATTCAGCTCTTGACTTCCTCAAAATAAGTTAACCTCAAAATAAGAAAACTAAACAATTATTTAAAAATAATAAGTATACATCTCTATTCTACATATGTATATAATTTGTGCATATAATAGTCATATAATGATTACATATATATTTGTTATAGAACTGTCATTGCTGGTCAAACATTTTATGGTTTGATTTATTTGTGGATATTATTAGAGACCTGTTCATTTTGTAACACCATGAGCAATGATTCTAAGTATATTTCCGTTGATTTTGAAGTTTATGGAAGAGTCCAGGGTATGTAAGGTATAGTTTTAAATACATATTTTATATTAAGTTATTCTCAGGGGTATTTTTCCGTAAATTCACTCAAAAACAAGCTGTTAAATTGGGTTTGAGTGGTTGGTGCATGAACACAGAAAGTGGTACTGTCCAAGGGAACATGCAAGGAACAGCTTCAAAAATTGCTGAAATGTAAGGATGATCATTACATGTATAGTAGAAAATTTAAAAAGCTAAGTGACACCAACACCACCTCAAAAACATTTATTATTGAAAGACAAGGTGGCTGCCATACAACTGGCGATATATTAAAGCATCTATGGCCCTAAAACAGACTTGCAATTGTGTACAAAGGGTACATTGATGCTCTAAATTTTTAAATTTAGTTTTGGCAACTTTCCTTGCAGAAATAAGGAACCAGTCAGCACTGAACTAGAGATGTGAAATGTTATCTGGTTATCAAAAAATAAAGCTAACTTCCAGAGGAAAATATGTTACAGTTGTGTAGTAAACTGTTACTTTTATCTTATAAAATATCTCTCTAATAACGACCATGCTTATTAAATGTCTAATCCAAATTGAAGTTAGCAAATCAGTTAAATGGCAAAAGTAGAGTTTGGAGAAGAACTACTTGTAAACATACAAATTTGGAACATTGATGATATTTCATATGTGTTACAGGAAATCATGGCTTCAAAATGTTGGCAGTCCTCAATCAAGAATCGATAAAGCAGTTTTTACAACTGAAGCAATACTAAAAGAAAAACCCACTGGCTCATTTTCAATTCGACGCTAAAAATTTGTGATAACAAAATGTGAAATTATTTGTATTATTTATTGAAAATTAAACCTGTTATATTTTACATATTGCTTAATTCTATTTATTTGTTGTTGGATTTGTCATAGAGATTTTGACATTTTGTAATTTTGGACGTTTAGGACAAATTTGACTGTCCTGCAAGTACGTCCTCCGAAATGCGAATGCGCGCATCAACAATCAACCCTAGACAAGATGTGTGGTAATGCAAGTCTAAATACCTACAAGAACTTCGGAAAACGCACGAGACGAAGATGTTTCCGTTTTTTAAACCTTTGCATATTCATAAAGTTGTGAGTATTAAGTTTCGTTATTGTAGCATTTATAGATTTTTTAAACGCAACATATATTAAGGTGATTATGATAAATTTGGAATTATTCTTTTAAGGACGTTCATGCGTGACACGTTATAAAGTAAATAAAAATTAATATTATTTTAAGTATTGGCAACTTTAAGTATTGATTATTTTAAAGAATTATTAACATTTAAAGACAGTGTTTTTTTGTATTAAAAATTATAATTAATAAACTTCACCGTCGCGGTCGAAGAACTACTACACCGGTCCCAAGTTCGGAAACAAAAGGAGGGTGCTAGGGTGAGGCCAGCGACCTGCCTTGGGTAAAAAGAAACCGCGCTCAGAGAACCAGTGTCGGGTTTCGAACAAGGATAAGAGCAAAACATAACTTCAGATTTGCCACATGGTACATCAAATCGCTGAATAAAAGAGGACAAGAACTATGGGAATACAACATACATATATGTGCGCTACGAAAAAGGGAAAACGGTCAGATATTTAGTGGCGTAGAATAAGTTCAAGAGCTCACATATGTTTCAGAATAAATAGTAGGAATTAAGGATTCTAAATAGAATGGAACTAGATAACAAACACGTCCATTTCAGTAGCATATATGCCCCAGAAAAGTGCAGAAGTTAATATGTCCGAGAGAACTTCTTTGTCACTGCAACTACTATAAAACATAATAAATGAGGAATGCATTATATTAGGTGACTTCAACACCAGGATTGAAAACAGAATAATCCCTGGGATTAAACAATGATTCAACAAAGTCACAGAATAGTTAGATTTTGTACACTCAATGAATTAAGAAAAAACCACACCTCCAAATATAACAACAGAAATACAAGATGTACAATAACTATTAACTGATCCGCATAGATACTCCCAAAAGACGAAAAATGATTACTGGACAATCTTCAACGGATCTGAAGATAATATGAAAAAGGGTTTCATACAAAAACCGAAAACTAAAAGAATTAATATAACAAAATAACAAAAATAATAACATATATATATAATAACAAAAACAGAAGATGGAAACAAAGAACAAAATGAAAAGAGGTGACCTAACTTAAGAAGAGAAAGTTAAGTGGGCCATTGATCATGCTATTTAAAAATGGAGACATGCAAATACCATCAAACTACCGGGGAATCAATCTATTGGACACAATCCTGAAATAAACAACAAAGATTATAGCAAATAAGATAAAAAAATATACTACAATGTCTGACGAACAACAAGGTTTCTGAACGGGAAGATCCTGCAAAGACACTGTTTTCGTAATCAGGCAAATGAAAGTGGAATAAACCAGCAAATTAAAATATCGCAATCGAATGCGATTATAAAACGAAAAAAAAAAACGAAAAGAAAAAAACAAATGCATGGTCAGTGCATAGTGCATACCCATTAAGATGTTAACTAGAAGTGGATGGCATGATCATAAAATAAATACGAGAACTCAAATACCTAGCCATTAATATCTCAAGCTATAAAGGAGTAAAGGAGGAAATACAAACGCAAGTAGAAAAGGGATCGAGAATCGCTGGATGTCTTTGGACCACAATATGGAATAACAACAATTTACGAAAAGATGCAAAAAGACGTTTTAGCTAGTAAAATTTAAATCATCGTAGTCAAATTCTCACCATGTAAACTGGCAACAACGCGCACAACCACTGACACAGAGGGGCCACTGATCTGTATATTTATCTGGATCAGGATTGAGGATATGTCAAATTATTTTTCCATGATTGAAGCTTGAGGTTGATGTGTGTTGATTTTTACTATTATTTTATAATAATTTACTACAAATATTTGGAAGAGATATTTAAACATTATAAATCATTGTATGGCATTTGAATTTTTTAAATTTTTCTCAAATCTCAAATAAATTTTGTAATAAGTAGGTATAAGTATTATTTTGACTAGAGCGTAGCACATGAACGTCCTTAACTTAATTGAACATTTATATAGTAACCGACTTGGGTGTACGTAGTTGCATATTTTGCAAATTCGAAATTGAATTAGAAGAGCGCTTCGAAGCGTATTTGTTTAATTTTGGCTTTAATCCTTAAAATACTAACGGTACATTAATGGTACAACGCGTGTAAGCTAGAGAATTATTAGCGGGCGCCTCTCTTGCTCCTTGCTTTTCTGGCTATATTGGTTTATGTTGTGAAATGAATACGTATTTTTACTTTACTCAAAAATAAAGCAAAACATTTGCAGTGGTAGAATTGAAAACACTGGAAAAACTGGAAAAATAACTTGTATGTTCATTAATATGAATCTAAATATGATACGGATATATAAATTGACACAATTCCTCCAATAAAGTCCAATGTCAAACAGGTAAACACAAATCAAAAAAATAATAAATAACACAAAAACTGGTTAATTTGAGAATTTTCTAAACATGAAAAGAGTAAACAATTGGTGAAATCAGGACCGATTAGTTATAAGAGAAAAAAATATTAAAACTATTATTTTAAACCATTGTATAATCTACAATTTTGGCTAATCTTTTAATAATTTTTAATAATAATGGTTGGCAATGCAAAAAAAATAATTTCTGGTATTTTTGAAAATAGGTAACTTTTTATCAACAAGGAATCGTTGTGAACTTTTGAAAATATATTTGAAATGATGCACCCAACATTTATGCAAATTTTTAGCTTTATAGAAATTAATGGTATCTTGAATGTGAATATTGACAGATTTAACAATATACATATATGGTTCATAAAACATAAAATTGCATATTCGTATATAAAACAAAACAGTTTAGTAAATTCATATTTCTATTTTATTGTATCTAAAATGAAATTACTTATTGTCAATGGTGTTGAATACATATATAGAACAATTGTTTTCATGGCATGTCGAAAATAGTGGATATATCAACCAATGCGTCATCATAGACATCGGGCATTGTATAAGTTTTGTGGTAATAGCTGTTTTTTGCACGGTCGCCATTTTCCATCGTTGCTTGTCTCTGCGGCACACACAGTCAGCGATGGCGTGCAAACAGTGGAAATAACAGTTTATTCATTTGCTTACTGCACTGCTGTAAACGTGTACTCATTTATTCAATTATTAACAATATTTGCACAAGCAATAAATATGTTTTTGCCAGTGAAACCGCAGTTTGCTATTGTTCTGATAGCAGAGATTGTCAAAGGGTGAAGAATGGAATATGTAAGAAGGCAAGAATTGCTTTACTTAGTACGACAGTGAAAGTGCAACGATAATAATCGACAAAAACCAAACAGAATGCTTCGTTAACAAACGCTGCGTTTGTGCGAATACTAATCGGTCGATTTGAAGCAAACAACGCAGACTGTTATGTGGTGCTATAATATTTATACAGATGTATAAACAGTTAATTCAACATAAGATTTATATTTATCACATCAACTTTAAAGTCAATATCAGTCGTTAAGGTAAGATTTGGCCTAGTTTATAGTAAATAAACCAAGCTAACAGTAAAATTTTATTATTAATCTGCATCGGCTTTAATAGTTATTAAGTGATTAACATTAATATGTGGAAAACTATAAGTTTTAATAAATTAAATAATAATATAACTAATAGCTACAGATTTAATAACTCGGAAGAAATTTATTGACATGTTTATTCATACATTTTGAGTCATACATAAACAATGACAAATGTGAAGCACATTTCTCGGTATTTTTTTGCGTTTATAAATGAACTAACAGCATCTATTGATTTATTATTCAATTATGAATTTTAATCTATTGAAACAAATTCATTGTTATTACTTCAACATGGTACAGATCATGTTTGGACAAAATGTTTTGAGTCACGTACAAAAATACATCAACAGATTTTTCTCTGGTGTAATAAATTAAAAATATGTAAACTAAATTTACCACATGTACATTGATAGCGTCTTTCTTATATCGTGGCGATTACATGTTTGATAATATGGGTATTTACTGATTATTGAAAAATGTTTGAGGTATTCTTATCTCTCGACGACGTTGGCACGTATCGAAACCACGCTCGATTGCACGGTTCACAAACAATCTATGTATGTACAATAGTACAATACCATGAATATGGCGCATACATATTCGTTGCTGTGGTAGTGGTGGGATTCTTTCAATTACCGCATGAATCGCATGAACCGCATGAATGATGCATGTCGCGACACGGTTAATCTTCAAGTGGCTTTGGTTATTTTCGGTTACGGGCGGCAGTATAATGTAGCATATTAAACTAATTTCGATTTAATTATTATACTAAAAATGTAGTAGATTTATGGCTTAGTGTTGGCAAGTTATGTGGTGCGTGCATTGTGTTAGTTCTGGAGATAAAATAAAATACACAAATTATTTTATGTGTGTTTATCATGGAGTATCTCTGGGAAATGGGACAAAAAACTGCCAAATTATTTCGTGTAGGTTCTATTGCTGTCTGAAAAGTTAATGTGAATATTGATGTAGTACATGTAGTATTTTAGAAGAGGCATAAGAGTTAAATTGAATAATTAGTAACCTTGTAACTTCAAATAGAGATTACCTACAACATTATTTCAGCTGTCGATTAGAATAGGATTTAAACCATAATTAATAACAAATAACAGTTACATGTTTATTGATATATTAAGTAACTGAGGAAGATTTTTATAATTTACTTTTTTAAATCTCTCATTGAAAGAAAACTAAAACGTTTTAAGTATAGGCAACTGTATTAACATTTTTTTCATTTGTGTTTTCACTATGTACTATACAAAAACGCTTCAAAACAATAAGTGTCTTTTGCTGTTTGTTACTGATATCTGGCAACGCAGTGACAATAAAATATAAAATGTCGTTTCTTGTTAATAAAGAAAAGAATTACCTCATATAAAACATACACCATCTCTTTGATGTTATTGCAACTTAACTAATATTAATTTATATTTTTAGATGGACAATGGTGGCTATAACCGAGATCCAGAAAAAGGCACCGAACTTAGTTTAGTAGAAAATTCACACATTAAGACACCAGGAGACAGCGAGAAGGCAAGCAAGTTGGGAAAACACACTAAAAACAATCATCCAGAAACTGCTGACACAGATCAAGAAACAACGCCTATCCGCACGAAGACTAAAAATCCCGCCAACGCCGATCCTAATACACCTTCTTCATACGGAGGTGGCGCAGGTGCTTCCGGTAGTGGTGGCGGCGGTGGACAGCAACCAGAACCTGGTCCTTCAACATCCTGCCGCCCGGAAGTGTGTCAGCGCGCACGAGAACGGTACACTGCGCCAGATCTCCGCGGCAGTCCGTGGCATCGTAGCAAAACTATCTTTTTATTAATCACCATTAGCTCACTAATTATCTGGGCAATTATCTATTCGACACTAAGCCATCTGAATCTAGTGTAAATCCTGTAATTCTCTTGTGATATCTATGACTTACTTTGTTATTGTTTGCATATTTAGCACTAAGTGTATTTTAATTAACTATTATAGTTGTTATAAGAATTTTACTAGTATATCTCTGTTAGTGTGTAGTATTTGATATCTGGTAAGTAACAATATTCTATATATACCTATAAGTATACATATATGAGACGGAATAATGAGGAATTGATAAAAACCTATTTGTTAAACTTATCTATGATATGAGAACCAGTACATGATATACTGTAGTATTAAATGTTGAAAGTTAAAAAAAATTGTATACAATTTTTGTTTATTTGGCTTATTTTTGGCTACTTGTTAATGAGCCATAATACAAAAATACTGGAATTCACCAATTTGCATAATAAAAAACAAATTTTTTAATACATGGAAGCTCCTACTATATATTTTTTTATATTTATGTTATAATCATTGTGAACAACATACTTTTGTAGTTAACGCGCAAATACTTTCAAGGTAATCCACTGTGATTCTATCTAGTTGAATACTATACTCAAACCATCAATAAAACTTACATTCGCATTAGTCTATCCAAGTAATTGTTCAGCAACGGTTGTAGATTACTGCAACATGTTAGTTAAACAATAATATATTGCTACATTTGATAAAAATTTATTAATAGAATTGACACTGTTTGTAAACTAACGTTCAATATCCAATACAAGGAAAATTATTCAAAATATTGCCTTGGTTTCATTGGAATATATTTGCTGACCGTTATATCACATTTGTATTCAGTAGCGAATGCAGAAGTGAAAGAACTGTTTATATTAAAGTTCGCCGACTCGCCAACTCTCGGACCTGTTGCAGCCGGTACAAGGAATCGAGGAAGAAAGTGAGAGTTGGTATTTCGTATTGAGTATTAAATAATCGTGTAACGATCGATTGTGCGAGTCAGCTAGTCAACAGTTAGGAAACGGTGTTTAAACTGTGACAACGTCTTGGCTGGAATTATTTCTGTGATAAAATCCTACCATTGAAGATATTGAGAAAAGTGCATGTGCAATTATTTTTGTTCACAGAGTTAATTGTCTGTTTCGAAAAAATGCATAAAAGCACTGATGTCCTGACTACTAAAGATGTTGAAATGGTATGTGTTTATTATATTTTTATTTTAAATTTCATTTTGAAACTTAGCCCTGAAGATGGCAAAATAAGAAATAAACTTTGAATAATTTACTGTCAAGTGAATGCATGATAGATAACGCAAAGTAATTCAAAATCACAGTTTCAAACTATAAGCGCATAAAATGTTGCCTACTACAACTTCATGTGAAAGTCACTAGTAGACTTGTCACCGCGCGATTTTTCTTAGCCACAATAACAAGTTGTTATGTTTCACGCAGCTATTTCAGTGAAACTGATTTACATAATTATGGTGTTTATTATTCATGCGGCAATGAAAATTAAATTAAATAACCTCCTACCTAACTTAAGCAGAGAGTCGTGAATCAGTTTGACTAAATATTAATTTTAAAACTTTTACACTCACTGAGTAGTTTGTTGTAAACATATATATTTAAACCAACATGAAAACGGGGCTACTTCGACTATTTCGTACTCTATTAACCCTATATATAATACTTAAACGATCTGTTCTATATCTATATTTAATAAATATAGATAACAATAATTAAATTTTTTGTTTTAGGTTTGTAATGGAGCACATGGAGCAAATGTAACACAAAAACCAAAAAATAAAGTAATTCTTATTGCGTGGAATACTCAAAAGTCGTACATATTTCTGATGTTGTCGGTTTGTTTCATTGCTTGGGCCTGTATTTTTTCCCGTTGCGAGAATACTACAAACTGTAAAAATAAATGTAAAAGAACATAAAATACGTATTTATGTAATAATATGTATTATATCTTAGCTCATTAATTACAAAATCCAATTAAGAATTGCAGGACAACTGCTATGTACTAATAATCAACTCATAGGTATGCAGTGTTTTTGATATTATCTACTATATCATGCGTACATGTTTGATAATATTAAAGTTTTAAACTATTCAGTTAAAAAGAAGTTAAAATTCTTCTTGGTTTACATCTCAAACGTTTGTCCATAGAGATGTTTATAAATTATAAATAAATAAATAATATATTTAATATTTTACAAAAGAAACTCATTGTGTTAGTTCAAAAAAATAATTGTATTAGTTCACTATAAGGTGGTATCCATGAAACATCTTCTTCGTGATAATTGTCTTCGTAATCATCATATTCCCACGATGCTGATAAATAATCCAAAGACTCACTCAAACAGACCACATTTTCTGGCCAGTCACATGATCCTTCATCAAAATTAAACAATAAGCCCTTTGGACATTCCATAATTATTGACGAACCCCAATTACATTTGCAGAATTTATCACAATCAGGATGGCGGAGCAATTTTAATGGATTCTCAGTATCTAACACTGGACACGTGCCTTGACATCCATTAGTTTGCCACCGCACAGTTATAAACTCATTGTCGTCCAAACATTTAATGCGATTAAATGCAAAACAAATAAAAACTGAGCTATATAAACGTATGTCTGAAAATATATTTTGTTATTACCGTTTAAAATGTCTGAGAATTTTGAAAAAAACTCACAGTTAAACATCATCATTTTATAACAATTTTTGATCTGTTACTTACATGTAATCGAAATTTATGATTCAAAAGCATCGTTTCTTGAAAATGATACAAAAACAATCTTATCTTTGTGCTGCTTATTTGTTCAAAATATTTAAATATAATTTAAAAATTTACATATTAAACATATTGTTATAAGGTTATTATGGTCAAAACATTGTTATTTTATACTCTTGCTTCGCTCGCTCTCAATCAATCTCGTTTGTAATGCCCTCGTTTAGTCACTTGTTACTTAATATACTATTATAAAAGTGGCCCTCCACACTGCAAAAAAATAATGAATGTAAGCTTCTATTCACAAAAATCAATGTAGAACACGCTTTGATCTTTGACCAAAAGAAAGTGGGGTCGTTGCTAAACCCATAGAAAAGCCAAAAGATAATATGCTTCTACATTTAACATATATTATTGTGTTATTGTGAATTTCTTTAATTGTTGACAATATTTTTATATTTTGGGTTTATTTATGTTACTTTGAATGCAGTAAGACTTAATATGTTTGCTCATTCGAGGTACTAATTGGGTTTATTAATGTAGTGCAAAAGATTATTCTGTTACTACCCAAAACAAAATATGGTTGCCTATAATAGCAAATAAACATTGCAGCAACTTAAGTTTAAAACATTTTGGAAGAATTAATCAGATGTTCCCCGATCACAATGCGCGTTCCTCGGCCAATCGCATATATTTTTGGCTTCGTTAAAATGTAATCCTTGTGGACAAGAAAATACGACTGCTTCGCCAAAATTACATTTACAAAATTTCCCACAATCTTCATTTGGCAAAAATGTCACCTCTTTAACATGTTGTGACTGCTGCGAATCATCATCAGCTGAACATGGGGGGCACGTTCCAATACATCCATTTGAATCCCCACGAATCAGATAGAAACACAGATAAATAAAAAGTGATCCATAAAGAACTAAAAACAAAATAAATTATCACTCTTTTTAGGCTATACCTATATGTGTCAATCTACGTTTTAACAACATTTTATTAACTTGATATCACAATAAAATGTAACATTTTGTTGTAGCTTTTATATGAGATATAAAATAAATAAAGTTAACAACACAATGCATTGCAAATCATGATCCATTGTAATAAAAAGCTACATTTTGTTGCATAATATTTTTTTCATTCATTCAGTTATAAATCAGGTCCGCCACCATTTATTTAATTATAATTGTTAAGAATTAATCATATTCAAAGTAAATTAAATGGGAAGTGCCCAAAAGGACCACTACAACTACTTGATGGCTCTTCTTCAGTAGAACCGCAAGTTGAGTGACAGTTGGCGTGATGTGGCCAATCGCAAACATTTAATTCCGCATTGAAGTGAAGACCTTTTGGACACGTGAATAACACCGGGTCACCAAAATTACATTGGCAAAACTTATTGCAGTCACAATTTGGTAGAAAATATACCGTGGTAGGGTCGTTATCGGGTGGACAATTTCCTATGCACCCATTCGGATATTGATGATCTGCCAGAATTGTAATCCAAAAGCTAATGAACACAATTCCACAAGCAACTAAAATTTTAAGTCAAAAATGAAGGCATTTCAATAATTTAACGCATACTTACATTTTAAAGACATTTCTATAATGGTTCTAATATTACTGAAATAGGAATATAAATGATAAAAATGTTTTTATGATTGTTACAAGTTAAAGTCATAAGAACAATTTCTTCGTTTCTGCTAATTAACGAGTTTTATGTAATTTTAAATACAAATAAATGCTTGTTATTATTAAAAAAGTACGTTTATTCAATAAATCATTAATAATGCAATTAAGTGCTATACAAATGTTAAATAAAAATATGTGATAATATATGTGTTATGATGATATTATGTATTTGATGTAAAAATATTTTAGACATTTCAATAATTGATTCTAATCGACGAATTTCTAAATATGTTCGAGTCAATCACTAGTAACTGTGACTGTATCCAGATTGACCAACATACTAAGCTGGTTGTTAACTTTATAACGAGAAGGTCAAACATTTTTGCCACTTCATTAGAGACGTTTGTTGTGCTGTGATCGAAAGTATACATAAGTTTACGTTTAAGACCATGGCTATGGAAATGAAGTATTTATTGCCGTTACTGGCTATTATTGGATACAGCCTACTCGAAAGCTATTGTAAGTAAATTAATTTTAGTAAAGTTTTCTATCTTTAGAAATCATTAATCTGAATTATTGAGGGTTTAATGTTGATATGTATTCAGTGCTTGCAACACGGACATAACCAAACATTTTAAACACATATACTAATTAAATTTTAGCTAATGTTTATCATGTTAATTTACTTGAAGCATAAGTATAACAATTAATTTTGCGTTCTAATATTGCTTATATAATTGTCCCCTGATATTAGGTAGGGATTTTGTCACTTTCATGTTCATGTGGTTGCCTATATCAAATAGGTATCCACTGTATTAATTCGGAGGAATTATCGTAGTAATTTTCTGTTTTTGATGTTCAGGCGTAAATGCCGAATCATCTACAACACCATGGCCTGAATTGGGAGCTCGCCGAAGAACACAAAATCAAAAGCAACCAACTACTGTATCACCTGCGCGTGATTTTGTTTCTCAACCGTCCGCGTGGAATAAACCTTTAATCCCACAAATACCTGAGACAAATCCAATACAAATACCCAAAAAACCTTCCATACCGTCACAAACGCGCGACTATGTTAATCCAAATATTCAACTTTCTTACCCTAGTAATAATGGAGCCAACAACAAACCAGCTGTTATTCAAAATCAAAATCCAATTTTACCTGTATCAGACCCGTCACATTCAAGAGATTATGTGAATCCTAATATTCAATTGACTTATTCTAATGCAGCTGGAGGTTCTAATAACAATAAAAACCCTAGCAGCAATAATGCTGCAGTGCAAAGTACTCCAACTCTAAGTTCTGGTCCACCTCTCCGCGATTATGTAAATCCAAAAAATAGTGGGACTGTGTCTTACGCCAATGCAGTTAACAATAATCAAAATACAAAAGCAACAGTAGGTCCTACAAATGGGCCACAACTATCAACAACTCCAGCTACTCGTTTTCCAGGGAAACATGCAGGGATTACGAATACCCAACAATCATCTACTCCAAACCCAAAAATACGTCTAGATGAAAATTCTGAATTACAAGAGTTTTCGGAGGCTTTACTTCGGAAAGATACGAATAATGGTTTTAAGTATGTTAAGGTCAACTATCAAGGGAAGACTAGGTCTAATTCATTAAAGGACGAAGCGCCAGACAAGTACCAATATTGAAGAAGTAATCAATAGTTGTTTAATTTACGCTTAAATTTTAGCTTGATGACGATAGATCCAGCTGCATATAAAATACCAACTATAGAGAAATTGATTGCTTTGCATAATAATTATATTGTTATGAGTAATCAAAATGAAGTTTACACTGCTCAGGAACGAATCGAAGAGAATAACTTTTTAGATGCCATTTTATCAACATCAGTTATGCAACACACAAGGAACTTTCTTATTTCGAAAGGTAATACATGTCTGATTCTCCTCAGGTGGTGCATTTTAGTATTTCATATCGTAATAGCAGTGATATTTAGTTATGTTTGTGTTCTTCTCTAGGAAAAATATCTAAAGATCCGAAAGACTTTAAAGATTTACTTAGAACCATCTGGTTCAACATGTACTCTCGTGGTGGGGGTAAAATAGGATCTAGTGGTTTTGAACATGTGTATCTAGCCGAAATTAAAAATGATGCCATATCAGGCCTACACAATTGGCTGTACTTCAACGATGAAGAGAAGAAAAATACAGCGAATTATTTGGGCTACATGAAAAAATTGGACTTTGATGTAACATTAATTAATTTTCATTATTCTGAAGTCATTATTACTGAATATGTAATATTTGTTTGCAGAAAGGGGCAATTTTGAAGTTTCATTTTAATTTTCAACAAATTGACAAACCAGTCGGTTCGATGTTTATTGGCACTAGTCCAGAGTTTGAGCTCGCATTATATTCGACATGTTTCCTGGTGAGACCCGATGATGTGTGCCCACTTCGATTAGGAGGAAAGAATTTTGTCATTCGGACTTACACATATAGATATAGAGGGAAGAATATGATTGGAAGTGCTTTCCCAGAAATTTAAAGTGTATATAATTTTTAACAACGAATAAAAGTTTGTAATCTTTATAAATATATAAAACTATTGCATTGGATTGTCAATACTTATATGTATACTAGAAAAGTTCTACACTTGTTGTGTTCAATGCTTCAGGGATTGCTTTTATCATATCTCTGGCGCGATGACGAGTAAAAATTAACAACTACTTTAACATTTTACGTTGTATCAAACTCTTGCTTTAGTTATATTTACACGTATGTCAAAGTTGGGACTCAATCAGCTACATATTATATTCAATCAATTGGTTCAACTGTGGAAGTTATATACCATAATTTTAAGGGACTTTGTTCTTGCATTGTGATAATAAGTTAATTCGAATGCGTCAAAAAGTGTTATCTGTATAGACATTTTGTTTATCAAAATCACGATTGATTGATATTTGTCCTTGGCAATCCTCTTAGTTTTGATTACATCTTATCATGAAATGACGTGTTTAAAAATTTCCACTTACAAGTTAATCAAACAAAATAATCACTTCTAATACAATTTTGCACCTACATTGGAGCCAAATCTTCATTGGAATGTAGATAAAACTAAAAAATCTATTTATAATATTTATTTAAAAAAAATTATCAAAGTAAATTCCACAATTCTAGAATATTTACAAAAATACAGAAATCTTTATACGCTGAAATATATAATATCCGCACAATTTCACAATTTTGTTCACGACGGATATGATGAAATAGCGTGTGCAATTAATGTTTGTAGGTACTTCAAATTTGTATCATATTTTAACACATCCAGAAACCCATAAATAATTGATTCATTACGATTAATCTAGTCTGGTATTTTTAATGGGTTCATATTGAATCATTTGTAACTGGTTTTGTACGTCTCGTAAATAATTACGAAATTGTGTCGGTAAATATAAAAGCAATTCAATGTTAGACAACATTCGGTAAATCAACTACATTAATTATGTTATTTGTCTTTAACTAATAATCACAGTAAAACTTATAATACTGATTAGCTATTGAATTGGCTAGATTAAATTTTATAAATCACTTTAATATCACACTCAGTTCAAGATGGCATCACTACAAGTTTTAGTAAACATAATTCTACAACAATATTTTCTGAATAATAATTGTATAATAAATATTGAAGATAATGCTACAACAAACAGAGTTAAATTAAGCATTCCTTCATTTTCGATTGATTTATCTAAATCAACAGTTAAACTACCTCAATGTCAAGTTTTCTTCATAAATGTTGAACATGCAATTGAAACAATTGAAAATATCGAGAATGCTATGCGATTCAATTCAACATTTCAATATAATTCAAGAGCATATTTAATAGTAGCGAACAACAATCTCAATAAAATGTCATTTAAAAATAAAATATTCACTTATATATCAAATATTTTATTGCTAAAAGTTGCCGGTTTTGAAAAGAATCAGTATTACGAATTGTATACTCATAATTATAAAGATCAGCGAGGCAATAACAAAGGCGTGCTACTTAATATTTGGTTTCCACAAAATCGAAGCTTTTTATCAGACAATATCAGTCTATTTCCAAATAGAGAGAAAAATCTAAATGGAAGGACGTTTATAAATGCTTTCGTTAATAATCCACCGTATATTGACTTAACAAAATGTACATAATTTTTGTTCTTAATTAGAATTCTACAATTAATATATTTGGTTTGGATTTATTTTTAGCTTTCCGGTTAGGTTCTGAATATAAGGCAATGCAGGAATATTCAAAACATCGTAACATGATATTTGTAGATATTGAATTTGAGACCTGGGGGGATTTTAACAACAATTGGAATGCAACACCCAATAGTGTAAAATCATCGTTTTTGCACGACGATGTTGATGTTTACTACAGTATAAACTATCACACTTAAAGTAAATAGAATGTTAATTTTTATGTAATTGAAGGTAGTGCTCTATTAACAACGTTATCATTGAAGTACGCAAGTCTTTCTAATCCGTTTATGCGAATGAGCTTTAAATGTTTAGTGCCGGAGCCTATGTATGTATTGAGAACTTCTCTTCTTAATTTTTTAATTTTAATTAACGTGTGTATACAATGTTTCAGTGAGAAAAATGATTGGTTCTTAGCATCAAACATCAAATCGTACCAATTCTGGGCTTTTATATTAATGACCTATATCGCTTTTGCTGCAATAATATTTAGTCAACATAAAAAATCGACAAAAATTAATAAATGGAAGTTCAACAAGTTGGATTTTTTTGCTATAATGCTGTCACAGGGTTTGCGTACGGATCACTTACCAACGAATACTTTAATGCGTATGTTGTTTGTTGATTTGTTGTTGTTAACAATCATTTTTGTCACAATTTACAACTCACATATATCCAGTGTTATAACAATTCCAACGTAAGCAGTTGATATCAAAATTTAAGAAAAAATTAACATTAATGTTTTAGTTACGTTGGCAAAATTAACACAATCCAAGATATGACATTGAATAAACTAAAATGGACTGCTCCGACACAAGGGTATGCAATACCATTAGAAGAATCAAACGTAAGTAACTTTTATTTTGAAATTTCATAGTAGATAATTTGTATCTAAATTCTTTTTTTAGAAAGATCTTTTCAATTCCTTTTTCTTGAGCACCAAACCAGAAATATTGGATTATCTGCGAAATAAGAGACATATCGGGTTTGGATTTATTGAATTAACATCACGTTTGTATCAAAAAGCGTTATTTATTGAAATTGAAACGTGAATATTTGAATATGAATACTTTTCCAGGTTATTATGACTTAAAAAATTTAAATGTACCAGAAATTGAACATTACGACGTCTTGAAGGATGATTTTATTGTAGACTATACCTATTTTCATCTTCGAAAGAACTCGGTTTTGTTGGAATCGCTGAATGAGTTTTTAATGCGAGTTACTGAAAGTGGTCTTCATGTTTATTGGGAAACGGAAAGCTATTTTGCAAGAAATTTACTACTATCACATGCACGACTTAAAGATAATGTCGACAATATTAGGAGGGCATTAACTATTAATAAATTAAAGGGTCACTTTTTGATTTGGGGTGTTGGAATGTGCATTTCTATACTTAGATTTGGATACGAATTAGTATTATACAAATTTCTACATTCTAATAGTGTTTCTACCTAAAATTTGTTATATTTATTTATATTTATAATTAAACTATGGATTACGTATTCTACGATGAAAATAAATTTATATAATTTAAGTAGCACTTCAAAGTCAAAATATACCCACATTGCAGATGATACGATTGCGAAATTATTGAACATCGGATGATTCCACTTCAACTAAATGTGCAAACTATTGAATTCACTTTAAAATCACTATCAAACATCAAAACATATTTTTTTAAAATCAAATTTATCAACTATATAAACCCAGCTGTTTTCAGCAAATGGTCACATTAGTTTGTACAAAACCATTGCAAACATGAAATTCGTCAACGCTTTTGGTAAGTACTACTAGTACTACTAGTATTATATAAACGTGCTATTAATTATTTCTTATTTTCTGTAGTTGTACTCGTTGCCCTGGTGTGCATGGTGGTGGCTGATGACCCAACCACTACCCAAGCACCCGAGTTGTGCAATATTGTGTGCCCCAAGCCACTGCCAACTGAGACCAAACTGATGCCATCCCCTGAACGTTGCGAAGACTATTGCCAGTGCGATCCACGTGGTGCCATTCTTCAGCACTGCCCCGTCTGGGATCTCGAAACCGGAGCTCGTTTGTACTTCAACCCTGTAGCTTTGGTCTGCGACTGGCCTGAGTATTCTGGCTGCTCTAACGAATAACAACTTTGGCAGTTTAACGAAATAAATTCTTTTCACTAACAACATCTCGTATTATTATTTTAAATACCCAGAATACATACAATACGTTGTTATTTTTATTGTTGTAGGAGAACATAGATAAGAAGCAAATTTTAGCTTTAATTTTACTAATTGAAGGCGGGTTTTCTTTATAAAAATCATGTTTAAATTCACTTGTTAATGCAAATTAAGTGATGAAAATGATTTTCCCGGCCGCCTCTGCTGTTATTAACAAAATATTGTTAATCAAAATATAATTAAGCAACATATAATTGCCTTATTATTTTGAATAAGATTTGAGACACCTGCAAATCATATATTTGTTAATATCTTATTGCAACGATATGTGAAACACACGATACTTCATTATCACAGGTAATAATCTTAATTGAAGAATTTAATTGATCGAACCAGATCAATATTGTGATATCAATAATTAAATCATGTCGTACGCCATGTAAGTTTTTCTTATCGATTCGACCGCAATTAGTTAATAACACTTGAATTTTTTCCCAAAGTATAAATACCGAGAATCAATACATTGTAGTTATCAGTTTTTCTTGTCTAAAGTTGTCTCAACAGCAAATTAATCTGCAACTATGTTTGCTTCCAAAGTTTTTACTATTTTGTGTAAGTAATAAATAAATATATAGGCAATACTTTGCTAAACATTAAAAATTTTTTTTAGTCTCGTTGGCGGTGATTGTTTTGGCCGTAAACGGCAAGGACTCAGGTGTGTGCAAGGATATTTGCCCTAAACCACTGCCTTCGCAAACCGTGCTGTTGGCATCTCCCGAACGTTGTGAAGATTATTGCGCTTGCACTCCTCGTGGTGCTGAGCTCCTGACCTGTCCCGTGTGGGATCAAGAAACAGGTGAACGCCTATATTTCAACCCCAAAATGAAGGTGTGTGACTGGCCCGAAAACTCTGGCTGCGTCAACTAAGAACAAAGAACTACAAAAACATTGTAAAGGATAAGAAAAATAAAGAAACATTTATTCTAATTTATCTTTTTATATCTTTATCTACCTTACTGCATTATTAAATAGTATATTGAGTGTGAATGAAGTGGGCTAAACGACGCCTTTTGGTTTAACGTCGTTTAGGGACATGATGATTACGCTATTTTTTCTACTCTTACTTTATTTCCTCGTTGAGAATTTTGTAGCTAAACTTTTGTATTATAAAACTTCGAACCACGTTTGTACACCACTGGAGCATCACGTGTAGCAGCAGCGCATGATAAGAGTAGGTTTGACTGACGGCGCTTGGCATTTCATATGGCCCTGTGCTGCACCGTAGGTGCTAGCGCAAACGCTAACTAAAGTACTTTTGCCACGGTCTTGGCCCTCTGTGTGTAAAGTACTAGTTTATGTTCCTCAAAACAATGGATAACTGATTATGAATTCCATAATCTTTGATAAATTCAGGTAATGACTTCTATTGTCCTAATCAAACAAGTCTATAAATCTGTCCATACCAGAATATAGATTCAACCATCGTAAAAACAATGCTTGAAAGCAATGAATAAATACCAAAACTCCCACATCAATATCTTAAAGATTACTTACTTACATTTTTGTATTTAGTATTATGTTACGGATTATAATATTTTCGGTGTGGGTCGCCAAAGTGACATGGCCACTACTATCATGGTATCAAATGTAAAAATAAAAGTAAGTGAATTGAGAGATGTTAATCTTATTAGAACAAAACATAGGCAATGCACGAGCAGAAAAGTCGTGCATGAACCTCATTTTTACCTCAACCAGATCATGGAGTAAAAGGTTGCCACCCATCGCTCTTGCCCAATTGCTCTTTGTGAACCTGAGAAAAGCTTACGAAACAGTCTCACTACAACTACTATGGGAGGAATCGACCTCCATAAACGCTACTATAACAAACCCAATTAAACAGCTATATCATGAAACGCAAGCAAAAATCAAATTAAATACAGATTTCTCAAAGGACTTCTCAATAACAAAAGGCATGAGCCAAGGCTGTCCTCTGTCTCCGATACTGTTCAAAATATATATCTAATCTGCCCAGGAAAAATGGAGAAATTTGAAAAGTCAAATGAGAATCCATATAACAGATGATACAACTCTATACACCCTAAACTTTGCGGATGACCAGGTGTCAATATATGATATTCTAAGGACGAAATATTGTATTAAATATCTTCATTAATACTGTACCAGCAGGCAACGGCCATACCACGTTGAATATACCGGTTCTCGTCCGATCACAAACAAAGAAACTGTATGTATAGTTATTCTTAGATAATTGTATGTGCCAGATTATATTTTATGTATTTGTTTATCTACATATGTACAGATTATACTTTTGTAAATAAAGAGTTTTTAAATGTCAAAAAAATGTCCGATCACCGAAGTCAAGCAACGTCGGGCGCGGGTAGTACTTGGATGGGAGACCGCTTGGGAACTGCGCGTGCAGTTGCCTTTTTTATTTATAACAATTGTTATTGATATTTTATGGCATTGATAAAAATGTTTCCTTTAGACATTGCGAATTTATGTTTTGACCAAGGTAGAACAGATATAGTAAAACTCCAATTCTAAAATTAATTTGCTAAAAAATTTTACCATGATAACCAACCAGGTGGTCTTCAGGTGGTCCTGGAGGTCCTGCAATCATTACACCTTTCCTACCTCGTTTGCCCATGTGCTATCTTTAACCGAAGAGTTGCACACTGCATTTTCAAAATATGCATGCGCCAACATCAACGCTGCACCCCATGACAAGTCAACTCCCGACGTATGATTCGTCTGTGCCAGATCATTTCGTCGAATTGGACACTTGTCTGAATAGTGGCCAACCTTCATGCACTTAAAACAACTCACTGTGCGTTTCTTTGCTTTTCCGCCTTTTCTGCCCATCTTCCCACTAATCTAATTTTGATTAGAGAGCATCACCTATATCGTGATCATGACGTACTTCACATCCACTGTGAAATGCTTCCAGAAGAAGTTACTGTTCTTGCAGTTTTTCAAAGTTTAGCACCTGGCCTGATGCCCGTAAGATAAAGTATGGTTCCCGGAATGAACCAAATTTTGATGGAAAATCATTTACGAGTTTTGATACTAGCAGCGAGTCTGCTACTATATCCCCGGCTGTCTTTAGATTTTGCACGATTATCGACAAATCAGCACAATAAGTAGAAACTGTCCGATACTCGCTGAACTTCAGCGCATGAAAAGCCAGACCCAACAAATATTTATTTGTCTCCGTTTTAGCCTCGTACAATGATTTTATTGTGTCCCAAATTTCCAGTGATGCGTTTTTCATACTTGCGTGATCGTCGTCACTGAGGCCTCCAGTGAGAATTCGTTTCGCCCTAGCGTCACCCTTCCACCTTGGCATGTGTCGTCGAATTTGGACATGGCTCAGCTCCAGACACAATATCGAACACACCGACACTTTCCAAGCACGATGTGACATCGTATTTCCATCGTTGGTAATTTGATTTTGTCAAAACCGGAACGCGAATGTCTTGTAACGCCATTTTTATGTCAAACTGAAATTAATTCACACCCGAAGCACAAGGATAATTCAAGAAGTCTGAGTAACCGTTATGTCCACAACACATACTTTCTTTTAAAACACACATAGCCAGTCGTATTTAAACTGGGCCCATAACCTGTTATGTAGAGTTAAAATTTTAACAAGAAGAAGGATTTATTATTAAATGCAATAATAATACAGTGTTACATAGTTTTACATAGAAGAACTCGACAAAGTAACGAACTTAACTGACTTACAAACAAAACACAAGGTGGCTAGAAAGCCACTGTGTCACTTGGGTTGAATCCCCCTCCCCACTCCCCGTGGCTCAACGACGACAGGGAAAGAGCGCCAAATTCAACAAAAAGTTTACAGGTTTTTGAATTTTGAGATTTAAAGAGACAAAAACGAAAGCAAGCTGTATCAAACATTTCCTAAGTTGGGGTTGAAAAAGTTGAAATAAGTGATTTTAGATGATATTGAATTAATGGTATTAGGGTAGATAGAATTGTCACATGATACCAAATTAGACATACTTTAGAAAGATTAAAAAAAGTATCAAAAAGATGCTGACAATAGGTGTTCTTCTAAAGGATGTCAAATATTATACAGGAGTAACTTGCATTTGCATTAATTACACCAAAAAAGTAACAATTAGTAGGGTTTTTGAAAAATTATTTTATTTTATGAATTGTACAGTATAATTTATTTGTACCACGATCATGAGACATTTTGTCACATTTTAGATAACTAGAGTTACATTGGAAAAAAAAACAAATATAAGAGTTTCGCTAACCAAGTTGTACTAATTTCTACGTTACACAGAACACATTTTCCTTTAGTGTATTAGAATTAATACAATATTGAATAGACCGATAAATTAAAGAAGATAGGACAAAAGGTGTATCGTCACCAAATGTTTGGTTTTATCTATTGGAATCAATTGGAATAAATACGATACTTAATATCTGGCTAATTCTATAATACTTTAATTCTTGAAAGAATCTGAATTTTCGATGCAATCCAAATTTCAAGTTACCTGTGATATGCACGTGAACATTTCCTGATCAAAAGTCATAGACTTATATTGTATAGATAAGACCATAACAGCAATGAATATGAACAACAGACGATCATCCCCAAAGATAAAAAGATTTTAAATTTTGGTTTCAGAGATTAGTTTGAATGAGTATTAAATTTTTTGTTTTGTTAACATTCTCAACATGAACAACGCCAAAATATTTTGCGCGGGTAAAAAAATTTGTTTTCATTCGGATTAGGTACGAGTATAATGCAACTAAAATCGAACAAAATTTTAAAGAAGTTAACAGTAAATAAAACTTATGACACGAGTTTATGCATATCCAATAACTTGTTTTTATTAGTGGTAATAAGTCTAGACAATTATGTTCTTAAAAATTTTATATCCAGCAAGCAGAAATACTTTAATTTGAATTTACATGTGATTTATTATTTGCACTCGTGGAATGTATGTAAATTCAAATGAAAACCCGTGGCTTACGAAACTCGTATTTTTTGAATTTGTTATCATAAAATTTCATGTTTAAGGAAGCATTAAATTATATTTATCGTACCTTTTTTTAATGCAAATAAAATAGATTTAAAGACTTTATTTATCTATTGAATAGACATTAATGAGTTTGTATTGTTTAGCACAGAGTTGGTTTAATTGTTTTTAAGTATAAAATAAATGATAAAAGTTATCATTAGATATTGAACAAAACCAATGATGCAACCGTTAATTCGTCACTGTATAATAGATGTATGCCGACTAGGATAAAAAAAATTGCAAATCTTTTTTACAATACTTGCCGACAACTAGGAGATAAGACAAGAACATATTTTTAACATAATTTTACCGATCTACTATATAAACGGTAACTTTTCAATTTGCTGATAATTCGTTCGACACGAGTCGAGAAAACTTGAAAGTCTTGGTTTTAAAAATTTGATACTATTGAAACCATGTATATCAAAGGTAAAATAAATATATTTTTCTTTATTGAATATATGTATAATTAATGTAATTATCCTATGTAGGAGTGGTGATTTTGGCCTTTTTAGGCATTGCATGTACCAATGCAGCTATCTTAAACCGTTGTATTGAAGGTGAAAAGGTACCATCGGTGTTGCAATGTGATAGATATTTGGTTTGTGAAAAAAACCATATGATTGAGAAACGTTGCCCTGAAGGACAACTTTACGATGAAGATTTTGAAGATTGTCGTGATGAAAGCGAAGTGGACTGTTTCAATTTTATAGACCGCAAAAGGCACAGCAGCGAGGAGGATAGCAGCAGTGACAGTAGTAGTAGCAGTGACAGCAAGAGCAGTGACAGCAGCGATAGTAGCGATAAGAGCAAGAGTAGCAAAGAAAGCGATGAAAGCAAGAGTGACAGCAGCGATAGTAGCGACAGTAGCAACAGTAGCGATAAGAGTGAGAGTAGCCAAGAAAGCGATGAAAGTAAGAGTGATAGCAAGGATAGTGATGAGAGTGACAATAGTAGTGAATGGAGTAATGGTAATGATGATGATGATGATGACTGGATTGAGAGTGAGGAAAGCAAAGAAGAAGTGTCCTCTGCTGAACCATCTGAAGAGGTCACTGATGACTCAACCGAATCATCTGTAAAACCCACGGAAGAGCCAACTGAAAACCCTACAGAAGAGCCTACTCAAGAGCCCACGGAGGAACCCACAGAAAAGCCCACCACTGATGAGCCTACAGAGGAACCTACTCCAGAACCCACTGAGGAACCTACTGAAAATCCTACAGCAGAGCCCTCTGAAGAACCAACAGAAGAACCCACGGAAAAACCTACTGAAGAGCCAACCGAAGAACCGACAGAAAAACCAACTGACGAACCTACTGAAGAACCTACAGAAGAACCCACTGAGGAACCTACTGAAAATCCTACCGCGGAGCCTTCTGAGGAGCCAACAGAAGAACCCACTGAAGAGCCTACTCAAGACCCTACGGAGGAGCCAACCGAGGACCCTACTGAAGAACCTACCGAAGAACCAACAGAAAAGCCCACTGATGAACCTACAGATGAACCCACTGAAGAGCCCACTGAGGAACCTACTGAAAATCCAACAGCAGAACCCTCTGAGGAACCAACAGAAGAACCCACGGAACAACCTACTGAAGAGCCAACTGAAGAACCGACAGAAAAACCAACTGACGAGCCTACAGAGGAACCTACCGAAGAACCTACAGAAGAACCCACTGAGGAACCTACTGAAAATCCTACCGCGGAGCCTTCTGAGGAGCCAACAGAAGAACCCACTGAAGAGCCTACTCAAGACCCTACGGAGGAGCCAACCGAGGACCCTACTGAAGAACCTACCGAAGAACCAACAGAAAAGCCCACTGATGAACCTACAGATGAACCCACTGAAGAGCCCACTGAGGAACCTACTGAAAATCCAACAGCAGAACCCTCTGAGGAACCAACAGAAGAACCCACGGAACAACCTACTGAAGAGCCAACTGAAGAACCGACAGAAAAACCAACTGACGAGCCTACAGAGGAACCTACCGAAGAACCTACAGAAGAACCCACTGAGGAACCTACTGAAAATCCAACAGCAGAACCCTCTGAGGAACCAACAGAAGAACCCACGGAACAACCTACTGAAAAGCCAACTGAAGAACCGACAGAAAAACCAACTGACGAGCCTACAGAGGAACCTACTGAAGAACCCACCGAAGAGCCCACTGAGGAACCTACGGAGGAACCAACCGAGGATCCAACTGAAGAACCTACCGAAGAACCAACAGAAAATCCTACAGAACAACCTACTGAAGAACCCACTGAGGAGCCCACTGAGGAACCCACGGAAGAGCCTACTCAGAAACCTACTGATGAGCCAACTGAGGAACCTTCCGAAAAACCCACTGAAGAACCTACCGAAAAACCAACAGAGAAACCCACTGAAGAACCAACTCAGGAACCCACAGAATCATCGACGGCAGAACCAAGCGAGAAACCAACTGAAGAACCAACAGAAAAACCCACTACCGAACCCACTGAAACACCCTCCACAAAGCCTACAGAACAGCCTACCGAGAAACCAACTTCGGCCCCAACCGAGAAACCAACGGAACCATCCGGAGACGGTTGCAAAGGAACTTGTCCACCCAACAATGACGTACCCACTTACTTTGCACACGTCGATTGCACCAAATTCTGCCAATGTGACTGGGGTAAGGCTCATATCATGAACTGTCCTGCTGGACTGCACTTCAACCCAGCCATCAACGTGTGCGACTGGCCCTGGGCTGCTAACTGTGAATAAATGTACGAGCGTGTTGCTTAAACGACACTAATATTATCTGTAATTATCTAACTGAATTTTATTTTCTTACATCAATAAATACGCATTTTAAAAATTATTCTATGGCATTTCAATTTAAATGTTAATGGCCAAACACAATTGTGTATGTTGATATCATATGTTTATTAGTTTGTATCGCCTAGATAAACTTGAAATTTCAGATCAAATTATTTCCACATTTTTCTTAAATAAGGATTGTTGATATGGTTTACATCGAGTTCCACTTTGGTAGTGTGTTGGACAATCACAATAAGTTAATAAATTTATTAAAATTGTCCAGCCAAACTTATAAAAATTTTAAATATTAAACAATATTTGTTACATAACTACTAATTTACCTATAGTATCACTTCGTTTAACGTCACATCCCAACATCGTCATCTTGTATAATAACTCACTATTACAATGAATGAATGTGTTACGTAGTTTTTTCGGAACCTCAACATTAAACGATGGATTACCACGGATTTCAATGTAAGTATAAAAAACAATTTAAATAACCGATTTCATTGAAAACCGAATTTGTGATTGTCCAAAACATCGCTTTATTATAAGTAATAGCTCTTAACAAAAAGTTTTGCTATTGTAAAATTGAAATAAACACAAAATGGAAGCATGCGCTTAAAAATCATTATTTTTTTGCTTTGCGGAGATAAATCTTTGGCGCACGAACGGATGCAACATCGTTTGGCGAATACTGGTTCTATACGCACCGACGCCATTTTCGTTCTCATTCTGATTCATAATCTGATTGATGTGCAAGTATTTCGCGAGTAACGGAAGGGGAATTTGTGTTAGTAGACGATACAAGTTGGTCTCTTTTATTGGATGCATCTGGTATAGTGCTAGTTGTTCCAGAGGATTCTCTTCGTTCACTTCAGCGACACTTTCATCGCGTGCAGCTAGTTGTTGCTTATGCAAATCGTTGATCCTTTCATTTGTTTGCAAGTCATCACCAGCTTCGGAGTTTGCCATTGGAGCAAAACGTTTTCCGTACCTAAAAATAGATTAACATTCATTCTTGGAAACATTAATTTAATTTTTGTTCTTTGATATTACAGAAATATAAAACCGAATTATTCTTAATAATGTTGAACATTAACCAACAAAATTATAATAAGCAAAACAAGTTGTAGATAAATTTGATTTTCCACATTTAGCGAATTTATTCATAAATTAATAAATTATTAATGCCATTCGAACGCCATTTTGCGCCCGAGTCCACTAATAATATTTCGAGTGAATAGTAATTAAATCAATTTGGAGGTGCGCACATTATGTCCGCTCTCCAGTTTCAATTTTTGCTGCTTTGGGAATTTGCAAATGGCGCAGACCGCATCGCATAGCTTTTGATTAATATTTACGCTTTGTAACATCAAAACGCAATTTTTTGCTTGCATTAATCATAATTAATATAATTACCTGATGCTTTTTGCACGTAGATATTCATGCATATCATGCACATATTGAGCGACTTGTTCCGGAGTGTGAAAAGTATCCGGTCGCGTAGGACGTTTCAAATCCTCATTCTGCGCCTTCACTATCGAAGTGGAAGACGACCATAACACACAGCAGAGAAGAAACGAGGCGCAAATTACTTGAGATTTGCTCGACATCTAGAAATCAAACCAAAACGCTAATAAATTATTTATCAATTAACTGTTTGAACTCTAAACTTTAGTAAATATTCTTTTACGCTTTTTAAATTCTTAATATCTGTGCACATTTTACCTAAAATTCTTATCTAGTGAGATCTTGTTAAGCTCATCAAGATCAAAGCGTAAATAAATTCTCATTAAAACCAAGCTTTTGACTCGCGCTTAATTCGGAGCTTTGAATGAAATTGGTGAAGCTTATTTGTTTTGATATTGCGTGCAAACCAAGGAAATAGCAGAAGTTTTGAACCTTGCATAGAAAATTTCTCTTTTTTTATAACTTCAGCTGAAAGAAAGATTTCAATCGGGAATGAACGTTCCGTTTTTTTTATGGCAAAGATGCGGTTATAAAGAGAAAAGTGGTACATCAGATTAAAACATAAATTGTATCCACGAGAAAAAATGAATTAAAAATATTTCCAGATTATTAAAGTCAGGTTTAATTAATTATTTAACTGAGAACAGATATTTATGTGTACTCGTTTTTGTTGTTGGCTAACAAGCCATATAAATTCCTAAGTACCTTCTACAAAATACCATAGTTTTAATAAATTTAAATAAAGTTAAAATTTTCAAATTCAAATTTTTTGAAAATTTCGTGGATGAAAATCTGGAGATATATTAATACGTAACCAAAACTATGCTAGGTGTAGAGTAAGCTACTAAGCCAAGACTCATATATATATTATGTAGGGCCAATGTTGATGATGACATATTAATATATGATAATATCAAGATATAAAGTTTGGCAGAAGCCATTATCGTATACATTATTATGGGCATCTATGACTTTATCATTCATTCGCGACCCGGATGCACACAAATACGCCGCCAAAATTCCGATGATAAATATAAATTGGTATATGTGAAGATAGCATACAAGTAATACCTACATTTACTATCTAATACAATTCACACACAAAAAAACATAATATACCTAAGTGTGCGAATTAATATGCGCATGATATAATTACTGTGATTATGTCGCAATGCTGCGATAAGCCGGCTTGTTATAACGTTGGCTTGTAAAACATGCTATAACACATTATCGGGATTATATTGAATTATCAGCCCGGCGCGATAATAATCTTTTTTTTCCATGTTGGTATGGCTATTATTTTGCCATCAGCCCAATTTAATTAATAGTCATTGTAATAAAACGACATTTTTAGTCTGGCATTTTATCATTATTAAACTATGTTGTTATTGCTATTTTTCGGTGATATTATATGTTAATCTTTAACATTGATTAAATATCTGGCGGTTTAAAAACGTTTCCAACGTCGTTATTATCGTCACATGTGTTTTGTAAATAATATCATTTCGCAAACCGGCGTCAAAGAAGCAATTTACATATTAGTTTTTTCCGTCCGCATTCAGCGCACCAACGAGGCGGTGAGAAATGGAAAAGTATTACGATAATATGAGTCAATGAGTCATTCCGGAAATTGTGCATTCTTGGTAATATCACCTAATGACATAACATGTCACACGTTCATAAATTAGGGTTAAAAGTCACGTTTCGCGTCTTTTGTTTCAATTTCGTTTAACTTTTGACATACCTGTGGGCGGAGGTCAAACTATATAAATATTATATTTATGTTTCTAAATTTTATTTATTGTTTTTTTTGATTGCACTGTAACACCGTTTGTCTAATTTTTATATCAAATAACTTTCTTTTTGTTTTGTTTTGCGATGGTCTTATCAGCGTCGGCATGTTTGAAGGCAATCGGTGGAAATTTTGATACAATCATCTGCTTATCAGTCCCGGTATTAATTATCGCCCCTCAGCACAACATTCAATGCAACGTACTTAATTATTATCCAAACCAAAAAGATTGCCGCACACGAAGTCCAACAAACAAGCCTCCATGCCACAACGCCGACAAATTAACCATAGGTGACTGGAGTTTGTTCAGGTAATTACAAACAACAACGTGTCGACGCCACTAATAATTATATTACGTGCTTTGTTATCATTTGTCATTTGGCGTCGCAGCGCTCGTATTTTTGCGTAATTATTTAGCATTAGAGGTTTATTACATTGATGAAGTATAGTGAGAGTTAGATATTCAATTTGTAACATTGTCAGTAAATTATTTAGCACATTTATTTAATTATCCTTAGTTATAGATTGCTAATGTCAGCAATAATTATTTAACTATAAATTTTGTTCTATTATTATATGGGCACGTTAATTCAATTCTATCGTATTCACTTGGTATGTAAATTTATTACTAGTGGCGAGTGTTAAGTGCTTAGTGCGCGTCAGGGTGCATTTTGAAATTTTTAATTTTCAAATTTGCGTCGACGTTTTCTAATGAGACGGAAAATGCGTTAAGAGCATCATTTTGTCGTAGCTACCTCGCAAACTCTCTTTTGCAAAGGGTCGAGTGAAGCGAATGCGAACGCGGCTTTCACTGGGGTTTGTTGTTGGGGTGTAATTCAATTTATGAGCGGGTCAATGTGTTTTTCAACTTTTCCAAGTGACAGCAATTGTATTTTAGAAGAATAAAAGCAATAACCGATTGTAATAAATTTGATTGAGCGTTAATCGGGTATTAAAATGATAAATAAAAAAGTATGCAAGGATTAGTTTGAATAAATTATCTTTATAATAACACAATTTTTTATCTCGCTTAAAAAATATTTGTATTATTTATATACAAAAAATCATTTTCTGTTTAATGCAAAAGTAAAAATAATTAAATGTAATTAATAGTTCAGAAAAGTCTTTATATTTCACTTTACTATTTTGGTACCTCAAATTTAATTGTTAAATTTATTTCTGAAATTAAATCAACCTTTCTTTAGTTCGTTGTAGAATTATGGGAGCAACCAATACATGACCTGATAATAACATATTCTAATTATTACTATGTTGAATGCATGTATATGTTACGGTAAAAATGCAAAGATGGTAAATGTACATTCAATATGACCGAAAACATCGCTACTTGTATGTTGAAAAGTGTGGAAAAGAATTTAGCGGGGAATGTGTAAACAACCCATAGTGTCTTGGTTGGTAGAAGCCAAATCATATACATAGTCACCGGTATATTAGTTTTTGTAAAAGTGAGTTTAAACTCCCTGACAAAAAATAAAAGGTTCAATTGGTAGTTACACGAAGTATCATACACTGATTAAATAAATTCCTGAAATTGTAATATTTAAGTCTCATGATTTGTTTAAATGATTTTGCATTAAACTTGTTGTACTCGTACCTATACCTCTAGTAGCTTTAATTATTTAAATGTTTGTAAAAATTTGTAGAGGTGTCGGAAGCACATATCAAAATATATTAAAATTGTGATCAATAACATGTAGACAAGAACTTTAATAAAAGTCGAAATAGCATAAAATGTCAATGTTTTTCCTGATTAAACAGGAGTGATGTAATGTCTAAAGAAGAACACCACACAACACCAATTTACAAATAAAAGAATATCAACAATTTATTCACAATTGCGTGGAGTTTCCCAATGGGCCTAATACCCTTGTTAGGTTTGCCGTAGTTAACTCTGAGTTTGCCGTAAGAACACTCTGAAATACTCAAATCGTTACGTGACGAAAAACACCAGATTATTCATAACAATAACTAATTTAAAATGCCAAATATCTATGAATAATCTACTACATCTACATCTACAAATAGATGCAAATAATATTACCTGCTCGTTGTTTGATGGTTGAATAAATATAGATGTATAAACTGTAATTGGCAATTATCTGGTCGGTATTTATAGAAAAACCGTATTATTTATAATTGATACTTAGTATGAACATGAAACAGTGTTGATGTAACTAAAAAATGTCCTTTAATTAAATTCATACTTCACTAACTGCCAGTGCTCAGTAATGATTGTTACACTCTGAAATTTTAAATATCTTGTGCAGTTTTTGTATGATTTTACAATTTCATATAATTGTACGCCATCATCACAACCCCCTTAATTAATTAAACGATTCAGACTATCAGAAGTAATTTATCAAGACTTTTACATATACATACATCTAACAACTGTTATAAAGCACGTTTAAATTTTTCGTGTTTTAGTGTGGATGAAATAAAGCTAAATAATCAGCCGTTAGTTTATAAATTTACCTAGAGTGGCACACGCGTTTTCCCAAGCGAAAAGAACACCGCAAAAATAACGCACATGTGTAAAATTAAATAGATTATTCCTTGAAAAAGAACCACATTCAATTTCAATTATTATTTCACCCTTCGTACCATGTGCGAACTTTTCCCACGCATTACAATTATTTCATTTAATTTTCCAAAGCAGGTATTAATTTTGCGCCGTAATCATTTTAGTTTATTGCTATTCGGTTGATATATAATGCGTTCAAATACTTTTATGTTGCTGCACGCAGCAATTTCATTTATTAATTTGCTGGGTGCTACACTTTGTTCAGGGCGAAAGCAAACAAATGAGGGACATTATTAATTACACTTGGACAGAATTAAGCATTATATGTATATATTTACATATATTGCAGTTATCAACTTAAATTATTGGTCTTTAAATACATTAATAATCAAAATAAGTAAACAAATTTTCTAGTACTGAATATTTAGATTTTAGTTTTGTTTATTATCAACTTTGTGGGCAATTTTAGGCAACTTTTTCGTTGTGGTAAAATTTGTTCAAATTGGACTTTATATAGTTTCTTCTTGCAATAATAATGAATTCAAATTAATGCAATATTTTTATTTAAAATGGATACAAAAATTCAAATTTATATTTTTATGTGCAATGTTATAAATTGCATCATAGTTTTGTGAATATTCTGCAAAGCTCGTAAGATTATAATTGGAATATGCGATATGCAAATTGAGCTTATAATTGGCATCGATAACAACATTTTTATAACTTATAAATTAAACTTATGATAAAAATCTTTTTTTAATATTAATAAAAATTATGTAAAGCTACATACTAACCTTTTAAAAGTTGTCGCAGTGTTTTAAGTACTGCACCCCAAAAACTTTCACAATACTCTTCAACAAAATTTTATTTGAATTTGATTCGCACAAATTGAAAATTTATAATCTTTTCTTGTTTTTTTTTTTTAATGGCCAATAGCTAACGCAACAAGATTCTTCTAGTGAACGTTCAACAGGTAAGGCCGTTGCACGAGTGGTTGCGCTACGGGCGGGCGCACGCACTTTATGTACGGTGGCGGCGGCGTCGCCGTTCCCGACATCGTCGCACTGTCAAAAACCACAGCACGTACGGCACGCACGCATACTATGTGTGCATACTATGTGTGCATGTGTGTATGCGCACGCCTACGCTATTTAAGCATATAGACAACCAGTCATGCACGCCCGGCACAACTATTTGTTTCTATTGTGAAAGACTACGTCATAATGCATACACGTGTGCGTTGTACCATTATACCTACTATTGTACAATTATTACACCCTTCGATAATCTACGCATAATTAATTATTAGCCACAGTACGTGGTGTATTAATTTTTTGTTGAAATGGGTCGAAATCGTACTGAAATCACATCACGCATGGAATTCTAAAAATAAATGTAAATTTGAGTTGATAGGTGTTAAAATTAGATCATAATTCTTTTTATAATTGCTTTATAACACATTTTCTAGAAAATAAATGTTGTTTTGAAAATTATCTTCGTCGATCGTAAAAATACTGGGCAAAAAATAGTGTTAAGCAATAATATAATGTACGCATATAATAATATTGGAATGTAATATAAGCAACGAACAAATGCAAAGATTTTGTTTATTTACAGTTCTTATAGCAACGCAAAAGAGGCACAGATGATACTTGATTAAGTGTGATATAAAATGTGTGTTTCGTTTCATCCCTTCATGTTAGGTAAATGCATTACACCCACGTCAGAAAAGCAATATGGACTCTAAGCACCAATCAGAGAGCAGAAAGTCTCAGGATGTGTCTGCTAAGAATCATAGTTTTTTTGCCACTGATCTTCACCCAGGATATTAATATGCCAAAAATTTGGTTATATCTTATCAAATACTTGTCACTTCTTAACACACAAAATATGTGTTAACGGCATGTTATAAACCCAAAGAGTTCATAAAATACGAAGAAACCTGTTTGGATTTTTATTTATTTATCTTGCAACTAACATTATACCACCGGAATGGCGATAAAAACAAAAAGTCACTTATCATAAAATGTGAACATTTAAAATAAGTTAACAGAAAATAAACTTGCTGTATTCGGATACGTTCAGGAAGCGTAGGTGATGACAAATCCCCCGCCACCTGACCTGCAACCAGCGTGCGGACTGGCGGGTACGTAACTAATAACGCACCGCGCGCCACATTTATCACATTCTATTTGCCTAATACATATAGCACATAATGGCGAACTGGCGATATTGTCCTGGCGGTGCTATGAGTTTTCATGCAGCTGGGGCTGTGTTTGGCACACACCCTGCGTCATGCCATCGCCTCGGAAACAACGCGACCTAGGTCAATTTCAACAATTATATTATAAGCCTTATTTGTAAATTGGAGTTTTATGTGTTTAAGGTAATAATTATAAGTGTATTAGTCCCACGTTAGTCAGAGTTTTTCATGTAATTGTATTCAGTTTACAGATTGCTTATCAACGCCTATACTTCATGACTTACTCATACAATTGATTAGTGGTCAAGAATTTACAGCCTACACATTGGCAAAGACCTCTTGGTATACATTGTGTTCCAGAATATTTTCTAAACGATAACAACACATCAAAATTAATATTAATTAAATTGCATAAAATATACATAACGTGTGCATAACCAATTTTATCTTACATCAGCGGTTTGCGTCAACGAAAAAATAAGGATCAGTTATGTAAAGTTATGGAACGGACGCATCGTAAACATTTTTCATTCATTCTTTGCTGTATCACTCATAACTAATCATAACTTACCCGTTAAGAGAGCTTAAATATTATATAGTTATAATAATTAAGTATTTTTTTATTACAAATTATGATATTTATATAACAAAATTTTACAATTAGCGTAGGTAGAAATATGTATTGCATTTAACACAAGCGTTGATTGTTTAATTCGCCGCAGGCGCGTGCGAATATAAATATTTCTTTTTACAGGCGCAAATCGGGATACCGCCCACAATTTTGACAATGCGTAATTTACGTAATAGGTGCAATATAAACAATGCGAGACACGCACGCCAGGCTGGCTGTCTCTGGAGTTATGGTGTGCGGACGGGTTTGCGTAACATTCTACTAGATACGATAGATTAGTATTATTATGACGTTAATTGTATTAAAATTATCACTAATTATGTTTATCAAATTTACAACACAACTGACACATATTGCACGTGTGGCTGACGCAATGGCAAACTAACATTGCAGTATACGTTAAAATAATGATTATTTTGTTTTTCAGAGTTACAAAATTTTGAAAATGTACCAAAACATAGAAGATTTTCTGTAGAACTTTGCCTTTTTGTAGCGACGGCGGATTCTCGTGTTATGTTTCCGTGGTTATTTTTTTTTAAATTTTTTGTTGCATTTCTTTCTTTCTGGTAGCTGCAGGCACCTCCACATTTAGCGAATGTTATTTGCGATGACCATATATGATTTTAACTAATATTTGGTAGTGTTCTAATACATGATAAGTTCTATACAACTGGCAATAATAAATAATTGAATTGACAATATTTTTACAAAAGAGTGCAAAGTTAATATGTGTATAACAGATGTACCGATGAGACCTCTAAAAGTCGAAATAGTTATCCACATCAGGTTTGACGAACACTTGCATTGATTTGCAATGGTTTTATTAATATGATATCGTTTAACAACGATAATTTAGGAAAGTTAAATTGTTTCCATATTAAAAAAATTATATCTCGGATACATGCTTGATAACATTGTTCAAATTTTCAGAACTTCTTAAAGATACAACAGAGCAACTTTCCTAAAATTTTGAGGCAAATTGAAGTTCGGAGAAAAAAATTCTAGTTACCTGAAAACAGCAATATTTTAAAATTTGTCCCATTTTGGGTGATTATAACTTTACTCAATCAAAAACTGCGAAGATTCAATTAAAATATACCCCAATAGGAGACATTAGCATTAGTGGTCGACCCTTAACTCCAAACACTGTACTAGTGTTTTACAAATTGGTGAAATTTAATCATAACAGTGTTGCTGTTAGAGGCTGTCAGCTAGGTTTAGACAAAGTATCTATTTTTTCTCAATCGTAGTGAGTCTACTGAGAAGAATGCCGTTTGGTAGGAGTCTTTGAGTCGTATAGAAGTTGAAATACAGATTGTGAATTAGTGAAAAATCGACTTTTACTATAATTCAAAAAATTCTCCAGCAGCCAGTTTTGATTATGACGAGCCCAAATTTTCAAGATCGTCGTCTTTTAAGGAGTACTTTTGAGGAAAAAATCGACATTAAAATTGCTGACATGAAGTTCGCACACTTTCGTCGAGAATTAATGGATCTGCCCATATACATATGCACACTTCCAATTACAGTAAAGCAAGCAAAAAACACTTGATCATACACGATTTATTTATTAAATTCTGATATTCACTAATACGATGTTACACATCAGTATAATTAATTAGTATGTAATTACTAGCCGCATAAGTAATACAAATTCATTGACATGTACGTGAGACCATAATAATCAAGAACAAAATTTGCGAAGCACAGCGAACCAAATTGTCTTCAATCGAGTCGCGTTATAATTGCAGAGGATGATTGATAACCAAATCAACATGCATGAAATAACATATCTAAACTGGCTTAAGTTAGATTTACTGATGGGTCGGATATTCACACATGAATATCTGTATAATCTCAGTGTTTAATGAACGCACTTAAGTATTACTTCTTTTTGACGTATTTTCGCTTTTTCATAGTAGTAGTAGACGCAGAGCCTGCTTGAGCCGGTTTCACTACAACCTTATTTTCAATGTCAGTACCAGAATCTATATTTGCACCACATTCTGCAGTCGGCTTCGCTAATGGTATTTCCTGAGCTGGCTGTTTCGAGTCAGCTTCGTTACTGTGTCATGCATTAAACTCTAATCTGCCAACAATTTCACGCACCGTAGCAAGCAAAGTCGCATCCTGTGCGCTATTTTCCAATAATTTTCCGTGTAGATTCATCATAAACCCGTCAATACTGACCACGGTAGGAACATCAGTAATTCCAGGCAATTTAACGCCGACAAATCCACTGACAAGGGTATTTCTCAGGTGGTCCAAGTGAATCTTGAGCTCATTACTGTTCTTCTTCTGAGAAGCAATCTCAGTCTCTAACTTCTCTATTCCAGTCTTCATATTTTCAATGTGTTTCTGTAAAATTGCATTTTGTTGCTCATAATCAGTGTTACTCTTCCTCAACTGTCTCAATTCGGCGTCTCTAGTCTTATTATGGTCTAGAAACTCTTCAGTAAAAATTGGAATGTCAAAGTTTGTTGGAAAATCGATATTATTATTGTTATTAGTTTGTTCTTTGATCACAGGAACTGGAGCTTGTTTAGTCTCCTCTTTAGCTGTCTCTTTAACTTTTTTCTCTTGTTGTTGACTCTCTTGCTGCTGGACAAATGCTTTATATGCATCTGTTTCTTTGTAGGCGTTATATTCGCGAGTATAGCGTTCACGGTCCACCTCTGCCGCATCAAGATACTGTTGTTTTTTCTCTACAGGTAAGTTGCTCCATTCTGAAGCCAATATCTTTGTTATTTCAGCAAAGGGCAAAGCTGGATTGGTCGCGCGAACTGCATCACGTCTATCATTCAAAAACCGTACATATCCTGCAATAGTAATGTATATATTTTTTGATCTCTTATTAAATTTCTGTAAATACCTGTTAGTGGATGTCGAGGTGCTGTACTGTCTTTGGGCTTCTTGCGTTTTTTGCCTTTGGGATTTTTTTGTTTCAACTGTGCATTATCAGAGCTATCTGGGGCTTTCTCATCATTTATTGGCTTATTTTGCGGCTTTTCTGGAGACGTTGTGCCATTCTGGACTTCTACAGGGGCCTGAATTGTTGTTCCATTTTCCATGATTATACTCCTTTAAACAAACAATTGTATGTAGATATAACAAAGTATGTTAATAAAAAATGGTTGTACTCACAATTCGTTTGAGAATCCGTGCAACTTCGAGTGATACTTGTTATATTTTTAATTGGCGTTGATTTGTTGTTTATTCTGAGGTTATTTTGTAATTGGCGCACAAGTTTCCCTTTTCAAACACAGGTGGCAATAATGAAACAGTTGTATAACGAGAAATAGTTTAATCAGTGGTTATAATATGCTAAATAATCTTACACAAAAGTTATAAATTTAAAATTAATAACAATTAAATTTTTAAAAATTATTAAACAGGATGTAATAAAGTAATAATTTTATTAGATCTTGTTTATTTATTCTTGTGCAGTGTTGTATTTTAGTTCAACTATTTGTCGCTTTATGCCGCTAATATCTGAAAATCAGCTGGTATCCAACTTCTCCTGGCTAGAAAGGTTCAAAACATGCTGTCGCACTTGGTTACATTGGGACAATCACGTAAGCTTTTTCATTTTACGAATACATTGGTGAGCGTAGTGAACGCAGCAAGTGGAAGGGTGGCAAGGATCGAGATGATAGGCAGCCACAGCACCGTGCGTTCATCCTGCATGCCTGCTCGGTGCTGTCCCCTGTGCCCGTGCTTGAGTGCATCTCAGAGTCAGCGCCTTGGCGCTCCAACCGACCGCGTTCCGGCGGGTGCCACACTTGCCAGTCGCTGATAGTGCGCTGCATGGCTGCATTGTCTCGACGAGTGCTCACCACCAACGGTCGGACAGGACACACGTCCAGCCGCAGCCACTATCTTGATCATCGAGATTCACTTATTTAACTAACGATCGGATTCAGACAACGCGGCGTGCTGAACAACGATGAAATAACCAAGTGAGGTAATCAGAAGTGGAAAACGGTGGGTAGCAGTGAGAAGCAGGCTTGTAATCAACTTAAAAATATACGTTTCCGAGAAAGGATATTATTACGTGTGAGAAGGATAGATCGTAATAATAACATTGCGAATTGATGGTAAATCTACATTTGATGAACACCCCACAGTATTGTTATGAAATAACGCAGAAAAACAAATGTTATTGAAGGCAACGCGCGTTCCCTAGGTGCATATCGTGCTGCAGCAGTGAGTTTTTCATTCTCCTCGCCCCACTTTTTCCTCACCGTCGCGCACATGAACAAGTGTGTGGGGCCGCCTTGTGCGAGTCCAGAGCGCTGAAAGTGTGCAGGAAATTTTGAAGGCATTGGCAACACTCCTAAAAATATGTAAGTTTTTATTCCGTTTATTATTCTTTTTTTTTAAATTTACGTCTTATACTGAATTTAGTTTGATTGCGAACACGGAAGCAGCGATTAACAACATTAATGTTGTGTCTTTTATGGAGTGTATTATGTAGAAAACTAAGTCTAAAGTTAGGTTAGTAAACATGACACAGTGCTGCCACAATGGCACCACCTAATACTCAATGTAATTTTTATTAGGTCATTGTAATGCAACTTCATTTCTGAAAATTGTGTACTAATATCTGTACTTGTTTCTTCCTGAATTCCGGCTTCTCTTAATTCTTTGTACGACATTCGAATCTTTTGCGTTCAGCGTGGTGGAATGAGGATTTTTATTCGTTTTTAAGACAGTGTGTAGTAGGTATACATCTGCTCAAAGCGGGCGACGTGGATTAGCAAAACGCGGCGTCTATTTTTTGGCACGCGAAGGATGTTTATTTTAAAGTTTATTAATGTTTCGCTTTTCGACGCGTGGACTTGCTTACATGTTCTGCAAGCAGTGATTTTCAATCAGTTTCCTAACCTAGAGTACATAAAATAGAGCTGAAATAAGTTTGTTCCACTGCTTAAATGTAAATAGAATCATATGATGGTATTTTCATGTTTCAAATGTGTGTGATTTTTGAATATTCAGAACGGCTGGTACTTTGTGATGTCATTTGGATTACGATTGGATCGGAGCATTGCTCGCATTATTCCTATTTATTTTTCAAGTTGTTACGTTGGCGCTACTACCACTTTTTCTCAATTTCCGCCTGTATGATGATCTTATGATGATGGAAAACTTTATAACTTATTATTTATACAGACAGAATACACATTCGGCACGTTTCCATGACAATAGTAGGCAAACACAAAACTATCATTTTCTTATAGTGCCAGTTATTTCATGGGTTTGAGACACAAAAAGTGATACTCTAAACATGGACAGCCAAGGTCGTGATTAAAGTATTTTAGTCACGGGGTGGAGCTTGCGCCTGCGCATTTGTCTACTATGCATAGTTAATATTTTTGTAAATATACCACTTTTATTCAAAATTGTTTCATGTATTTAACCAAAAAACGGTCCCATTAAATCTTACCAAAAAGTTAATTTTCAAATTTTATCTTTTATATACGTACCTATAATAAGTGCTTTGATAAGATTTGGACCCAGAAGTCAATCTTTGAAAGTATACTGCATTGGAGGGCGATTAATTCTATATCTTATACGGGTTGTGCTTTAAATACAACGCAAAGTAGCAACCAAAATAAAAAGTACGGATGGACCGTCGTTGTCGATTCGAATCACTCTTTTAAATCACATTATCGTAATTTAATGTTGTGTTAATATAGTCATTTACGTCAGCCTATCACCAGAAAATTTATTTAGTATTAATATTTGCATTTTCTATTTGAATTGTGAATCAAAACTAATTTCAAATTCCTATAATCATACACAAACGCAACAAAAATCATTAAAATCGTTCGAACCGTTTAAAATAGGTTCAATTACATACACATACCTGCGACTTTTATTGGATTCGATTAAATGGGAGCTTTGACACGTCATGTCGCATTATGTAAAACTCATTTTGTAACTCGTCCGCACGTGTTTCTCTCAATCTCGCGTGCGCTTATAACAGTGTTGAAATCTACTAAACTTTCCGCCGTTTCAAAGTCAACACAATTTTTACCAAATTTTCTATTTTTTTTCTTGGTGACCATGATGCTAACTATAATTTAATTTTTTGAACTTCCTATTTTTCCTGGATCAAGGTTTATTTCACTTGGTCGTACTTCCATCGTTCGACCACGGCTTTTATTGCTAAATTAACGGATTAAAACTACACGTGTAATTTACGTGAATATTTTGTATATAGTCGGCGGCGGAGAGGAGGATTTTGTTTTCTCGTAAGCAAAAAGCCAACAAAAAGTGTCTTACGGGAATAGAAATAGATGCACACCGAAAATAACACGCAAGAACACATATGTGCGGAGATCACGCTTCGTATGTGCAAAATTGCATGTAATTTGATGATTGATATTTCATTTGATAACATTTTAAAGATTTGTTTTGGAATTCAATAATTACCTACTCGTAGACATTTGTTAATTTTGTAATGAAATGTTTGGCAGCCAAACATTGGCTTACCTTTTGGCGTCCTTCAGTATGATGTAGTTTTGCTGATTATGATATTGTTTAACAGATGATTGATTTATATTGATCCGATTTAACTAGTATCCTTCAGTAAATTGACTTGTAAATTAACTTGTGACACATTGACACATAGATGTAATGAGTTATGTTAATTATACACTCAACCGCTCTCTTCTTCATTTACAAATCTATAGGCATTCTATTTTCTTATATGTAACGGAGTAAATTAAAAATTGGATTCACAATTCTTCTTTGACAAACTGTTCGTTTATTGACCTAGTTTCACGCGTTTGTTTCCATGTGCTGGCTGGCCTGCCGCATACGCATGTGTGGTTGGTCTTCATCCTGCTTTAGGGGTTGCGCTCCTGTTTGTTTTCCTGCCGAAATCGCACGCGCACCGCTCTCGCGCCCGGCCAAGTCGCCATGGCGACGGGCTGGAGACGACGCTCCAGGAATTGGGGCAGGTGCGCTCGCGGAAAAGCCACTGCACTCTATGCAGCGCTCTCCCTGCGCTCTCGTTATATCGTTTCGGTTTGGCATCGGGGTCGCGTTCTACTTCGGGTGCACTTTGTACCCGTTCAACGTCAACTCGCCAATTCTCGTAGCGGGTTCGTCCCAGTTGGAACTCCGGGAGACGAGCGACCTATGTTCGTCAGATGGGCGCGCTGGTTGCTAGAACTTCCATGGTGGCGCATACGTATGCGTGAAATCTCGGCGTAGACCCGCGCGGGATGAACGTGCAAAACCGGGTGAGAACGGTTCGTCGACCTCAATTTTCGTTCACCGAACGTTTTTATTACGGCGACCTAAATACAATCAAATATTTTATCATTGGTTTTAGAAATTACGCTTTTATCAATTTTGATGATTTATAGGCTAGGAAGACTTTTAAATGGAATAGGTTGACAATTATTCACGGAATATTTTTGGTTTTGAATTTCAACTATAGACTGTTAATAATATTTAAATATTGTGATATAAATATTATTTTCTTGTTATTACACTGCAATAAATTTTAAACAATTAAACTCTACGATTTTACAATTTGATAAATCTTTTTTACTTCAACACTGTTGAAACTTTATTTCATCTCTAAATTTTATTGAAATACCTAGAATTGGCTGATGACATTGTCAATTGTCATATTGTTATATATTTTTGTCGTTTCAGCACGTCTATGTTAATGTTGATCTTATATGTCCTTTTGCCACATATGAATCCACTGTGGAAGCAATGTACCTATATCTTCATAAAACTAATAATTAAATGAATTGTGTTATTTTGCATTGAATTTTGAAATCGCCAAACAAGATTATGTTAAAAGTCATTTACATTTAACATTTACATTTAGCGACATCAGTGCCATACGAAAAACGATTATTATTAAACTATTAATAATAAAGAAATATCCCAGGGCTCCTGGGTCTGCAATATTTTTCAGAAAGGAATGTGTAGGATAAGGTAGTACCCTCTAGCATATACCTACATAAATATCAACTATGAGAATATCAGAAAAATAACAAGGTTGTGTATCTACCTATTTTTGCACTTGATATCTAAAAATTGATACTGACTAGTTTTATAATTAAATTTGATCGAAATGAAAGTAGGTTGCAGTTTTGTGGTAAACTGCATTAAACTATTCTTGCTATCTCATAAAACCAATAACGATAAAAAAGCTTCTTAAATGTACCTATAATTAAATTTAATAGAATTTCTAATATATTGCGTATACCAATTACTCTTCCATCATAAACGCGTTGTGCTTTTAAAATATCTTCAGTATTTGAAAAATACAAATGTTAATTTTGGCTGATTTGCCAAATAAAATTAACGACTATCCACAAATAGTGTTTGCCGCAATCAGACGCTCATGCTTACCAGATTTTCCAGTGCTTATAGCTTGGCAATGAAAACATAAATAAATCTGTCGCTTTTAATGTCCGCATGCAATAATATCTGTTCAATCGGCATTAAATATATACACAATCTTTGAAATATTTTTGGAAATATTTTCATTCACCATATCATCGCAGTGCGCGCACTGATGATGCAATTGGTGTTTCCGTTTGATACGTTTTTAAAAATTTTATTACATCTACGTATGTTGTGTATTTATTCCCATTCGCAGCTTTTGGATTTTTTTATGTGTTGTTGACTGCATTTTTGGTTTCAAATTATCATGGGCGACATTACGGGAAAATTTAACTTATTAGGTATCGTGAAACGGTCAAAATTGTACTGTGTCACTTTTCTGTGAAAAATGTTGTTTTTTAAATATTTCAACTATTTCGATACGTATTGATATTGTATTTCTAGAAATGTTTCTCTTTGATTACTTTGACTTTTTGGCAAACATACTCAATTTTAAATGACTGAATTTTGAAAATTGTTACACATTCGTAAAGGGTGAATCACCTTATTCTTAAGAAAGCAATATGTAGGTATATCAAAGGAAATCCATTCTTTCTTCACCATAAAATTGTATGATAGCCAATACTACTGAAAATCATACTTTATCATACTCGCTTCATTAGTCCCATTACAATGTTTACAATGTTAATACTATTTAATTATGACTTTTTCTTTGTGTGCCCTGTTGTAAAAATTCTACTTAATAGAATCCTATTTTGCTTACCTACGATTTTTAAACTTTACATTTATACGGTGGGTTCGTTATTTATATAGATGAGAAATTTAGCTATATATAAAATTAACAGAAAACTGAAATTTTGGTGAGATGTTGACAACATCATTGTGAATGAAAGTTCAAAATTGCTACCTTATGGATAAAAAAGTTATTTAGACTAAAGATGCAAAATATTAGTTTAATGCGTTTTTC